ACATTTTTGCATGTAGGGCCTAAGATGCTGATAAAAGCAGACAGGCAGAAACAGGCCCATGCTTTCCTCTTCCTTCCGCTCGTGCCTCAACATGCAATAGATTTGTCTCCCCTGTCTCACTATTCTAATAGCACTTGGTCCACACCCCCTTTTTCATGCGTCAGACTCACAAGTTTTTTGTCAAAAAGAAGATCTAATAACATAATAATCAGCAACTCATTACAAAAACCTCCCCATGTCCCTCTTGCTCAATGCCCCTTTGGTTTAATTATTTTTCCGATAAAGGGAAAAGAATCCATTGTTTAACTTAATTCAGAACCTTAACACGCTAATGCCTTGATGTAACGTGAATAAAGAAGCAAAAGGATACATGATTAGTTCAATAAGCTTCCCTTTTTGTTTCTTTTATAGTCAGGTCAATCTTTACAATCCCAGATTTTATGGACCAAAGCAATCTGAAAGATAAACGATGAAGGCAGACCACATTCATCATGTGATTGTATTTGGAGGACACTGTATAGACCACATGAATCGTGCATTTGCATTGGAGCCTCTGCAATGGAAGGTGACCCTAATGGAATCGTTCCAAAGGAAAAAAGGTAGACAAGACAATCCATGCTCACCACTTGGTAATCGATGTCCTCTTCTTAGAAAAAAAGAATAGAAAATTCCATGGTCAAAAGGAATGCAGCTACCTCCTTATCCAATCGAGTTCCATTCGGTGCTTTTCGACTTGAACTTGGCCTTTGGTGCCATCAACTTGCAGAACTTGCTGCTTGTCCATACTTGCCGAAAGCTGTTCGGAAGCATAGCAACTAGGAAAATATCATAAAGATGTTGGATCTCAGAACCTTCCAATACGAGTTCAATTTCATAGCGACTTCTTTTTAAAACACTAAGCTTGTCCCATTCCATTTGCCAATGTTCCCCAATGGAATTTCTTCACTCCACGTGCATTTTATCTGTTTCCGATGCCTTTTTTTTTTTTTTTAACAGTGTTACATAATACAAGTGGTGTCAAAAAAAAAAATCATCATAATTTTATAAAAATAGTGTTTTTTTGAAGAAATACAAGGAAAGATATTTTATTTCAATGAGTATTATGTCATTTAATATTTTTATTTTTCAAATTTACTCCTAAATTCTTTCTATTTTTAGAAATAGTGTCTATCACCATTGTGTCACCAAGCTCTTTTTTTTTTTTTTTCCACTTTCTTCTCCTTGTATGCCTTAAAGTTTTATATGGGCTGCGATTTCACACGTCTCTCTCCCATCAAATAATTATCTCTGAAACCTATGGACTGCAATTCAACACGCCTTTCTGCCTATCATACAACCATCTTTGGAAACCAATTGGCAAACTCTGACAAATTACTCAGATCTTCTACTCCTGTATAGTAATGCAACTGTTGGTGCAGCATCACGTTACCTCCTCAACGATGCACCTTAATAGATAGCCTTAACAATACCTTCAATAAATTCCGATAACATTTGAGGAGATATTATTCACATCAGAATAGCCAGTCCTCGCTAAGGTTTCTCAGAATGAGATCCTCTGATTCAATTGCTTGCGAGGTAAGCAATTCCAGGATCGCATTTTGCAAGCACTCTTGATCAGTTTCAACAAAATTCAAGGTCATCACGACCATTGAATAGATTTGTTTCAAACACTCCTATTATTTAAAACTCTGTAATGCCAACTAGAAGCTAATAGAAACTGATTAGAAAACAATACACACTCAGGACAAAAATTCAAACCGTAGCGTTTTCTGCTCTCCTAGTGTCTATTAAGAAACCGAGTTCTAGAAGAAGGAAAAAAAAAAAAAAGACACGAATAGCTTACAGAGAGACAGTACAGGAAATGCCATAAACTCTCATTACAAGTAGGGGAAGCACGATGAAAAGTACTTTTATAATGCAATGAAATTCTTAGCTCCACATTTCCCAAAAACATTCTTTTGGCAGAATAGAGTATTTCTAGCAAGTCAAAACTATGAAATGCCATCATAAAACCTATGTATTCCATTGTATATTTGCTCCAATGAATATCCAACAGTACAAGAAGATCCCTACTCTGTACTTTCAACTTCACAGCCACTAAAATTTAGACATTAGAAGGTCATGTCAATTGCTATCTACGAAGCCACTGTCTTTGTAAGAAAGACAGAAAGTGAGTTTCCATCATTGTGTTGAACTGGAGTTTCATGAAATATTGTGTCATGGATTAGAAATAATTTCTAGAAAGTGAAACGTCTAGTCATTTCCAAACAACTTATGAATTACTTACTAGTTCATGGAGCTAGCTCCAGAAGAACATTCTAAATTTCTTATTAACTCAACACTGTAGTTATGACAGATAACTAAAAGTAACCAACTGTATATCATGCCATGCCAATCTACGCAGAGCAAAATCCTTTGTCAAAACAATGTCATTGCTGCCTTCCAAATTGAGGGCTACAACCTTTCCCCTCTCATCTCAACGTTAACCAGTATTAAAAGAATAACGAATGGAACACTAAACATATACTCCAAAACTTACGTTTCTCAGTGGTTGACAGTCGAACAGACGCTACTCTGTAGAACAAGTAAAAGAAACACATAAATAGTGCCTGTTAATCCAGTACTAGGAACCCTGGAAGAGACTTTATTGGAGTGGAATGTATTTCTTAGGAATTTCAGAGCACGCCGGGGCAGATTCCTTCTCATTGCATATTACCTATGACCTCAGCCTCATTGTCACTAGATCACAAAATGCTTGAGTTATGACGGGGGTACTGTGGGGTCTCTTGATATTTTCTACTAGTTTTCAATTTCATGCTTGCATATCATCCTAATCTTCGGCCGGTTCTTATAAGCAAGAAGCTACTCAGAATGGAATTTGGATATAGTTAATAGGACCACCAACTGCGTTGGTGCATTCTAAGCACCCATTGACAGCAGTAACATCTCACCTTAACATTTACCCATTTGTTTTGCTCGTAATAAAATCTGTAACATCCATAATAAGAGAAACTAATTCATCAATCAAAGCATGAACATCTACTAGAAGCATACGACCATTCATTGTATAGGCCTCATAATATCAAAAATGATTCTAAGTTACATGAAAACAAAATCTTTCGAGTTACAAGGTAATAGAATTTTCACCGTCAGTGATTAGTACCACTCACATTGATAAATTGGAAGAACTAATCAATTATTCAAAATCATCTATATTTCCCCACTATAAATATCCAATGAGAACATAATACATTGCAAAACCCAAATGGATTGCACCAAACAGAATTTAAGCTAAAACCCATTGCCACCAACCTCATTAATCATCTAATTGTTGAATTTCGGCCTTTAACTGCTCCATCTTGAGCCCCATCGACCTTTGCAAAGCTTCCTTTTCAGTCCCTGGCAGTTTCCCTAAGAGCCCTTCAAACATGCCCAATACTTCCTTCACTGCATCCCTTGCACACTCTGCCTCTTCATCAAAATAGACAGTTTCTTTCGAATCCATAGCCATCTCTATCTCCTCTCTTGCCTCTGCAAACTTGAGGTTTATCATGTCAACCTCTTTGTTTACATCTAACTCGGGCACCGACCCACTTCCAGACTCAGTACTGTACCTTCTCCGAGCGTGGTCAGTTGGGGACCGGTTTCGGAGGCTACGTCTAAAAGGGTGACAGAAAGTGTGGAGATTTGAGATGGGTGTATGGAGAAATTTGGGGTTTGGAGATTCGACTGAGTTGGGAACCAGTTGAGATGGAATCCGCGTGAGATATTTGAGGGAAAGTGGATTTGTGGGTTTTGGTGAATATTCAAAAGGGTTTCTCAAAAGCAATTCGAAGAGAGAAATCTGTAATCGTTTCTGCATTTTTTGCTCTCTCGAATTTCACTGAGCAAGGGAGCAGTCACAGAGAGCTCCTACTAAACTCTCAACCCTAAACTCACGTCTAAACTCACAAACCCCGGCTCCCTTATTTTACTGATCTAGACTGGGCCTAGGCTATATAAAGTATAAACATGGAAGAGATGTGGATCTTAGGGCCCTTGTGAATGTCAAAATGGGTCGCGATTAAACCCATGACAAAAAATGAAAAAGAAACATAAAGGGTGGTTTGATTACAGAGCATAGAATAAAAGATTCTGCATAAAAATAGAAAAATGGAATGATGCTTTAATTTCAGTATTGTATTTAAAATAGTAATAAAAAATCAAAATAAAATTTAAAATTTTTTAATTTTATGATGAAAAAAATATAATTAAAATAATGATTTCATCAATGGTGATTATAATAAAAATTATAAAAGAGAAAAATGAAAAGATAACGGTAATAATTATTATATAATAATAACAATAACATATTTAAAAATTTTAATGCCTCTATTTAGGAGGTGAAGGCCGTGAAGGTTTAATGGTGATGATGGTTGTAAGAGAGTAGTTATATTTGTGTAATATATATATATATATATATATATATATATATATATAAGAAGTCATCATAGTGGTCAATGATGGAGATGGTGAGTGGTGGAGATGGTGGTAAAAATAAATAATATACAAAGAATAAAAATAATATATCATTATTTAAAAAAAATATTTTTTATTTTTATTTTCATCTCTCCATAAAAATAAAATTATGTTTAATTTTTGTTTTTATTTTATTTCTTTCAACCAAACGCATATAAAGTAGAAATAGGACTTTGATTCACGTTCCTTTCTTTCATTCTTTGTTACCAAACAACAACTAAATTGTTTTTTTTTTTTTTTTTTGGGTCTGGTATGCAACGATAATGTGGCAAGTTTGTAACTAATAAATCATGAAGAGGGTTTGGTTAGCATGGATGGAATGGGGGAGGTCAAAGGTCACCAAAACCACACACCACTTTCTAGTCAATTGTCTCAATCCAAACTCTAACGAATCCTCCGAATCCAACAACCCCATTTGTCCAAAACGAGCTTTTATAAACTCTCACATAATCACTTGGAAACACCAAGCATCCAACTTTCCTATGGCTCGCCAACTTCACTTGAAACAAATACCTCTAAGCACATCAGGAGCTGGCCTGGCTGCAGTGACTCTTCTCTTGGGTGCATTTGCCTTGTTCATGTGTGCTTCACATTCGCGTAAATGGCGTCGATGGAGTGCTTGTCATGGGCCCTATGACCATGATCCGGTTATACAACTTAACACTGAAGATACAATGTTGGGCACAGGAGTTCATGGCATCCATGCAGGCAGTCGCGATGATAGCTTGTTCAGTGGTGAACAAGAAGCTTCAGTCTGGAGGAAGAACATTCTCATGGGCGGGAAGTGCCAGCTACCTGATTTTTCAGGCGTCATCATTTATGACTCTGAGGGAAACGTAGTCACCCCAGCCAAAAATCCCCGCCCACTACTCACCTGGAAGTGAAAAAATACGACTTTGAGAAGAGTAGTCCGAAGTGTGTAATTTTAACAAATTGCTCCAACTAATGTCCGCTGAAAGTTTCTATAAATAAGAGAGTTAATTACAGTTTATGCACTCAGTGATTGCATTGTTAAAGAGCTACAGAGCCAAAATAGAACAATGCTCCCTGGAAAGAGAGAGAAAGAACGCCAACATATTCCCTCAATAATCATCATAAATATTAAAAGGGAAGCAAACCAGTACACTAGCGTTTGATATGAAAGTTTAGATTAATTTTAACAACAATCAACTGGGCCTCAATGATTCTTTCTTGTTAGATGAAGAAGACCGACCCCTAAAAGCCACAACTCTTAGCTTTCCCGCTTGCTTCTTCACACCTGGAGATGTTTTTCTAGAGTTGCTTGCACTGTAGGATTTGACTCTCTTTGCAGCCTTGACAGCCTTGAAAGATTTTGCTGGAGTGGATGCTTTTCCGGATTTTGTCACCGAAGATGCAGCCTTGGCCTGCACACTAGGGGATTTCGCAGCTGCTGCTTTACTATTGCTTTTCTGAATGGATGCTTTAACGAATTTTGCACTCTTACCCTGCTGTTCAGTTATTCGAGCCCTGGCAATGTCCCTTCTAACATTATCTGTTGTGAGGGATTCCAAGCTCTCATTTTTCCTTATTGCCTCATCAATTCGAGCAGCTAACAGTTGATCCTTTTTAGCCACCAAGCTTGTCACTTTCCCTGTGACAAAAAGAAACCACATCTAAATCTAAAACCAGAAAAAGGTGATCGCCACAAATTTCCAGAATTTCTTTATGGGTGGAGTATTTCCACTTCCAAATTCAAACGAGGAAAAAAAATAATTCTGAAAATTTAAGTTCTGGATCATGAAGTTTTTTCCTTCATTTTTTTTTTTTTTTGTGCAGGTCTTAACATGGTCGTTTCAAAATTCTTTTGCAAATTTACAAGTAAACAGCATTGCTTCAGCAAATTCCTGGACACATACCTTTTGCACCCATACGAGCAGTTCTTCCTGTGCGATGAAGGTAATCGATCTAAAAAGGTCAGAGACAAAAACACAAGGATTAGACTTCTTTTTTGCTTTTCAGTGTAATAGCTAGGGCACCACCACAGGGACACCCTCCTTACCCTCCTCTAAACATCCTCTGGGATTTAACAAGATTCAATCCAAAGAAATTTAACCAAAAATGTTACTTGGTATCCATAGGGATTAGACTTTGAATTGTTAAAAAGTGACACTGAAAAAACCGTTACTTACAGAGTTCATGGGGAAATCAAACATGATAACATGGTCCACATCCAAATCAAGCCCTCTAGCAGCCAAGTCTGTGCAGACCAATGTGGGACAATCTCCATCGTCACTCTTAAACTTAGTGAGATTCTCAACCCTGAGTTCACAAGGAAAAACACAGCCCTAAGTACTACATACTAACATTCCTGCATGCACACTAGCAATGCAGTGAAAGTGTCAACCATCTAGATTAGATGATTGGAAATATTTATAAACAATCAATATTGCAAGTCTTCACAGAAGGATGACATACAAGAAAGCATGCTTGTGTATATTTATTATTACATGCCTACAGATAGATCAATGGGTGGATGAACAATGCCTCATGCATTCCATTTTTCTCTTTTGGAAGAAAAAAGAGGCAAGTCAGTTACTTCTATAAAAATTAGCATCTATTGTAGCATATGCACAAGTTAGATTGCAGATTAAAAGAGGGGACAAGAAAACATTTTTGATCATCTCACCTCTGTTCTGCTGGCACCTCCCCATGGTAATTGACAGTGGAGATCTGATTTTCGGCAAGAAAGTGATCTACAGCACGGCTCGAATTCAAAGTGTTGCAGAACACCATTATTCTGTTTCCCTTCGCCAAACTTGGCTCAAGAACCTGCAGTCACATGGCATCGTAAGTAAGTATCACCAATTATGTAAGAGTGCTCACATTGCAGAAATAATCGAAACCCCACTTTTTAGATTTCATTTGATGCCTTCTTAGCAAATATCCTAAATTCAAACTATCCAAGTCCAATCCAATAATTAACCAGTTTGGAGAATGAGAATGGTCGACTCCAAGACTGGTCTTAACTTGGTGAAAAAAAAGCCTAGAAGCTCTCATGAACCCATGCCAACACGTCCCTCAAAAGGATAGGCCTAAATAACATTAGGCACACTGATTTACTTCAGAACGCTGTGATTATACTAGTAATTTTGCATATAAATGGCACAAATCCGTAATCCGTTAGATCAGAACCAATTTTTCACTAAACAGGCCAATAGTATTGAAACATGCTTCAGAAGGTTCGTTTAAACAATTTCATATGATTTATATCTTCTTCAAAATAGGCCTTAAGTTTTCTGGCTAACACATAGAAATAATATGCTTAAATTTTAAATTCTCAACATAAAATTAAGTCCTTCAAGCACCAAATCCCATGTAATTTTCTCCTCAAGGAGATTCCAAGACTTTTAACATCAATAAATTCATACTTGCATCCATGTACATGTTATTGTATTTGTGCAACATGTGTGCATGGATGGGCATGCCTGAAAGTGTAAGCATACGTAAGATACACTTGCATGTATAAAAATATCAAGTAGGAAAAAGCAGCAAAGGACAAGCGTCGTTGACCTGCAACAATGCTTCCATCTTGTTTTCAGAACCTGAAAGTTTTATGAAATCATGGCGAGCAGATGCTATCTTTTTGTGGAGTGTTGATGTGCGCAAATGTACTATTCCTTGAAACTCCTCATCAATCAGCTTTTGAACTGCCTGCAAAACCTATAAATATCAACTATCCAAATTCCTTGAAAAGAAAGTTGTGCAGAATACAGCTCATTGAATTTCAGCCAAAAAATAAAGAACCATTCACCAAATTGAAGATAGATCTTGATAGTTATAGACAACTATAAATATGTGCACAAGCATGCACACCCATAGATACATGGATGTGTCTATATAACACAAATTGTTGAAGAAAGCTAGAAGTGTTAAAGTTCTGAGGATTTATCAAGAGCTTCACTAACCCAATTTCTTTAATTGCATGAGAGGCTCATGGTGATAAGATGCAACATCCTTAAACTTATGCTGTCTTGGAATGAAGTAGAGATTTGGGGAAGCTAAGATAATTTTAGAATTTTAGAAATCAGTAAAGTAAATGAATCGATCACTATAGCATTTCACTAATTATACACTGCAGCAGTAACACATGGAAGTAATGGTTCGTCAAATGGTCCAAGTAGATATTTAGTAGAACAAGACAGGAGTCAACCCTAAGCAACTTCTCATACTAACAAGCCTTTAGATACCCACATAAAAAGTAATGTCCAATCTTATATCCACTGCACATGGGAAGACAACTATGTGAGGTGAAATATATAGAAAAAAATATTTTTCTGTGGAAAAGATAATATGTTCATGTATTAGCATGCCTGTATCCATAATGCCTACTTATTCAAATAAGTTGCAAAACATGCAATAGTCTGTGTGCACTCATTGCAAAAGCTACAGAAAGAAAAATTATTATAGGCTAACAAACAGCATACCAGATTTTCATACAGTCAATAAGATTATAGTCCAAGTCTGCATACCTTTGTCATTGTTGCAGTAACTAAAATAGTTTGAAACCCTTGACCATCAGCTTTTGATGTACGATTTTTCAATGGGCCTAAAAACTTGCGAATTTCAGGACCAAAGCCCCGATCAAACATGGTGTCTGCCTCGTCCAAAACCTACTAAAAGATTAGCAACATCATGAAGTGCAACAAAGTCATTGCAACAAATAGAAGCTGCCATAAGCAAGTTCTTCGCTGTATATACAAAAGTGAAAATAAAAGGAAGGATTAAGATTCTCACCAAGTATTTTATGTCACCATAAACCATGTTCCCATCCTGAATATGTTGAAGAACCCTGCCAGGGGTTCCCACTACCATGTCAATTGGATTATTTAATGAATCCTCCTGGGGTCTCAACCGGCCACCACCACTGACCATAGTAGACCTGAAACGAGCATGATGGCCAATAGATTTTGCAACACGGAAAACCTAAAACCCATATATTGTTGTCAATAGCAAAGGCAAAGCCACATAGGTTGAAAAGAGTCCAAATTTCAACTGAAAGCATGCAAAAAAACCTGCTCAGATAGCTCTCTTGTGGGACAAAGAACAACAGCTCGAGGTCGCCTGGGCTTCATTAGCCTACCCAACAATGCCTCATCCCGCCTCAGCAACTGCAAGACAGAGAAAAACGAAATTTTCTTTTTAATTTAACACCTTAAGTACTAACACAAATACGCACTTCGTTTTTACCGTTTCTGACACAAGTGAAACCAAGCAAAAGAAGTAGTAGACGGCAAAATGAATGTTAGTGAACTAAAATTTTTAAAAATAATAGCAAAAAGACACAGAAAATCCAAATCACATTCAGTATGCAATGAACCATATCAATCCCGAAAAAAAAAAACAGTAAAATATCCAAACCATCCCAAAATTCAATGAACCCATAAGTGAAGAAAGTAAAACCCAAAATCTTAACCAAAATAACAAGCAAAGCGAGCAATGAAAAAAATTAAGATAAAAGCACACCTGAACAAGAGGCAACATATAAGCCAAAGTCTTGCCAGACCCAGTATGAGAACCCAAGACAACTTTTTTACCATCCAAAACAGCAGGAATCCCAATACATTGAATCTCAGTAGGAACCTCAATCCCCATCTCTTTAACAGCCTCCATAACCTCCTCACTCAACCCCAACTCCTCAAAACTACCCGCAATCTTTTTCCCTTTCTTAGACTTCTTAAACCCATCTTCTTCTTCATTCTCAATAGCAACAACTGGTTCTAGTGGGGTTTGTGTTTGAGTTTCGGTAAGTGGGGTTTTTTTAGAGTCTTTAAGATGTCTATGTCTCAGTCTCTCTAGTAGGATTGAGTGTTTTAGTTGATCTGGTTCAGTTGCTGTTGCTGTTGATGATGATACAGTACATAAGGGTCTAAAGTTAAACCCTAGTAAAACCCTAGTGGGTTTTTTGGGGAGTTTGAGAAATGGATGATAGAGTTTGCTTGAGGAAGACAGAGAGAGGTTTAGAAGTATTCTTGAAGTGCTTGCAGCTGCCATAGCTCTTTGCATTTTGTTTTGGATTTTTTGTGGGTTTTTCGGTTTTGGGTTTTTACGTGCTTGCTTTTTGAGGTTTTTTCCTTTTGGCTCCTTGACAATGGATGTTGATAAAGTGCGGATGGTGGAAATGTCTGCTTACCCCTCGAGACCTATATGACACGTCGTTTTACGGCCATCGCTAGTTGCTGGTCATTTAAGTTTTATGGAGAAATGGTACAGTTTATCTTATATAATTGAATCAGTAACCAATCTATTTTTATATTCTAAAATGAGTTAATTATATTTTATATTTTAAAAAGTTTACAATATATTATAATAATGATTTTTTTCTACATAAATCAATGAAAAAAAATTACGTGATTTGGTCATAATTAATTTTATGTTGAAAATGCCTTTCAAATTAATGAGTATGTGCAATTGATATAAACAACAAGTATTTAGGATTTTAATGTGATTTTTTGATGAAAAGTAGTGAGTTTGTGACTTTAGGCTTTTGTTTTAATAATTAAAGAGTGTATGAGGAGTTGGGTGGCTGGAAAGTAGAGAAAAATTGCGGCTTTAATGGTGGCTAACACTATAGGCTTGATTTGGCCGAAAAGGTGAGGGGAAAAGGTTGGTTTTAAGTTTCGGGAGTCTCGATCAACAGGTTAAGACTTGAGTTTAGGTGAAATATGAAGGTTTTGACTGAAAAATGGAGGTTTTGAGGTGGCCAAATAAGTGGCAAGATTGGTTGTTGTAGAATGATTTTGGCAGAATTTTTGAAAAGGGAAGGGAAGGAGAGGAAGAAGGGGTGAAGGGGAAAAAGAAGAAGAAAAAATAGGTTTGGTGTTTGTCTTCTGCAGATCAAGATGGAAGAGATAGTGGTGATGGATTGGTGACTTGAAGAGTTTTTTTGAAATAAAACTAATCATGTGCAGTTCACATTATATTTTCTTATGATTTTATTAAAAAATTCAAATGATATATCAAAAAATCACTTAATGTAGAAGAACATAATCAGTTTATTTTAAAATATAAAAATATTATGCAAGGACATATTGTATCATTTCTCAAGTTTCACATTCATGCAAGAAAAAATGTTATCTATACTTGGCTTACAAGACATGCATACAAAATTTCGAGAACCACTATATTATATGCGTGTATATTATATTTATTCATATAATCTATAGATAATACGATGTATCAAGTCTATCTAACAATTTCTCTCCTTATTAGTTACTATGACCTTCACTGAATTAGGATCCAAGAAACAGACCGTTATGCTGATATTTTTGAAAATCCAGGCGCATGTAGTAGCTGCTAACTTGCCAATCTTCTGGACAAGTTAGAACGAATGATGATAATGCCTCTCTTTAAGAGTTTATAATGGTCCTCCACGTTAGGTGGAATGCTATAATAAATCCATGGAGGGTTGGTTTATCATCGCCCAGTTAGAACTGGCCCCATTTTAAACTGATCGAGCGAGACCATGTTTGGGCAGTTCAACTTGTACATGTCTTGTTCGTGTGGATCTCAAGCGTCTATGAACCCCTTGCCTATTTCTAGGTACTGAAGTATGTTTGGGTACTGGATTATCATTACCGTGCTTGCTTGCTCCCCCATCACATCCCCTTCGCAGATTGACAATATACTGACTTTCCACTAGCAAATTGAAAGATGATTTCAAAGAACCAAAAAGAGCAGAAATGTTGATAAAATGGTCTGGATTTTGTTACAACTTCTTTCAACAACTTTTAAAAACCCTTGCTTAAATTTGTCAACAAATTTTAATTCTTTCCCTTTCTACCTTGTGTGGTTGTATGATTCGAGCAAAGGATCACCTCTTGTAAGCACCCAGACACGAACGATCTGTATGTATTCAAGTAGGGGCACTGCTAAACAAGCGATGAAACAAAACAGGTTCATCGGCATCAGATTGCTGCACTAATGACTATATCAAATTCTGGAAACTCAAGCTCGGTTAGTTTTGTTTGGCATGTGCTCAACTATGCATGCAAAGATAAAACACGAGTAATCAAAGTTGTGGAAATCAGCCCAAAAATCCAAAATGACAGGTGCAAGAATATGGACGATCCTACAAACTTCACCTTTTTCAAGGAATTATAATTTCAAACAAGTAATAATATCTGCAAGTATTTAGCGTATATTTTGCAGAGTCAATCTATTGACCTGGAGAGTTCTATACCATTATTGTTGGCGAAAAATCTAATCAATTGTAATATTCAGGCTTCAAGACACCAACATAAGGCAAATTCCTGTATAGTTCAGCAAAGTCCATTCCGTAACCCACGACAAAGTAATCTGGACACTGCAAAAATGAATCACAGAGAGGGGAAAAAAATCATTTCCAACTCAATGCAAATTAAAGGATTAAGCTTGTGTGGCAGTTGATACCAGAGCTAACGTAACATAAATATGCAGTCTAGACAAATATTACTTTGATGGTGTGCTAGCTACAGTCCCAACTAACATTCATTTCAAATAGAAGACATGCTCCCAGTTTCAGGAAGTATTTTGAAGCATAGGAACTACTAATCTAGGAGTCAAATTGTCCATCCAGATGTGGATACAGGCACAGATTTCTAAATGCCACTCATCCACAGCAAATAGTTCAACTTCTACCCAAGCAGAGCAGATATATTTACAGTTACAATTGCTCCCATATGTGAATGGCTTTCATTTAGGACAGAGAGCTCTGGAATTGAAATGAACATTTTTGGAAATTGTTCGGAAGGAAATACAAAAGGAAGAAAAAAATGCTGCAGAACAAGCATATTCTCATGGTTTTCGCAACAAATGGAGAAACAAGAACCATCAGGTGTTTGTATGAAGCATGAACAATCAGCAATGTGCATATGCTGCAATATGAACATTGTGATTCAAGTTTAGATTTTACGGATAGAGAAATTGTCATGATTAGGTTGAGGAGTTCCTATGATGGGACAGTGAAATAGGGGGTTACATAATAGTTGACTGAATGTAAATGTCCAAACTACTTCAGCACAATTTCTCAGCATTAAATATCAAATTTCATCAATAAGTACTACATCCTAGCAAAGGAAAGACTATTCACAGAACCACAGGAGAGGCAGGGTTGGGGGGGCGTTGAAGCAGAGAGTACCTCAAATCCTTGGTAATATTTTCCATCACCCAACAGTTCAAAATGAACCTTCCTTCTGGCTGGTTTATCAAGGAACGTACACACTGATACAGAGGATGCTCCCTTGGCTTCCAAGTGTTTAATGAGACAGGATAAAGTGTTTCCTGTGTCTACGATGTCCTCAACCTAAGACAAGAAGATAGCAAAGGTTTAAGCAGCCCAAAACAGGATCAACCTAATCTATAATATCTAATAAATTAAAACAGGAAAAAAATCATTAACAAAAAAAGCTTGGAAATGTAAAATGTTTCCATTGATTTTTTCATGAAACTATCCATGTCATTTACAATTCATTTTTTGTTGTCTAAACACAGATATCGCTTATGCACATGGAGGGAAACGGAAGCATCCCATATCCTCAGTATTTTCCATGAAAGCAATTTGTGTCATTGAACAGCAGTTACTAATCTAAAACATGGATCATTGCACATGTCCACAGAGAGAAAACATCTTCCACCTTGATTTTAATAAAATTCAGTCTGTTCTGGAGTCGAGGTTCGAGAGGAAAAGGAAAAAGGAAATCATTTTCCATACCATGTGATTGAATCAATTAGTTTCCTAGAACCATACTTTCTTAAAAAGTTCAAGATAAACACTTCATTTGATAACATATCTCTTCGAGGGTTTAATCCTTCTTTTCGTCTCATTTAAACGCCATTCCAATTCCTTTTCAACCGATTCCTACAGGTTAAATACAAAGAACAACAGCGTTTTTTAACCAAACCAAAACTAACTCCTTCGTAGTCGGTTTTGAGAAAGAACATCCATCGCGCATTCACAAGAAATTTATCATTAATATCTCCTACTACCAATAATTCAGAAATGAAATCCTACGAGTGTCGTCAAAATCAAACATTTAATACACGAATTTATTGCTAAGAATATTAAAAATAAAATACGTGAAACATGAGGAATAGTAAGTCGTACGAGTAGAAGGAAGAGATACCAGAATGACGTGTTTGTCTTTAACATCGAGCTTCAAGTCGAGGGAAATGCGGGGAGCCCCACTGGACTCGGTACCAGAACCGTAGGATTCAGCACGAATAAAATCAACGGAAATGGGGAGTTGGATTTGCCTGACCAAGTCAGCCAAGAACAAAAAAGCGCCGGTGGCCACGCCCACAAGGAGCGGAGGGGGAGAAGGAGAGGAAAAATCGGAGGTGATTTGAGAGGCAAGTTCGGTGACTCGTTTTGAGATTTGGAACTTGGTCCATAAGACCCTTTCTATGTGGGCGTCTAAAGACATAACCGCCTTGATGAGGGTGACGAGAGGTGAGGGATAAGAGTTTCGAGTTTTGACTGTGGGTTTTTGGCGAATACCCGATTAGTAACTAATAACATTGTACGGTATAAATATATTTTATAAAAAATAGATATATTAAAAAAAGAGAAAATAAAAAATTTTGAGGATACATAGATATAATTTTTATCTTTTTTAATATATATATATTTTTTAAATGAATCAATGAAGTAATTTCAGTACATATCATTAATTACTCGATTATGTATTATTGACTTGTTGCGTTTTTTCAGCTAATTGAGAATCGTATGCGCATTATAAAATTCTAGATACCAAAAACATATCTGTATATTTGGATTCAGAAAATCGATCTCTCTTTCGAACAAAGAGCTCTACGAAAAGTTTTTATTCGTCTTTACCTTTGAAGAAGTGGGGTGCGAGGGAGTAAATTATAAAGCTTTAGTTTTGATAAATAAATTAATTAATCATTTTAATTTTTAAAATTAATTATTTAATTTTTTTAACCAGTATTGATCATAAATAATTTAATATTTTTTATTTTATAAAATTTTTTATCAATTTTTATATATTTTTACTTTTTTTATTGCTTTTATATTTTTTAAAATAAAAAATAAATGAAATTAAAAAACAACAAAAATGACTAAATAATTAGTTTTTAAATCAGAAGGATTAATTAATTTTATTTCCAAAAAGAGAGGGACTAATTTATAATTTACTTGGTTGCGTGGTCTGTGCTGTTGTTGGCTGTGTCAGCAACAAATGATGAAAAGATTGTGGTATTTTCGTTTTAATCACAAATTAAAAGGAAAAATGATGAAATCTATGTTAGAAACCTAACAAAAACTAGTGACTAATTATAATGCTTGAAAAGTAAGATAATTAAAAAAGTAATTTCATTGTTTGATTGATATGTGTTGTTTATTACGAATAAATCATTATATGTTTATAAAAAAATAACTTCTCAGGACTATTGATTTTTTATTTATTTAATTCTAACATGTGATTAATTTATATTTCCGTTAAAATTTTAATTTTGTAACTTCCAATCCTTTTCCTAAACCAATCACTTGCTTTTTCAAGCCCTCGTTGTTATGCCTTGTTGTTAGATCCAAAATTTAAAAAGAATTACAAACACTCGTCGATATAGGTTTTATTTACTGGTCTACCAATGTCTCTACATTGTTTTTTGTCAATCATTATTTAAACTAATCATGCTCGCTAAGCTTATTCTTCTATCACTAGCGAGTTCCTTGAGCAATTTTAGAATCTTAATAGCTACCTCCTCAAACACCGAGGTTCAATCTCATTTTCTTGGCCTGGATTCGACTTCTTGTTGTGATGAGTTTACAAGAAGTTTGTTGGATTAGGTTGAATTCATTGAATTTCAGTTAAAGTTATCTAAAAATCTCACCATCATGAGAATTTACTTTGTATATGTTCAATTTATTTATAAAATTAATTAAGTAATTTAAATAATTTTATTATGTACCAACTACCAATTCATGTTATTTTACTTGATTTAATATGAATTCAAGCATTATTTTTCACCCAACATAAAATTTATATCGTGTAATTACGAATATAAATATGTTGACATGACTAATGTTTATGTTTATGTTTTGGAAATACATTAGAAACATTTTTTTTAAATATTTATTAGAAAATTAAAGCAATGTAATTCAAACATATCATTTTTCTTTGTGAGCTTAATTTTTTTTTTTAATTTGGATATATTTCTATAATTCAAATATAGATGACTTGATGTGATTCTAGCTATTAAGAATAATTTTTTTCTTTATAAATATGAGCTTCACATCATAAGTCAAAATTTTCATTTTTTAGCTCATTTTTCGCAAAAAAAAAAGAAAAAAAAAACAAAAGCTTTTCTCTACCTCTGATCTCTGGTCGCACTTAGCCAAGATACTTGGTTGGTATATCAATCGTTTTAAAAAAATTTAACCAAACTATTGACACGTGATTGAAGTTAGATTTCAGTTCATACAAAATGTTTTTCCAAATTTTCTTCACGGAAAAGTTGAAGAAAAAAAGATTAGCGAGTACCTAAGTCATACCAAATGCACTCAAAATTTATTTACTTCAACTAGCATTAGTTTATCAATATAAAGACAAGAACTCCAAACTTTTTTGAATCCCTAATTCCTCTTAACACCGCATCTTTCACGTATCATCTCTCCTCCAACACACCCAAGAGTTGATAAGAAATTCCCTTCGAACTTCAAAGTGAACGCTTTAAAGTACAAACTCAAACTCCATTAGATATATCATGCGTGCGACCGTATACGCTAACAAATTGGGCCATGAGTCCATCTGAAGGAGCTGGGCCAAAGTTCCGAAACTTGGCGCCAAGTTCCCAAAATTTAAACCACCAAAAACCCCGCCTCCAAAAGACGAAGGAAAAAAAATATTTCAAAAGACGAACCCCAAACAGATCGAGAAACGAAACCGAAAAATCCCTCTCCATCCAGAAAAAGAAAAAGATTATGCAGACGCTCTTCATCGCCCTACAGTGCTACCAGTGCTCAACCATGCAGGCAGCCATATTCTATCTATCTCTCTCAACTTTATCAATCTTTCTGTTCATCTACCTATCCACAGACACGTGTACATTACATTCATTTATTTTTGTTTGCGTGCGCAGGTGAAGCAACAGAAGAAGAGCAGCAACAAGTGGACATGCGTAGTTTGCAACCAGAAGCAGTCCGTAAGAAAAGTCTTTTCTCAAGGCTACATGGCTAAAGACCTGCGCAAGTTTGTCCAGTCATTCAACATGTCTCGCAAAATCGCTGATGAACAAGACTACGTAGATCAAGAAGCCGCGCTAATCCCAACGTCAGAAGCTGATCATATTGGGTTAAATGAAGGCTACCAGAGAAAGAGGCGCTCTGATTGGACAGAGTACCTTGATGGAGAGGAAGATTTTAATATCAAACAAGAAGATGAAGGTAACTAATAAGTGTTTCCCTTAAGAGCAATGTCTTAATTTTGATCAATTGCTAAATGGGCGAATACAATCTTGGGTTAATATCGATAATAGCTCCTAAAATTGAAATTGAGAGGGAATTGGGAAATTCGGGATTGCAGGAGAGGAATCTGGGCCAATGATTGTGACAGAGTTGCCGAAGGAAATGTTTAAGAAATCCAAGTTGAAGAACTACGATTCTGGGCCTGGTAGTGGAAATTGTTGCGATGGTAATCTGTACAAGCCGATTTTTTCGAAGAAGAATACAAGCAAAACTTCCATGTCTCAAGGTACTGGAACTGTAGCATACGAATTAAGAGATTTCTCATGTTTTAAGTTTCCTAGTTTTAATCCTTTTGGTTAACTTTGAGTTACAGACAAGGAATCAAGGAAATATCAATCTACAAAGACTGCTGGCAATTCACAACGGAGTGACTGCATGACACAAGTTGAGAAGGAGGCAAGGACTTCCCAGCCAACAATGGGGAAAACCAAGGCTTCCAAATGGAATGATTACATGACATTAGATGAGGATGGTTTTAATTTTGGGAGGGAGAGAAATGTTGGAGCTCACCACCAGAGCTATGGCGATTGGGAGACCCTAATGGATGACGATCAGAAGGTAGAAGATGATGTCCACCCAGACTTCATGTGAACATCTTGTACTTTGTTCCCCACTCTTGCTATTTAGATCAGGAACGAAAATCAACTGAAATTGGGAAAGCTTTGAGCTACTTGTCATTAATTTGAGTGTATTTGATCTCGTTTGGGGGAAGTGGGGAACCATGCCAAATTCCTTTCGGTTTCCCATTCCATTTTCTATACACCACTTTGTGCACAAATTAAAAATGTGTAGTTTTCACTACCATGTTTAGATTGTGCTTTGATAATTTTGTCTCGAAAGAAAAGCCTCCCTTTGTCTCAGCCTAGGTCACCAGACGAGGACACGTATACGTTTCACGACTTCTCTCACAATTATGGATAAACGACTGGCAACTGGCAGGTATGCCCCAAGGCAGAGTCCTCATTGAAGCTAAGGTTAACACTCATGGAAAAGGTCAAAGGTTGAAAGCTGTTACAGAGAAAGGAAGGGGCAAGAATATTGACAGGAATAAGTCATAACAAAAGCAGCTTCTAATAGTTACTATGGATACGTGAGGCAATATCCATATTTGGAAAATATATAGCAATTAGAGTTAGGTTTGACATCATATGCAGCGTTCATACCCTCGCTTCCTGAAAACAATAAACAAGGCAAATTATTTTAAAGTTTTGGTCATGAGTTTAGGCACAAACTAGACATGCCTAGTTTTCACTTTCTGAGGTAAGACTCCTGCGGAAGCATCCAATCGTACCCACATTGCTTGCGTGCTAATAATTCTGCATGTCACTCCAAATCCGGGAACAAGAATCCGTCTTACATCTGACATAGAGTAAAAATATCACATCAACCCTCCTTTCGTTGTCGAAGAATACTTTTTTGTTAAAAAAAGGCATGAAATTATTAACAAAAAACTTGATACGACTTGCTCATCTCGTGTTTCAAGAATGGCCGTGACGATGAATTGGTATCATCACATCGGAAACCCACGTTCTCTACAAACCACAACGGCACTGATCTCTGTATCAACTCACACTCATAGTCCGATTTGTAACTTTTCTTTTCGAACAGTCCAATTTATAGCTCACTGTATAATAATCAACCAATAGCTACGCAAAATCATACACAAAAAAAGATCAGCTAGGGAGAGTGAAAAATTGTCTATCAAAATCCAAAGTCAAATTCTATGATGCGTCCAAAAAATATATATATATAGTTTCCAGAAACATAAAAGCAACAAGATAATCCTAAAAATCGTTAGCCTTTTCATATCCTCCATTCCAGATCAAAAACCTACTCAATTTCGGCAGTCAAGCTACCAATCCACTAAACAAAATAAGGTCCTAGAATATTAGTTTCACGGAAAATTCCAAAAATGGGCGACCGGTCATCAAGCCCTACAAAAATTGGGCTCATAAACAACAATTACGTATTTACCCACAAAAATAAGGCACGCTTCATTCATTGAGAGCCAACGAGCCAAGCTGATCACCAACGGTAGAAGCACCAGCTTCCTGAAGGACTTGCATTGCCTCAGCCACCTTTTTCTTGAGAGCATCTGGAGATTCAATAAGATGTAGTACCTCTGTTTGATCCATCTCCAGTAACATCCCAGTCACCTTCGCCACATGATCTGGCTCAAGACGTTCCACAAGGGGATAAAGCTGTTCACCCAGCATCTGCCAGTAAACATACAAAAATATAATAGTTATGTTTCATACATCTATCTCCTGAAGTGCATTTTTTCAAAGGGGAAGCAATGTTGTATTACATACCATCATTCGGTTCTCTGGTGTAGCAGAAGCCAAAGCAGTTGTGAGCGTTGAGATGGGCACTGGAGCTGCTCGCTGGGCATCACTAGGAGTTATAGGCATACCTGAAGCCTCAAAGGGCAATGGCATCACAGGACCAACAAAACCTTGTGGGACCACAGATGAATCGATGCCATTTCTTGTGTTGCCCATGTATCTGAAGCCTTGATTGGTATTTCGGTGCAATAGCTGAATTTAAAATGAAGCAGATATCAGACATGGACAAACAGTAGTAGCAGGATTTTTTCCAAATCTACATGAAGTACGCATTAAGATTAAGAGCAACAACAAATTTACCCCGTGTTACAAAAACAAAAGAGAATAGCAAGAGCAGTAAGCCAAAAGAGCTCATGTAATGGTGAAAATAACAGCGAACACTCTCTATCACGTTATTTAAAATCAGAGGAAGAAAGCTTGGACAAGACATTCCTAACAAATTGCAGTGCAATACTATCTCATAATTTAGTCATCAAGTTTCAAATCAAGCAAGTGCTTATTTAATGAAAACTTCAGCAAAATTAAAATGATTTGCCCATGCAAAGCAGTAAAGTTAACATATAAAATTACCAATCACACTACTTAGGTATGGTATGGGGAAATATAACATTTTCTTCAGTGACAGGTAAAGGAGGGAAAAATTGATGGACATAATGCACCTGCTGTTGCTGCTGCATCTGTTGGTGGTTCCCTCCACGCCGCATACCCATCCTCTGCCCTTGTTGGCCTTGCCTTTGCATCTGATATGGCATAACAAAGTTTGGGCCAACACCAGCACGCATTCCAGGCAAAACTTGCTGCTGGAAACCGTAACCTGCAGGCTGAGGGGGCATCATGCCAGGAGTTCCTTGGCCAAAATAGAGCTGCTGTGGTGCAAGCCTAGGTGTCCCAGGATGATATCCAGGAAGTCCTGAAGGCAAAGGTGACAGTCCAGGTGCCCGAATTTGAGCAAAATGTGCCTAAGAAGAAACATCATTTAAGTTAATCCATCCACACTTCACAAATAAAATGAGAAAATAGGAGACTGCATCAGATATTACCCTATATACTTTCAAACTATTGAGCTTTAGAACAAGTATAACTCTCATCTCATTATGCACGATACTAATATTTCAGAAAACAACGGAAAAAAAATCAACTTTGGGTGTTCAAAAGTAAATAGCAAGATCAAAGCAACCCTCAGATTCCTGCATATATCTTGCTTTACCCGGTTGCATCTGGACCTGGGTCTAAGGGTATCTGAATTTCACACCCCAAAGCTCATAAAAAAAAGAGCAAAAAACTAGTCATTTCTGCTGTAAATCAAGGGCGTCATCCAGATTAACAATGACAGTGATACAAAGCTATTGAAGAGCTCAGTAGTCAGATTTTATAGGTGCCACTAGTGTAAAACAGCTTTGAGGACAATGCAAGTCACACAGATAATATAAGAAGTTGAATAAATGAATTTGAACAAATGTTTTCTAATTGGAACAAAAAAGGAAAAAGTAATTGTTTGACAAGAAAAATATGCAGTAATGAAGATCACCTGCAGCCGAGCCTTCCTTTCATCTCTGCGTTGGGCAACAGCTACATACAGGGGTTTCTTTCCAATCATCTTTCCATTCATTTCATTCAACTGAAAACAAAAATTGGTAATAACAAATTAATATACAAAAATAACTAATGTAAGGAGCCAGATGGAAAGATCTAATTAGAAAATAAAAATTAAAAACTTACAGCTCTTAAAGCTTCCTCAGGAGTAGAAAAGGCAACAAAACCAGAGCCCTTACTCAGCCCTTGTTGATCAAGCATAACCTGGAAGGAATATTAGCACTTGAATAACAAAAACAGAATTTATACATGGAAAAATAACCCAAGTATCCCTTCAAAAAGCAACTACATCATATTTATTCCTTAAAAATAATATATACCTTGCATGATGTTATAGATCCAAAGTCGGAAAATAATTCCTTCAGTTTCTCATCGTCAATGGTGTCATCAAGATTTTTAAGATATAGATTGGCAGCCTTCAGTTTCTCATATCTGCTATTTCTTTCCTGTTCAAACCTGGCTTTCAACTCTGCCTCCCTTTCTCCTTTCCTCTGGGCCCTCCCCACATACCAAACCTTATCATTGACGGTGGTACCATTCAACTTCTCCACAGCAGCAGCAGCAGAATCTGGGCTCTGGAAGTTCACAAAACCAAAACCTCTGGGATTCCCATTTTGGTCCTTCATAACAATTGCACTGGTGATGGCGCCATAATTGCTGAAGATTTTCTTAAGGTCCTCATCAGAAGTTGTCTCAGACAAATTCTTAACATAAACATTAGTAAATTTTGGTGACCCATTGGCCTCAATCCTTTCTTGGCGTCGAACAAAAAGTCCAACATATACTTCTTTATCATTTATCAGCATGCCATTCAACCGGTTGATTGCACTTTGAGCAGCTTCCTCATTTTCAAACTGAACAAAACCATAACCTTTTGATTGACCATTGTTGTCAACAGCTACCTTGCAGGAAAGGACAGACCCAAAGGAAGCAAATGTTTCCTGCAATGCCTTGTTATCAATTGAAGTGTCCAGGTTCTTGATAAAAACATTTGCATGTCCACTTTTCCTAATACTAGGATCACGATGAGAAAACATAACTCTGATAGGTTTCCCATTCAAAGGGGTGAAGTTCAGAAGCTCCATTGCATTTGCAGCTGCAGTTTACAAAACCACAATCAGGGTCAAAATGCTGAGAAGTTTGTTTTCATTAGTAAAGGGATTGAGGAAAATGATGCATGCCTTCATATTTCCAGTCACAAAGACAAAATATGCACACATAAATTTAAATTGACGTCAAATTCAGTGACATTAAATTAAGGCGTGCTACACTTGAAGGGTGTGAGGGAGGGCGGCAGAGAAGAGCATCAGAAATAATGGATATAAGCCGGTAGAAACCGAGTATTTGTTATTCATATCAGCTGGCATTTCATGAACTGTGCACAAAAAGTTTCAGACAGATTAAAAAAAAAAAAAACCAATAAACAAATAAAATCAAGCGTCAGTAAAAAAAAGTCCTTTTCCCATCCATTCTCCTAACCTTTACAGTTAAAAAAAATTAACTAGATTAATCTTAATGACTAGGAAAACTATAAATAGATTGGCACTGCAGAGTCAAAAAAAATTAGAAAAACACACAAACTGATCACGAAACACAAAACACTTAAATTAAACAATAGTTATAAAAAAAAACCTGCAAAACAAGAAAAATATATAAAAATTACTACCAACTTTTGCTATGATCAATATCCACAGCATTCAAATGACATTATTAAAAAACTTAAGAAAATTCTCAACACTGATGCATGCACACATTGATAAACATTGATTGCCACATGGAAACAAATTACTTTCACAGAATAAAAACAAATACAAGAGCCAAATAATCATATAAAACGGGAAAATTGTTACCATCTTGAGGATTGCTGAAATTGACATATGCATAACCAAGTGAGGATCGCCTAGCCTGATCCCTACAAACCCTAATGGAAACAACCTGTGCCACCTGGCTAAACAGATCAAACAGTTGTCCTTCGTTAACGTTATGCTCCAGATCCCCAACGTAAAGCGACGCATTCGGAAACTGTGCTGCTGCTGCCGTTCCCGCTGCAGGAGCAGCCACTGCCGCTGCCGCTGGTTGAGTCGTAACCGCTGTTGCCGCAACCGCTGCCGCCATCACTTTCTTTCTTCTCTCAAAAAAAGGAAAGAAGAAGAAATTGAGAAAATAATGATAACGTGAGGGTTTGTGATTGGGGATGCAGATAAATAGAAGTAGGGTTTCTTGTATAAATAGAATTAAGTTTTTTTAATTTTTATTTTGTTTTTTATTTTTTTGTTTTTTGGGTTTGTTTCCTCTTAGGAAAGGGAGAGGTGGAGGGGGAAGGGAAGAGTGAAAGGAAACGGAGGCAAGGAGAGATATATATATGTGAGGGAAAGGAAAGAGACATGAACCGGTTCGATTTTTTATTTATTTTATATTTGGTTGGATTCGTTGCGATTCGTTTACGTAATAGAGGGGAAAAAAAAACGAAGCGAAGAACCGCACGTGTGATTTATTGTTTGTTGGGAGAGTCGTGACGTGGCATTCGATTCGAGGCTTTGTTTGTGCGGTTACTCCTCTGCAAGTAGTTTCTTTTTCGGATGGACTTTTTTCATGTATTACACTAGTTATTTATTTTGCTGGTGACGTTACCTTCTGGTTTGGTTTTTTCGGGATGAACAAGGGAAGCCGAAATTGACCAAAAAAAAAAAAAAAACCAAACTGAAAGCTAAACGGGTGATATTTGATTGATCGAGTCTGGTAATCGTACAACATCATCAATAATATCTTTTTTATTCCACGGTAATTAAAAAAAATCAATAATATTTAATGTCACAGTTAACAAATCTACATGTTTCAATCCAAAAAATTAAAAATTAAATCTCTTGCACAATTTGTATGTATATCAAGAGAGTAAAATTTATAAATTTAAATATTTATCAATTATGATCATATCTGTTAATAAGGCAATCGACAAAATTAGTCTATAGTTATGCCTATTAAAATGGTAATATATAAATATGTTACAGACATTATGGAAGTGATGAGTTTTTCTGATCACAACAGTCAACTACCAAAAACTCCATTTACTAATATTATTTTTAATTTAATAAAACACAACCAATTTATTATAGCACTTAATTAACAATATAGTAATTCAAAAAGATAGACTTGAATAAAAGAAGCTCTAATTATTTAAAATATATATATTAAATTTGAATTTTTATATATATAAAAAAAAATCTGAATATCTATTCTCGTCTCCTATATCTATAAAATAGCAATAGATTAAGCTGGATTAAAAAATAAAATAAAAACCACAATAATATGGCATTCTCGCTGCTGCAACTTTGATCTAATACTAATAGTGAAAAGCCCCAACTAGGAGTATCTACTCAAACTAAGGACTATGTTAGATGGGTTTATGAAAACTGATCACGGCCTTAAGCTTGAGTCAAGAAAAAGGCAGTGAGCCCAAAAACTAATAGGGCCCAAGTTCATCTCACCTACGAATTTTACAATCTTAACCCGCCATCTTTAGCTATGACGTGGACTCAGGCTCTCCGCTATTTCGTCTCTCTACAGTCAGAAAACTAAAGTCAGGCTTCCTCTCTGCAGTCTGTAGAGTAGAATTGGAGAAGACAGTAAGAGGGAGGCGAACAGAAAATGGCAATTACATTATCAAATGGCTTAAGAGCTCTATTCTTGGTATTGGGCTGTTTAATGATGGGCACTCTCATCTACACTATCTACGTCGATGGCTTACCATTTCGCAGAGACCTCCTCACCCCGTAATAAAACACAAACACACTCTCTCTCTTTCATTTTCTTTTCTCATGTCAAATATTTTCTTTGTGGTTTCAGATTTTTCTAGATGTATAAATAAATGCAAATTATGTTTCTCTTTTACGTTGCAGGTGGATGATTGCTACTTTAGTCGATTTCTTCATCAATGTTATAGCTTTGGCGGTACAGCTAACTTTCTTTGAAAAAAACAAAAGAAGCTATTTTGGTTCTGCTTCTTAAAATAAGAATATGACTTGTATTTAATTGAGACACTTGTCTGCTGATTATCAATTAGGCTTGGGTTTCCTACAAGGAATCAAACTTTATCACTGCAACAGTTTGGATATTTCTGCTAATATGCTTTGGCAGGTATGCTTTGTTGTTATCAACTTTAATTCTTGTTCCATTAAGTGCAAAGCTCTTTAAGAAATTAATTCAAATGCGGTAGCTGTTAGTAATAGGTATGGATGCAGTGTCAAAAGTTAGTGCTTTAAAGCAGTCTTGCAATATATTGTCAGGATTTGTTGTTTAATCTTTTTGTTTTTTGGTTCTTTTCAGCATTACAACGTAATAGAGGGGGAAAAAAAACGAAGCGAAGAACCGCACGTGTGATTTATTGTTTGTTGGGAGAGTCGTGACGTGGCATTCGATTCGAGGCTTTGTTTGTGCGGTTACTCCTCTGCAAGTAGTTTCTTTTTCGGATGGACTTTTTTCATGTATTACACTAGTTATTTATTTTGCTGGTGACGTTACCTTCTGGTTTGGTTTTTTCGGGATGAACAAGGGAAGCCGAAATTGACCAAAAAAAAAAAAAAAAAAAAAAAAAAAAAAACTGAAAGCTAAACGGGTGATATTTGATTGATCGAGTCTGGTAATCGTACAACATCATCAATAATATCTTTTTTATTCCACGGTAATTAAAAAAAATCAATAATATTTAATGTCACAGTTAATAAATCTACATGTTTCAATCCAAAAAATTAAAAATCAAATCTCTTGCACAAGTTGTACGTATATCAAGAGAGTAAAATTTATAAATTAAAATATTTATCAATTATGATCATATCTGTTAATAAGGCAATCGACAAAATTAGTCTATAGTTATACCTCTTAAAATGGTAATATATAAATATGTTACAAACATTATGGAAGTGATGAGTTTTTCTGTTCACAACAGTTAATTACTAAAAGCTCCATTAACTAATATTATTTTTAATTTAATAAAGCACAATCAATTTATTATAGTAAATTATGTAATATAGTAATTCAAGGGGATTGATTTGAATAAAAGACGATCTAATCATTTAAAAAAAATAATATAAAATTTAAATTTTTATATGTATTAAAAAATATCTGTATATCTATTCTCGTCCCTCGTATCTATAAAATAGCAATGGATTAAAAAAAAAAACCACAATAATATTGCAGTCTCGCCGCTGCAACTTTAATCTAAAACTAATAATGAAAAGCCCCGACTAGGGGTATCTACTCAAACTAAGGACTATATTAGATGGGTTTATGAAAACTGATCATGGCCTTAAGCTTGAGTCAAGAAAAGGGCTGTGAGCCCAAAAACTAATCAGGCCCAAGTACATCTAACCTACGAATTTTAGAATCTTAACCCGTCATCTTTAGCTATGACGTGGACTCAGCGTCTCCACTATTTCGTCTGTCTTCAGTCAAAGAAAGAAAAAAAGCAACCAACTTCAGGCTTCCTCTCTGCAGTCTGTAGAGGAGAATTGGAGAAGACAGCAAGAGGGAGGCGAACAGAAAATGGCAATTACATTATCAAATGGCTTAAGAGCTCTATTCTTGGTATTGGGCTGTTTCATGATGGGCACTCTCATCTACACTATCTACGTCGATGGCTTACCATTTCGCAGAGACCTCCTCACCCCGTAATAAAACACAAACACACTCTCTCTCTTTCATTTTCTTTTCTCATGTCAAATATTTTCTTTGCGGTTTCAGATTTTTCTAGAAGTATAAATAAATGAAAATTATGTTTCTCTTTTACGTTGCAGGTGGATGATTGCTACTTTAGTCGATTTCTTCATCAATGTTATAGCTTTGGCGGTACAGCTAACTTTCTTTGAAAAAACAAAAGAAGCTATTTTGGTTCTGCTTCTTAAAATAAGAATATGACTTGTATTTAATTGAGAGACTTGTCTGCTGATTATCAATTAGGCTTGGGTTTCCTACAAGGAATCAAACTTTATTACTGCAACAGTTTGGATATTTCTGCTAATATGCTTTGGCAGGTATGCTTTGTTGTTATCAACTTTAATTCTTGTTCCATTAAGTGCAAAGCTCTTTAAGAAATTAATTCAAATGCGGTAGCTTTTAGTAATAGTTATGGATGCAGTGTCAAAAGTTAGTGCTTTAAAGCAGTCTTGCAATATATTGTCAGGATTTGTTGTTTAATCTTTTTTTTTTGGTTCTTGTCAGCATTACAACGTGTGCGTACATTTTTATTCAATTTCTCAATTTGTCACCTGAAGAATCTTTGCAAGATCCGGTGTATCATGTACTATTGCGGCATGAAAGCAAGTATGTGATTTGAATTTCTGGTTTATAGAATTATGCACTAATGCTGGAATATTATTAATATAGTGTAGTAAGGTTGTAGCCCATATAGGATTTGGAAGTCATTCCAGTTTCCATTTTGCTCCCTTCTATTGTTCTGCTTCTTCAGTGGTGGTTTGTTCAAAGCTGTGTATGTTGCTTCTGTAGAAGCAGAGAAGCATGTGCTTAACCACTGCTGACCGCATTGGATGCCTGAAATCAGTAACCTTTTTATCATGGTAAAAAGTATGCTCCAATATATAAAATTCAACTCAGACATTTTAGTTTTGTATCTGGCATTTGCAGTCATGATGCTAAGCATGCTGCAAGTTGGCTTTAATTTTTTTGTGCAAACCCCCTTACCTGATAGTAGAATGCCTGAATGCTACTGTTCATAAGTAAAAACTCTATGAGGGAAAAACATGCATGTCTATGTTGATCTGTGGAACTTATAATGTTTTGAAGAGTGGGGAATTGTTCGGAGATACTGGAGATTTTTCTTCACAGACATCAATTGTGGCAGTCTTGATGGTGCTTTACTGCTTAAAAAGATTGAACTTCTTGTTGGGTAAACCGCCATTTGATAGTTTTATAGCTCTGATTTGTACTCCTGTTCTAACAGGATGCAATTCTGGTTAGGAATATTTTGGAAGAGAATATCTACTGTAGCACCAGGAACATGATTCTTTGCATTTCTTTTGGTGGTTATTCTGTCTTATAAGTCCATCCATACCTCATATAAAATAAGACTAAACAAGCTCTACAGACCTCTCCCCCTCTCCCTTTTTGTAATAGTTGCTAATGCATTGACAAACAGACTTTCTTTTAGGTGTGTGGAACAAAAGACGAAGCAATCTGCTGTTGTGACCACAAAGATTGCTTTCAGTGTTCTTGGTTTTCTGATGTTAGGAACTTTGATTTACACTCTAATAACTGATGGTTCTCCTTTTCGCAAAGAGCTATTTACTCCGTAAGTTTGCAGTTTCCTTTTATCTCTTTCCATTTCATTTCTTCATTTGCCTCCTTGTTGAATATGCTCTTTCCTTGCACAGTATTGGTCTTTATTCTCTTCTGTAATATTGATTGTATAATGCATGTTTGCAGGTGGATGGTTGCAACACTAATTGACTTCTATATCAATGTTGTGGCTCTTTCGGTAGGTGTCTTACAATTGTTTTCTGCTCTAATAGTCTTGAAGTTAATTTTTCAGGAGCTTCTTTAACTCGTGCAATTCATTTGCACTCAATACATTTTTTGTATTACAAGAAATATAAAACAGTCATGTACGGGCAGGATGTGCAATGATGTAAACCTTTATATCTGTATCATTCTCACAACCTCACAAGATTCTGTTTTTCTTTAAAAAAGAACAAAATTGTTAATCTTATGGGTTATTAAATTTAGTGCTATTTGCCAAGAGAATAATACTGAATTTTGGGTTTTACTAGTTATTCTTGTGCATTTTCTTTCAAATTGAATAATGTCCTTTTGTATGAATTCAGGTTTGGGTTGCCTACAAGGAATCAAGTTGGATCAGTGGATTCTTATGGATATTGTTATTAATATGCTTTGGGAGGTAATATCTCATTCCTTGATTCTCAAATATAAAGCATGATTTGCTTTGTTTGTCATGGAGTAAAAGAATTGCAAGTAATTTTAAGTCGTGAAACGTTATGAAGATAAAGTTGCTATGTGATCTGCAATTGCTTTACATGATCGGTCGTGATGTATAATCCATCTGTGCACTTGGGATGCAAGAATTTTCAGATACATATGGAAGGGAAATGAAATTTTAACTGATAAAATCTATTTACCTTTTTGAACTTTCTTTTCATGTTATTCTTTTGGTGTCCAAACTTCGCCTTGCACCAGTATGGGGCATGGTGTATCGTTGTTGATGTAATCTCTAAGTAGTACTGGAATTGCAGTTTGTGTGTTTGTTATGAAAATGTTTGTCCATCATGGATACAAGAATCTAGCAGATATATGGAGAAATTGAATTTACTGCTGAAATTTTGAGTTACACGATATTTTGCCCACTTTTATTTTATGTTATCTTTTTACTCTTTTCAATTCCAAAACTGATCTAGCACCATCGTAGGTATTTTGATATCTTTTGGAAGTGCTGATGTTTCACCCTTGCAATATTTCAGCATTACTACTTGCGCCTATATTGTCAAACAGCTGCTGCATCTTACTTCTCAAGATCCAGTTTACCTAATCTTATTTAATAGAGGCAACAGGCAAGTTTAGTACACTTGTTTGTGTTTTAAATTCTTGCAGTAGCTTTAAGTGGTTCTGGGTTCAATTTTATGGGTGTGCAGGTAGAAGAATACGAGTGTATAACTGGTTTTGTAGTGATTTGTTCACGTTGATTTCGAAAATCAACTTATACAATCACAAAATGGCATAAAATGAGGAAGTTAAATGTTAATTACTTTGGTCTTGCAATGAGCTATTATTAAGGATCAGGATACTGATTTCTCGTTCTAAGAACCTGTGCGTTTGCTTTTGTTTGTGGAAAGATTTGGAAATTTACTTGCTGTGCTCATGACCTGTTTCCATTCTATATATATATATTTGTATGATTTCCTAATAGCCGCACAATTATTTGTCCATCGTAGGGCAGAAAACAGGTATGAGAGAACCTAAAGAGCCAGACTACACGACAGGAGTGAATAACGGACATGAACTTATCACACGTTTCTGACAGTGTGATTTCTCACAAGTTCCTTCTCATTGTACAAATTATCGGTATTCATATTGTTTCAACATGTATGATCCAAATAACTGTTGACAAAAGTCATATATTGATCAATCGAATCGTGATTGTACTACACGTCAGAATTTATATTTTGTATACATATTGTGACTTCTTGGCAAATTTTTCTGTGAATTTGTATCAGTTTACCCTTTACTTCAATCCCACGTAGAGCATAATGTTTATGTATATGTATATGTGACAGAAAAATTACGCTAATCTACCGAAACGTATCAAGTGTTCGAAAAACCTCTTATTTAATTGCAAGGAGAAGAAATCGTTCGTATAACCACCCCTGACCTGAGGTGAGAACTATTGGGTTGGTTTGTTGACTAAGACCGTATCATGAGCACTGATGCGTGCACTATTAGTCCTGGTTTGTTCTAACCTTTTTCGGGCTTATCCAAAGAAAAAGAAAAAAAAGAAGAAAAGATGATCATGCTGTAAATTTCCAACAGTACAAAATTGTTGAGTTGGACCATAGCTTCAATGTTTGCTTTACTTTTTTGCACTTCTTTTTTTTTTTTGGTGGTAATTTAGTGGCCAAAGCTAGTAATCTAGGGATTGAGAGCCCCGTACAATCTGTCCTAAGTCCTGGAAGAGTAAATTGAAACTGGATCATTCCTCGAGCCATGTCGTGCCCAGGTTTGGCCAGTCAATTGGCACAGAAGTTTCCTTATCTATAATATTTTTGTTTTAGGCTTTCTTTGTTTGTCAGAAAACAACTTCCATAGAAAAATCAATTACTGAAGTAGTTATTTTTTCATAAAATTATTTTTCAAAAAAATATTTTCTGCCGTTTGATAATTACATGAAAAAATTACTAAAAAATATATTTCAGCGTTTATTTGATACGGAAAATTAAAATACAAAAACACTACGTGATTATTACATCAATAAGTTTTGAGAAAACTTAAAAAAGGTATATTCATAATTTCACAATATAAGATACATTTAAAAAAATTAATAAATTTTCATAAATAATGACTCTAAAATTTTAATTCAAAAAAATTAAATATATTTTTTTAACCATTAAAACCAATTCATCGAATTACTTAGGACAAAATCAAGTCAATATTCACATTTAATAAAAAAAAAAATTCTAAGTAATCCTAGCATTGCTATTTTGATAACTCAATTAAGAATTCTTTTTTTTTTTTAGAAAACTTCAAAAAGTTTTGATAAATAAAAAAATAGTATGTGATTATTACATCAACAAGTTTTGAGAAAACTTCAAAAAGACATATTCATAATTTTACAATATAAGATACGTTTAAAAAAATTCATAAATTTTCATAAATAACGACTCTAAAATTTTAATTCAAAAAAATTAAATGTATTTTTTTAACCATTAAAACCAATTCATCAAATTACTTGGGAAAAAATCAAGTCAATATTCACATTTAATAAATAAATAAATTCTAAGTAATCCTAGCATTGCTATTTTGGTAACTCAATTAAGAATTTGTTTTTTTTTTTTTTTTAGAAATTGAACTGATAATTTAGTCTAAAAATAATTTTATAAATTATTAGTTATCATTTGTAGATAATCATTCATTTGGTTTCAAAATATTAATGTTGGAATAATTTGTAACTAATTATTCACTACAATTACCAACAAAATTTTACAATTGATTAAAAATATAAATTATCTATTTAGTTGCAAATAAATAGTGTTGAAAAAATAATGTATTAATTAATTAATTAATTTCAAATTTTTTCAAAAAATTTTGGTCTTATAATAATCATTTTCAATCGTTTAAGTATAGTATAAGTGGTGTTTGAGATAATAGTAAAAAAATAAAAATAAAATATTAAATATTTATTATAAAAATAATTTAAGGTGTAAAAATGGTTTTTAAAAATATTAATATATCTGTAAACAAAAAAATCAAATGTTAGTAGAAGTAGAGAAAAAAATTAAATAATAAATATTAATTGATAAGGCATAATTAAAAATTAATTTGATATATTTTAAATAAAAAAATATAGAGAAAAAATTGTTAAAATATATCCAGAGAGAGATAGGTAACGAGCGAGACAACTCGTGAGAAGAAAAATGATTTCCTTTTTTTAAACTGAAAAAATATTTTTTAAAAAATACTCTATCGTTTTTCATTGATTGTTTTTCTAAACGCGAAACAAATACTGAAAAATGAAAAAAACAAGTGTTTGACTACGTGGCCTTATTTATTTGATGTATGCTCAGTATCGACTACGCGGCCAGGGAAGCTTTATTCGAAACTAGAGTTTGGCGGAGAATGAGTTGAATCGAACATAATTTTAAAAGGCAAACATCAAATATACCAACAAACTATTAAGGTATTATCAATTTTAAATTCGAATTATTTTTTGTATTAGTTTTATCATTAAATTATTTGATTTTTCGATTAAAGATTTTTGTAAGAATCATTTAAAAAAAAACATTAAGTTTTCTATAAACTGACTTACTTTTTTTACAAAAAAATACAATACAATTTGGATGGAAAAAGGGGAAGAGAGCGTTAAAAATGAATGAAAGTTTTTAATTACGAATTTGTAAAGTTTAATGGTAAAATTGATACCAAAAATTGGGGTAAATTATAAATTAGTCCCTCTAGTTTTCATAAATAAATTAATTAATCCCTCTCGTTTTAAAAACTATTATTTAGTTTTTTAATTAGTTTTGAACATGTTTAATTTAATATTATTTTTATTTCATAAAATTTCTTATTTTTTATTCATCTTTCCATGTTTTTTTCATTTTTTTTCTATTTCTTGAAACAGAAAATCAAAATAAATTAGAAAGGGGTAAAAAGGACTAAATTACAAGCAAATTTTAAAACATGGGGATTAAATAATTAATTTTTGAAACAAGGGGCACCAATTAATTTGTTTCTCAAAACAAGAGGGACAAATTTATAATTTACTCACCAAAAATTGTTTAGTAATAATATTATATATCCGGTGGGGAGGCTAGTCAAGATATAGATAATTAGTGTTGTAAATTATAAAAATAACGATCAAACAATTAAGAAGAAATGATACAAATAGTGAGAGACATAAGAGGAGGGACATACAATACTGATAAGATGCAAATCATGTGGTTAACAAGTATGTAGTTAAAGTTGAAACATGTAAATCTTTAAGTGTTATTTCGTGTGTGAGTGAGGAAGTTTTGAAATAGAGAGTTCAAAGATTTTATTTTTATTTTTTTTTGCTTGAGGAAAAATTCTAAAATCAAAAATTTTTCTAATGCAAAAGTTATGAAATTTTAGAAATGATGTAAAACTAGTATTCATAATAAAAGAATATGATCCTTGATCGCTTAGATCGTGTCACGTCATTTAATTTTGAACAACTAGATTTGTCTTAAAAGATTTAAGTTTTTTGAGCTAAATTGCTTCAATTAGCAAGCAAAAACTAAGAAAATTAACAATTGGATATTCCTTTAACGGATCATGTTCTAATCTCGTCAATCCAATCTCTCTAATGCATCTAAAAAACCATACATGGGCATTGGTTTTGTCACAATACTCATGTTCATCATTGCAATTTAAGATCTTGTGTTAAATGAGACTTATTTTCAGTTCAATCCATTTGTAGTGTAGTTTGAGTCAATGTAAAAAACCAAAAAAAATAACATTAATTAATATATAATAAAAAAATAGCTAAATTATTTAATTAATTTTTATGAATAAATTTAACTTATACCCATTAAAACTATCTATAAAGTTTTTATAGGTAGATGATATTCCTAGATTTCTCCTGATTTTAATATATATAATAAATATAACTAAAGTTGATATTCTTATCATGCAACAAAAAATGCAAATAAAGCTGGTGAAACAACATGACTGGACCTAAGGCTCAAATTTAAAATCCTTGTATTTTATTTAATAAACTCAATGACCAAGATTAGAATGCCTTTATCTTTTCTTTCGTTCTTTCTTTTCTCCTTAAAGATACAGATTTCATTCAACTGAAATTGAGACTTTTATGAAGTCAACCAAAATACAATAAATTTTCTGCATATAAAAAATAAAATGGACTTACATACAAGTAAAATGATTTATCTCTATTTCAAAACGACCATTTAATTGTAAAAATTTGAAATTAATGGAGGATGATTATAAAATTCAAATTTAAATAGTTGTGCTAATCCAATTTAGGTTAGGAAAAGGTAACCGAAGGAGACAAAAAGCACTAAAAAAACATGCGTAGTATAAATATCCTACTGGTACTCAAATTTATCACAAAAAATCACAAACTTCGTCTCTCTGACTCGATCGTATAGTAGTGGTATTTTTGGGAGAATATACAAATTTGATAACACAGAAGCGAAGAAGAAGATGCAGATCTTCGTCAAGACCTTGACTGGCAAGACCATAACTCTCGAGGTTGAGAGTAGCGACACCATCGACAACGTCAAAGCCAAGATTCAGGTACCTCCTTTTCGTTAACTCACTTTTTCTTAATCGTTATTATTTTTTTTATCTATTATTGTGTCTAAAATTCTTGTGGGTTTGTTTATTTTGCTGGAAAATTTGTTGCTCGATAATTTTTTTGTCCTTTTCGCGGTTGTAATTATCAGCAGAGATTGCGATAAAGCTCTTGGCTTCATAAGTTAAAATAAGGCCTTGAATTTTGTTGCTTAGACTTATTTTGGCCTTGAATTTAATGGGTTTGTCTTCTCTTTATGGTCTCTAGTAAAAGCTTGTACTATTATATGCTTTAAGTAAATACTGGTTTTAGACTAACTAATAGATAAGAATAGTTGTGAACTAAAATTTTCAATGGAAACCATCTCAAGCTCGACTTGATAGCTGTCCGCGTCGATTGCTTTTGTGATTTTTCATAGTGTGTATCAGAGCCATGACACTTTCTTGGTTAGACAAGAATAATAGTTGTTGTGCTGCTATTTAATATTGTATTTTTTGAAACCCACAAATCGAAAAGGTTGGGTCAAGAATATTCAACTAGTGTCAGCAGTAACATGTTGTCATGTTCCTTTGTCATGGGTTGCTGAACTCATTTCTGGCTGTTCGTGGATGTACCTTTTTCAGGACAAGGAAGGCATCCCTCCTGATCAGCAAAGATTGATTTTTGCTGGTAAACAATTAGAAGATGGGCGAACTCTTGCTGATTACAACATCCAGAAGGAGTCAACGCTTCACTTGGTTTTGAGGCTTAGGGGAGGAACTATGATCAAGGTGAAGACTCTCACTGGAAAAGAAATTGAAATTGACATTGAACCAACCGATACAATTGATAGGATCAAGGAACGGGTTGAGGAGAAAGAAGGAATTCCTCCGGTGCAGCAAAGGTAGCAATGCAACCCTTTTTTTGTTTTGTAATTGACCTCATTCTGTGCAGCCATTTTCATGTGATTTAAGATGCTATAGCTATACGTTTGCTCATGTGATATCAAAGCAATCTGTTGTAACTCTAGGGATCATCTAAGTACACCCTTGGTAGCAACATGCTTAGTTTATCAGTAACATACGGTCTTGTTAGTGTGTCATAGCAGTGGTATTACCTGGTTTCTTAATATTACCTGGCTTCTTCTATGCACCATGCTGCATTAAACTTTCATCTGGATGGCAGACGACAATGGGTTTTTATTACAATTTTTCCTTTCGTTAATGCTTTCTGCTGGTTGCAGGCTTATTTACGCTGGCAAGCAGCTTGGAGATGACAAGACAGCTCGTGAATACAATATTGAGGGTGGCTCTGTGCTTCATCTTGTTCTTGCTCTGAGGGGTGGTTATCTCTGAACTGCGCTCATAATGTTACAAAAATCTACCGATTGAGGCTTCTCACTTACAGTTACTTGATGGATGTATGTTTTGGCTGGTAACTGTGGATAACATGAGGTCATGAGAATTCACGAGAAATATGTTCTTATATATTTTTTTCTAGACATGAGATGACTAATTATCTTACTCTACTTCCAATTGCTGCTTTTATATTTTTTGCTGGGCTAAGACGGGGTCTGCTCCCATTGTTTACACGCCTTTTAACTGGTAGATATGCATGTGCTTTGTGATGGCTGGACATTCTGCTAAGGCTATGTTTGAAGTCTTATATTGATGATGCGAGGGAAATTGATGATTCTCATTGATTTACTTGGAGTTCTTGAGAATTTCGTGATCAGACCCACCAGATTTTCTGATTTTTTTCTTTTCCAAACGGATTTGGTAGGTCTTATGAACAGGTCAAGCTTTAATTTGTTATCAATGCAGTAGAGTCATGTTCAATGTTTGTTTGTCAGCTGTTAGTATTAAAGAATCTAAAGTACACTGACTTGCTGGAAAATGACTCAGATATGCATCAGCTTCCTCATGTTAAATTCACAATAATACAACTAATCCTTAATTAATTGGTTCACTCACTCACTAATCTAACCAAGTACTGAGGAGAAAGCCATAACCATAAATTACTCGTGGCTATTCTTTTGGTGGTTAGTAGCACAATGATTAATAATATGCTTTTTAATTTTAATTAGTAGCTAGTATATTACACACTTATGGTACGACAAGGAGTCCCAGTGGGTGGGCCTCCTGCCAAGCCATGAAGCTTCCTCTCTTTGATAGCTGGATCTTCTAACAAGAGCACCTTGTCCCTGTCTCTAACCCTAACCATGTGTTAGTGTTCACTATTGTCTCTCTCCTTTCCTTTGAACAGCAGCCTTTGTTCTTTCGGCTCCAAGCTAGTTGCCAATGACAGTATCATCTTCAATTCCCCTGATGAATAAAAAATATAAAGATTAATCCTCTTTGTAAATTGAGAATGAACATATATATACATTGGTGAATGGGGGAATGGGACCTAGTCTTTCCAAATGGATGCTGGCCTCAAAATTGGATGGTGCGGTGAAATATGTATTTCACGTTTTTCATCATTCATAGAGTAACAGTAGCCATTAGCAGAATGAGGGTAATTTAGGTGCCTCTTCCTTATAGCTGCTATGAAAACTCTACAAGCTGTATTTAGGGGGCTTCCAATTGGTTTTACATATTTGTACGGGCCAAAACAGATGCCGCACAAAAACACGAAGAATGCAGCTCCCATCACCGCTGCTGAAGTCCAAAAGCCAAAAGGTCTCTATCCAGGTCTTTTCAACTACGAAAAATGCAGATATGATAGTGCCTATAGAACTGCAACACTGCGCCAAAATTGAGTACCGGCACCGACTTTTTCATCTTTATCCCCATTATTAAGTGCCTCCTCTGAATTATCATCGGCTATTTGATCAGAGAGAAATACATCCAAAGGACAAGTTCCAGCGTCGCCCAAAGCTAGTAGTCCCAGTGCTAGGCAAATTATAGGGACAACCACTGGCGAATCAAGCAGCCGCTGATATCAGAAGCCAATAGCAACGCCAGTGCCTACAATATATATATAAAAGAAAAATAATCACCATAGTATGCTTCTGCAAGGTGAGTGATGATAACAAGAAGAATGGCTCGGACTCCATCAAAAGTATTTACGATAGCTGCAGATATAGGGAGAGGCATCCCCCAGTACATTTTTGATGACAGATAATATAAGAACTCATTCATGACAGCATTTTGCACGAATTGAAGCCATGGGCGAAAAACAAACCTGCATATGTACGCAAAAAGCATAGAACAGGGTTAATTATGTGATGAAATGGCTGGTTGTACATGTATTTATGATTAAAAATTGATATGTCTATTAATTTCTTTGGTTATAAAATAATATGCATCCTTGCTGTGATTGGCATGCTGCCACTAATTAATTACAGCAAATGAGGAATAATTAATTTCCAAATCGAGACAACGAATTTCTTGGTGAATTAACAAAGAAATAAATATGTCAAGTACTGGAACATGGTAAATGTAGCACATTTTTCGTTAGCTTTTGTGTAAATATAGCATGTTTTAGTGATAGTTATTTCATCAAATTTCTCAACCTAACATGGTATGGTTTTTTGCCCATTTAATTTGTTTTACTCAACAGTTTAACTGAATGACGTTAAAAAAAATTAAAAAAATCCGATGCTTTCATCATCGGCGCGTTTTCAGCAATTTTGTGCGATCATATCGTACTTCTTGATTGGCGTGTTTTCCTTCATCACGCTGAGGTATTATTCATCATGCTTTGTAAATCTCTATACAATGTCTTGCCTGACCCTTTACAGAGCTTGTGATTTGCGTGCATCACTTCCACATAATCCCTCCTTTATCCTTGATCATAAACTTCTTTCACTGCTAATTGAGAAATTAGATTGTTTTCTATTCAGATTCTGTAATTGGACAAAGGGAGAATCTTTACTGCATAGATGGAGCTACTTGTATCTCTACAAACTAAACATTTGGGAATTGGGAAGGTCTCTATTGTCTAAAGCCCTGAAATCTTAATTAATGTTTCATATTATTTTTGAATTCAGATAAACTATGAACTGATCCAGCACCGCGTTTTGCACAAATGGCATTGGCGGACAACAAACCTGTGGATCATGTATATATAACAGGGTTAGGTGACCAAATTACTGGCCAAATATTCTTGCATGTATAATTAATAATCTCCATAAACATAAAGTATTACTGCTAATTATTTATTAATAACTCAAAGCTAAGTGAAGATTATTATATCATACCTTTGACAAAGAAGGCCGTCTTGTAAAAGTGGAAGTAATACTGTGTCCATTTTTTTTTCGCTGAGATTAGACGAACGACTATTACTACTGGTATTTAATGCAGAAATTTTAAAGCCGAAAGCAATTGAAGGAAACAATAGCTAGGCTTGTCTCATGGGAATATATATATATATATAATGATACGTTCTCCTTTGACTAGGAAAACTGAATCTCCACTTTGAGTTTTTAGTTTACAAACCATCTGTTAGGGATGATAATTAACGGATATCTGGTTTATTAATTTAATTTTTTACTATAATCATAAAAAGATATCATATCTATTATTCATTTAAAAATTATTATATAAATCTTTACATGACCTATAATACTCAACCTATACTCATACCCAACCTATATTAATTTATCAGCTCATTTATTATTTATTTAATATCGATATTAAAAATTTGTAAAAAATATTTCATTTTAATTCTTGTAATTTTCAAAAACAGTTTTTTTGTCCTTACAATTTAATTTATTATTATTATTATCATTTATTTTTATTATTATTTTTTATTTTTTGCATTTTGGTCATTTCTTTATAAGTTAGGTTTTTAGAAAAAAATATTTTGATCCTTAATTTTTTAAAATTTATGCAATTAGATCCCCATATATTTGAGGAAAAAAATTCAAAATAAATGAATGAGTATTAATAGGATAAGGAGTAGATATCCATGTTCTAAAATCATTTAAGTTGATATATATATTTTTTTACCCTTATCCACTTTAATATTTATTGAATATTTTTAATAGATATTTATTGAGTCGAATAAAATAAATACCCGTATAATATACTAGACATGTTGTCATCCCTACCACCAATCATGTTTTTCCTAGTATCAATTATTCCGACAATGTTATTACTTAGAATTACTGGCAGGAATCTAATTAACTTAATTTTACCATCGAGAATTCTTGATGGGTATGATGATTTCATTGGTATAATAATATGCATCCATGCTGTAAACGGTATGCTGCCACTAATTACAGCCAATGCTGAGTAATTTCCAAATCAAGACAGAATTTCTAATGATTAAGTTGGTGCATATATGTATAAGTACTACCATAACTGAACTGATATATAAAGTACTTCTAGAACTCTGTAAATATAGCACATTTTCGGTAGCTGCTGTGTAGAAATGGAACTAGCGTGGTATGGCTTTTGTTCTACCCAGCACTTTAACTAAAAACCAGAATGATGGTGAGAGAGAGAGAGAACAACAGTATGATGAAGTTTTGAGAAGCAAATTTTAAGAAAGAACGAATGCATGCTTCGCCTTCCTTAGTTCCATGGTTATTATCAGAGATGCTTTGCCTCATATAAGCATATGAATCTTTTTTACGTTAAGAAAAATTTCTTCTGCACTGGAAATCCAGATAGGCCATGACATAACAAATAATATCAGTTAGGATTTATAGATTATATATATTTTGATGTTCAAATTATACAATTGAGATCATTTTAACAATAAAAAAATCTTCATCTATATGTAATGGCACTCTACTCTAGCGATAGGTAGAATAATGATACCGTCTAAACCCAGATCCACCGCAAAAGGCAACATCACAAAAAGGAGTGGATCAAGTTCATTCCCACCTGTCAATATGTCATTGCTTAACCAGGCTCACTTTCTTAAAATGCCAACTTTAAAAATATGAAACGATTCCCAGGAGAAATTTGAAACAATAACCTTCACGACTTAGACGATCTTTTATCTAGAAGCAGTTGAAGCATTCAATTCTGACATGAATCTAAAAAAGATTTTCTTTTATCACAACAAAGATAATCCGAATGCAGTTCATGGCATATTAATCCTACATGGAATTCTACAGTTTTAGACTCGAGAATTTTATCATACAAAAAACAGCACTGCCTGTTAAAAATGGCATTGACACTCAACCATGTCTCGGCATGAAGAGCTTACTTAGTATACAAAGTGTATAAAAACAAAGTTCGATAAAATGGCAAAAAATCATGAACAAAAAATGATAAATGAGCCAACCGCGAGCACTAGGATGGATCTGTTAAATCTATCCAGAATTTAGCATGCACAACCACCTCTTTGCTCACTCTCTGCGACTCCCTCTGGGATACCCTGGAAGTATCTGCAATTAAAATAAAAGGAATGGGTATCAAAAAAGCTCATTAATAAACGTTTTGGATTAGTCTACATATCATTGAAATGTTAGAACTGCAGAATGTACAAGCACTAAACTTAAATCAAGGATTGGGGGTTCGAAACTATAGCTTAAGATTTTATCATATCACTTATACAATAAGACCAAAGATATGAACATTCTACTTTTCTAGTACAAATGAAAGATATCCCAAGAAACCTTACCGAATCCATATACAGTTCAATTTCTGGTAAATCGCAGTCAAAAATACATCATATGTATAATAAGAAATCCTAGGCTGTAGATCCTAAACATTGATAGCAAACTATTTTAAGATAACGTATGACAAAACTAATCGGCAGTCATCCTGAGATGTAGATCCTAACTATTAATAGCAAACAATTTGAGAAAATAGTCTGTGCATGATTGCAATCACAAATCATGCAACTAAGAGACCTCAAAATTTTAAACCAGGGATATTATGCTCTGTGGGGAAAAGAAACATCTTGTCCCAGAACTCAGCATTTAAAACAACGCCATTCTATTCCTAGCATGAAACTTTCCAAATGCCTAATGCCTAATTGATCATTTTACCAAAAGCTTGGAAACATTTTGGAATCTCCTGGTTAAGCACTTTGATATCATTGTAGGGATCAGACTTTTGGGAGTTAGTGAGAAAAGAAAGCTAAGAAGGATGTTTGGGAAAATAAAAGAATGAAGTGACTTATGAGAGAAAATGAAGCACATGACAAAAGAAGATAGAGACAACCAGAACCTAGTAATTTTAAAACCTTTTTGTTTTCCCAAATCTTGTACTTCGTATATTTCATTTATTAAACCAAATAATATAAACAAGAAAGAAAACACACATATACACACACATGCAGAAGAATCTCTTCTCTTTTTCCTGATAGGTACAATAAGCAAGATTTAAAAACAGCCAAAAATTGTTCAAGAGTAGCACTAAAAAGAAGGACAATGGCCAAAATTAAAAAATTTTAAGAAAAAAGGAAATCAAATAAGAGAGAGCAATAGATAGCCATAAAAAGAAAGTCATCAGAGACACTGATTGTAACTTAACAAGTTGTGTCTTCTCTTTCTAATGTCCTCTTGCCAGAACAAACCATGCATAAGGCAGGCCAGGATCATCCATGCTACACATACCCCTCACCACCTCTAACCAACCATCAATACCAACATATACCACAATCAAAGATGCAAGCCAGACCCAGCAGAATTGACATTGAAACAGTTCTGTGACAGCACACCAGAATGGCTAAATAAAAAGAAATGCTCAGTTCCAAACAGTGTTAAGGTTTGATTTTACAGGGTTGACGATGCCATGCCCTCTACGCCTTTTCTACACAATAAAAGTTTCAAACCATTTCTTAACCCATTCCAAAAAAGTTTTCCCTTTAAGATTCTTTGTTGTTAATCACATATCTTGTTTAGTTCTCATTTTGGTCTTGTGAACTTGGAAGACTTGATCGCGTGTCATTTCTTGACATAAAATCAGCGATCCATTACAGCTTACATTACTAATATATGGTGCTAATACAATCCAAACACGAACTCAGCTGACAATTCAAACTTACATGTCCTGTTCATGCTGATTGGCTAGAGCAGCTTTGGCAATGGACAGGAATGCAGGATCAACATTGTAATCTTCTTTTGCTGACGTCTCAAAGTAAGGTATGTTTCCTTTTGAAGCACACCAGTCCTTAGCTTTCTTCTCAGAAACCTGCACACAAAAAATATTAGACCGAGGGCAAGGAGCAAAGGAAAATGAATTTATCAGCACCAAACTGTATGTCCTTACCACTCGGCTATTTCCACCATCAATATCTATCTTGTTTCCAAGCAATATAAACGGAAATGTCCTGGGATCAGATGGACTTGCCTGGGAAGAAGTAGGAACGAAAACCAAGTTAAATTGGAAAGAGAACAATGTCATCCTCAAAAATTAGCAGCTAAAAAGTTGCAAACCGTAAACCCTAGAAAGAGCAGGCAAGTGATGGATGATCAAAATGGGTAGAATTATCCTAGTCAATTATATAACATGAAATGCCCAGTCAAATAAATCGATACATTTCCACAAAATCCTGCCATGAGATGGCTCACCTTTACCAAGTTAAATAAATTGAGGCGTTTCCAAAAATCCTGTTAGGATCCTTGACAAATTCCCTCAATTTGGTCTTTATACTTATTTCAGAGACAAACACCAGAGTTGGACAGTGAATAAGTAGAGCATTCCCAAAAGGACTACAATATCTAACAAAAAAGGAAACTCCCTATGCCATGGACGATTAGAGGGAATATATTACTTGCAAATTATCGTTTCCCTCGTTACTAAAACTGTGCCCAATTCGGGAGTTGACAATTCCATATGCCCCAAACCATTGGCTCATTCTGAGTAATATTGAGCATTCCGAAAGAGACCACAATATCTAATGCAAAGGGAACAACCCCTACACCCCAAACCACTAGCAGGACTATGTTACTTAGACATTATCCATATAACTTGGTGCTAATATCCACCCCAGCCTAACACATCCCCACACATATGTTAGATAAAAAAACAAATTGATTTGCATATCCATCATTCAAAAAAAAAAACAAGATCTTGTAGAAGACAAAAACCCCAATGCAACCAGAAAAAGCTCATTGGTGCTGTTCAAAATCAGTAAGATTGAAAGCCTGCCAACATCCACGAAACGAATCAACCAAATGTGTGGAAATAATTTGAGGAATCAAGAAGCCTTAAGCACCTACCCATAAACAGCCATCCTTACCAGCTATCCATTCATCAAGTTGATCCATTCGCTTTGATGAATGAGTGGACAGAATGCCACTTTTAACTACTTTATCATTATAATTTGTTCCGTCTGTTGCAGTCGTTAAAAAGTTCCATTAAGAAGTTAAGGTGATAGCTAACTGACCAGCAAACCATTTACTCATTGCATAAGAAAACCCAACATTATCAAGGTTATGGTAGTAAATTCTAGGGGCAGAAGAAGGCAGTCAGCCATTCTCCAGAAGTGCTGCGGAAGCCAAAATTATGAGCAAGTAGCACAGCCAAATTAGTACACTGCTTTATTGTACTACCATAAATACACACCACTTTCCAGTACACACACCAACTATTCAAGCCTTTATTGACAAATGGTGACAAGAGAATCATTGATAGAAACAATGAAAAAAGCAACGACCAACCTGTTTAAGAAACTCTTCGTGCCAGTTGTCAAGAGTATCGAATGATCTCATGACATTCACATCATAAACTAGAACACAGCAATCTGCTCCTCTATAAAACGCAACTCCAAGAGACTGAAATCTTTCTTGCCCAGCCGTGTCCCATATCTACACACATATAGATACTAGTACTTTTAACAAAGCATTCCAAAATAGAAAAATACAAAAAACCAATAGAACTAGAAAACCCACTTGCAGAGTGACAAGCCTGTCATCAATCTGGAGTTCTTTGGTCACGAAATCGGCACCAATTGTAGCCTTGTATTGCTGACTGAACTTCTTGTGCACGTATCTGAGTAATCAATTAAGGAATACACATCCCATTTCCACTCCCAAAAAAAAAAACGCATTAGAAATCATAAATTTCTATATAATCTGAATCTAAATTGATTAAAAAAAACAAATAAACAATTAAATAAATCAATTAAAAAGCAGATTTAATAGATCAGAGAAACGCCAAATCTAACGGCATTATCAACAAAGAGGATACTGATTCATTAACGACGTCTTGCCAACCCTGAAAGTGACAGACAACATTTACAATACCAAATTAGATTTGATTTCATGGAAATGCATGTGTATAAATAAAAACCCTAGAAATCGTACCCACTGTCGCCGAGAACGATGACCTTGAGCAAGGTACGCCTACGCGCTGACATGCCGCTCTTTTTATTTTTAACGGTCACGAATTATACTGCTAGTATGGAGATAAGGATTCAAATCAAAAGAAGGAACAGTTTTCCTCTTCTTTTCGTTTTCACTGTTTTTAAGAGAGGAGATGGAAAGAGAAAGAGAAGAAAAAAGGGGCGCCAATTTCGATCTGCTCTTTTTAGTTTTTACGAAACAGAAAAGAAATTTTTCTTTTCCTTTGAAGTTTCTAGTTCATGCTTTCCGGCAAACTATGTGTAAACAATAATTAAAATCAAATTGCATAAATAAAAATAATTAATAAAAAGTCGCTTTAGCCTTTTAGATTAGAACTCTTGCTTTTAAATCATTTTCTTTTTTCCTGCATTACATCATGGAGTTTGAGGGGGGCCATTTGTTTCCATGGTGCTTTTACGGACCTTTTCTGATCCATTTCTGTTTATGTACGATACTTTACTTGCTTATTTGCTACCTTTGTTTTGAAAAAAAAAAAATTCCTTATTTTGTTATCTTGTCCTTGAATGTCAATTTGTATCGTAAAAAAAAAAAAAAAAAATGCAAAATGTTGCTTGCTTTTGGAACTGCTTTTCCTTCCTTTTTTTTTTTTTTTTCTAGAATTAGTAATTTATGTTACTTCTTGAGCAATTTTAGTATATGTTAATTGAGATTGAATCATTTTTTAGTTGATTTTTAGACTAATCATCAACGTTCGAATTATGAATGGCCAACTCACTTATTATTTGATATTAAAACGGAAAGAGTGATTTATCACTCTTCCCATGTCTGTCTACTTTGTTTTGAAAAATTCTGAAGTATATTTGCCTTTCATACCACGAGTTTTTCCTAAACTTTTATATTAAAAAGGAATTCAAGTGAAATGCCAAAAGGATTTCTCTGAGGTTTGGTGGCTTCTATTTGCTTTGATTAAACATGCACTAACTACTTAACTACTTGTTTAAATTGGAATAACAAATCAGCATTTATACTTAAATACTAAACAAAATTAATATTCTTTTTATAAAAAAGATGAAACTATTGAAAACGATAGAATAGAGCCATTTAATAAATTTATAACAAGAACCCCACCAGATTGATTTGGTGATGAAAAAAAATTTGTTCTTTTTTGGATTAGCATTCTGAAAAAAAAATATTAAATTATACTGATATAAAAGATGCATTTTTAATATCGTTAAAGAAGATATTTAATTTTAATTGATGTTTAAGTTGATCCAAAAATACTATTATTGTTGGGGAAAAAAACTTTAGAGAATAGACTATATTATTAAATATATTTTTTTCTTTAATTATCTGAATTTGAAGTCTTAGGAAAATACCATTTAAGGTAAGAGAAAAAGGTATAAAAATTAAAAGCTTGTATTTTACAGTTTGTATGGGAAAGAGAGAATGGAGGGGAGTAGAACAAAGGTTAATGATATCTTAACTTCGTTTTGGAAAGAAATTTTTTAACGGAGGGAAAGGGGAATGGAAGTTAATAAATGGAAAATAAACTGTTTTATAATTTTTTGACATTACTTACTAATTTCATCTTATTTCATTTTTAAAAATCTAATTTTTTATTAAATTAAAAATTTCAATTTTATCCTTTTTAACAAATAAACCTTACAGAAGAAATTTTATGATACCTAAAAAATAATTAGTTTAAATTACGAGAGAGAGAGAATTAAAAAAAAAAAATTAAGTAATGTGAAAATCTTTTTGTCACCTAACATATATCCCTTCATCCCTTCACGTCCAACTAAAAAGGCAATAATAATATTTAATATCCCCTTTCGTTCCCTTTTCTATTCAAACAATCTTTCATTCCCTTTCTTCGTTATTCAAGGAAGAATGAAAATTGTCTTCCCCCTTCCCTTCCCCTCCCCTCCGCTCCCCTCCCGTCAAAATTTTTTCTCAAACAAATTGCTATAGGCGATAGCATGCATTTGATTGACGTTTGTTCATACGCGACTTGCAGGAAACTTGAAAAAATCTCATAAATACTTCGTTGGAGGCCTTTTGAGTTAATGGGACTATATAGGCTGGAGGCACCCTTCCAATGGTTTTTTATTTTCGGGCTTAGCAATAAGGATATTGTTGGACCAAAATTAACATGTAGAAATTAAAATTCTATCTTTGACACCAATCCAGTTGATTTGAATTTATGAACATGTTGTATTACATCCCAAGGAACGCAAGAGATCTCAAGAATCCAATGGTTTCTGGCACAGGTAGGTTTCACTGGAAAGCGACTAATTCCATATCTGGTGCCATTAATTAAAGTTCTTCCGAACTCTAATTAAAATTACTCAAAGAAATTAAATGAATTTCAAAAGCAAACTTGCGGCGACAAGAGCAGCCAGGCAAGTTGCTAACACCGGGATGGTCAACCTCTGGGTCAAGCCCAAGCCACTCCAGAAAACAAGAAGAAACCAGTTCACACAATTTCATCACTCACACTACAAGCGTAAATTTTCAATTTTACAGAGGAAAAACAGACCTTGTAAATTTAACGAAGTCTCCAGTCGCGTTTCTTTGCATGATAGCTTTCTCACTCTTTAGCATCATAAGATGTTTCATGGGATCCCATGCTTTATCTGCTTCTAGCATTGATACATTGATTTTTTTTTTAAAAAAAAAAGGGAATATGTATCAATATTGATTTGGTTTTTGAATTGATGTATTTCAACCAGCTCTATTTATAATGTCATGAAAGTCCATCATCAACGACTAACCAAACAGAAACGACCAGACAACTTGTTTTTGCGTCTATCATCATCACACTTGGGGTTTTTCTAAGTATTAAAACGAGGCACAAAACCAAATCATCAAAATGCAGTTGCCGTACTCAAAACTCGAAGACAATCAGATTGGCTCTTCAGCGAGAACCGGAAATGCTCAGTGGCATATGTTTTACCAGCCGCGCTTTTTCAAAAAGTCCCTCGTTCTCCTCCTCATGCGAGTAAAAACAATAACAGCACAAGCAAGGACCCATGGAGGGAAGCTTCCACCAAAAGGGTTTGATTTTTTTATCCATTCTGGAGGTTCCTTCAGAGCCATTGCTATCAAAAGAGTGATCACTGCTACCCCAACTAAGATCTTGGTAACTGGATTGATCAAGGAGTCCTACAGGTTCAAAATACAATTGCATAAATATAATATGGGCTGAAACGCTTTTGTAAAAAACTAAAACAATCATGTGATAGACAAAACTATAAATCAGAATCGCGGACTGATGCAAACATCACTGTAATCTAAGCCAAGAACTCTCCCTGCTAAAGAATAATTAAAAAACAAAACACATGCCCTATGCAGGATGATTATGCTATGATATATGACAAAGTATCCCTGTCAGAAAGTTCAAAGAAAAACAAAGTCAGAAGAAATTTTAAGAGAAATGGAAAAGGTGTGGCAGATGCTTTTGGAATTAGCCGGTCGATGTCTGAACGAGCATCCATGACAAGGAAGCCTGGTTCAAGCATAAAGCAAAGAGCTTCCAAGTACCCGTTTTAAAGAAGTAACCAAAAAAAAAAAAAAAAATCTAATTATGCACCATTAGGTTTAACATGCAGAAGCAAGTAACCCTTCCAACTCCTAAAACAAACTGAAATTTCCATAAAACGAAAACATAGAAAGAAAAATTAACATTTTATTCGTATTTTGTGCATCAAAAACATGTATGGGAACAAGTAATAGCAAGGCAAGTATGTCGTAATCTACTCAAATTAACAGCATTCACCTGGCTAGAATCATCTTAACTAACAGTATGGTGAGAGAATGTCGCCGGCTACAGTGCAGCTAGGAGAATTCAATTTACATAACACTCCAACATTCAGAAATCCATTCAAGAAATGCAACAAATAGTGGTTAAAAATCACATTCTTAACAAAATAAATTTTAAAAATGAACAGTCGATGCAAATCCAAGAGAACACAGTGAATGAAATAAACCGAAAATGGTATGATAATCGATAGCAAGAAAATGGAGGCTTCCTTATCCTTTCTACTCTAATTTATAGATTTCGAGTCATGGTTTAATCCAGTTTTCCCAGATTTTATATGCCAATTTATCACCAATCACTTAGCGCAATAAAATCGTAAACAAGCATCAAAGCAGTGAAAAAACTTAACAGATCATAATTGCAGCAGCATAAAGAAAACTCGAAAATTAATAGATAATTATAATACTAATAATAATAATAATAATAATAATAATAATCAAATTTATCCAAAATCACTACTAATTTACCTTTGGTTCTCCATCAACGTGAATGACCGATCCATCTCTATACCCAAGCATAGACCTACCATTCCTCCCAAAACGGATCGGGACACCCCGACCCGACGCGGGATTGAAAGCGAAGACCGCCTTGAACTCATATTTCTCGAGGATTTGTCGGACCTCCAGTTGGTCCTGATCCCACCCTCCCAGGCTCGACTTGAACACGTCAATCGGACCCTTGCCTTGTCTGTAAAGATGGATCTCCACCTCCGGCACTTTGGTCCTGACCGTTTTTTGTGTCAGCTTCGGGTTATTCGGTGAAGGTCCCTTCCCGTCCGTGCCATCGTTTTCTCTTATTTCGTTTTCTGTCTCCATTTTGTTCGAAGAGCCGGCTAATAGATTGTAAGCGCCAGTCTCTGTCCATATACATCAGAATTATTCAATATATACAATGTAAAAATGATGATTCAATTAAAGTATATTTTTATTTATTATGCCATTAAGATTTATCTTATCTTTTGATTTCAACATAAAAAATTGCTTTTTTTTTTTTTTTTTCAATAACTAGTAGCAGTAGCCCGCGTGGCTGTGCGCCTTGTTCTGTTTTTGTTTTTTTAATATTGTAATTTAAGTAATTTTTTATATGATTTTTCTAGGTTAATTGGTCTGTCTTTTGTTTTAATAGGGGAGCATTTTCTCTTTTCTTTTAATATATTATAATAATGGTGACTAAAATATTAATCAATAATTAAAAAAACTTTTAAAACATATTTTTCATAATATTGTATTTCAAAAAACAAAGTTATAATTAATTGATAGATTTTTATAAAAATTAACAAATGAAAAAAAATTCCTATTTAATGTTGATGAAACGATTAATTTTTTAAATTATCTCCAAAATGCTGCGAGCGAGATGAAACAAAATTATTTCAAAATTTTATAATTTTTTCATTTAATTATTAATTTTTTTTGTGTTTTTCATAAAATTTCTACTTAAAAAAATGATGATTTATTCTTCTTTATTCAGGGATTCTTAAATAAAAAATTATAATAATTTCAACCTAAAATATTAATTAAGAATTCAAAAATAAATACTTTAAAATATATATATATATATATATATATATATATATACAATTAATTTATAGACTTACATAAAAATTAACTAATGAAAAAATAAAATTTTATTATTATTTAATGTTTATGAGAAGATTATTTCTTAAAAAGTATATGCATTTGATCTTTATATATTTATTTAAAAAATAATAATCAATAAAATTAGCATAAAAAAATGTATTTGAATAATTGATTGGTTCCTTTTAAAAAATTATTTTAATTATTCTATTTCAAATAAATTGATTCCATAATATTAAAAAAATATCATGGTAAATAATTTGTATTATGTTAGAAGATGTATAGTTATTTTTTAATAAAAATAATGATTTAATAGTTTTTTATATATATTTTGACCATACCTAGTGAACTGAAAAAAATTATTTGAATTATACTTTTAACCTCTTAGAATAAAATAATTATATATTTATATATATATGCAAATATCATTAAAAATTCTAAGAATTCATGATATATATTATACCAATTTATTTTTTGAAAAAGAAAAAATAATCATGTTTTAAAATTTTATTCTAAAATTGAAATACGAGATAAAAATAAATTACATTTATCGAGTAGATAAAGTTTTGTATAAAAAATATTAATTGGGTGAGAATTTCCATAAAAAAAGATAAATTCAAATAATGAAATTTTAATAATAAGAGTAATATACGCTGAAGTATATGTTAATTTTAATATATATATATATATATATGCTATGGGGAAATGAAAGAAAAATGAAAGCTAAGAATTGAAAAAAAATATTACAGCATGAGAGATAAAAATAGGAACAAGTGTTAAATTTAAATATTAATGCCCATAAAAAATCACACACAAAAATTACTTAAATCGTTATCAAGTAAATAATAATTCTATGCATAGAAAGAATAAGTGAATAGGAATTTTATGCATATAAATAGTTTGAATTTCCATGCTACGCTACAGATTGAACTAAACATATTTATTTTAGTTTAATAATACATACTATATTGTTGATTAATTAGAATATATTAAATTAAATATAAAAAATAAAATTTCATCTAATTTTATAATTTTTAATCAAAATTTTTAATCTATATATTTTTTTTATGTTTTGAATAAATTTTGAAGTCAAAAAATATGATTTGTTCTTTTTTTATGCGTTCAATCTTAAATAAAAACCGATAATAAAAAAATAATATAAATTAAAAAAATCTTAATATTTATTTCATAACATTGCATCGAAGAAATAAAACAACAATTAGTACAAAAATTTGTATGAAAATTAATAGATAAAGCTTTTTTACTCATGAGAAGTTTTTTTTTAAATATGTACATTTGATTTATATATATTTATTTAAAAAATAATGAATAATATTAGTATATAAAATTGTATTTGAATTATTAGGTAGTTATTCTAAAATATTATTTCAACTATTTTATTTAAAAAATTAATTTTAAAATATTAAAAAATAATAACAAATAGTTGGTATTGTGTGTAGATGCATAGTCGATTTCTAATAAAATCAATGGCTCTAATATTACTTTTTTTATACATCATGACCATACTCAATGAGTGATAATTTATAGCATAAATTGAAAAATATTTTTTAAAAAATTAAATTATAAAATATATATTTGGGTTAATAGAGTGGAATAAAAAATATATAATTGATTTCGATAAAATTTGATTATATAAAGAATAAGAAAATAAAATACATATATTTAATTTTTAAAATTTGATTGTATGAGAACTAAGCAAATGAAAATAGGTGTAAAAAAAATTTATTCGAATCCATATATATAGAAAATAAATCATATTTTTTAATAAATAAAATTATATAAAAATAAGAATAAAAATTAACTTGATGTGAATTTTTATAATAAATTGAAAAGATCAATTTTAAATAATATGAGTAGTATATATTTATTCTAAAATCTAAAAATATATCGTATATATTATATAATTGTCGATTTATGTGGAAAAAAATAACGATCAATTTTTTAAAATTTTAACACCCGATTAAATAAAAAAAGAACATTAATTGATGAAAAAATCAAAGGAACCCCCCCCCCCAAAAAGTGCGAGTGTATCGGCTAGGGGGTTAAATTTTTTTTTTAAAAAAAGGAACCAAAACGAAACAACTTGAAAATTAAAAAAAAGAAAAATGAATAGTGATTTATGAGAGAGTGAATAGTAAAAATCACTATTCAAACATCTCATCTCTTTTAGTTATATAGTAATCGGAGCGGAGATTGAACCATTGAAAAATGAGGTATGGGGTGATTAAGATTTATTCAAAAACAAAGTAATATAGAGAGGACTAGAAAAACAAAAATTTTAGAAATTACTATTTAAAAGGTTAAGTATGCGGCATTCTATCAAAATTATACTTGACAAACCTCGTTTGACATAAAATTCCTTATTCGCTCGAACAACATTTTGGAAAATTCCATGTTGTATTCATTAAGTAACATGACTATTCGATCAAAATTTCATAACACGTGCACCAAATTTACCGAGTAAAACAACTTTTATCAACCCACCTAATATAAAGCATAGTGTATGATTTTATTTTATTTATTTATTTTTGAAATGTACAAGCATAGCTATAAGACTATTCATAGCAAGACCAATATTTGTCACAAACTATATAGAACTCCTATGAATAGTGCAAAAATCAAGGAAATCATAGGATCCATCACAACTCAAATAAATCTCGAATATCTAGACTATAAAGATCAAACTTGTATTAATAAAAATATCCATTTAATTCACAATATTGCAACTTAATTAATCAATACTTTTTATTTCAGCACAAACTATAATTTCATAATATCTATACATATCTAATACAATAATTATAATCAACTTAAAACAACTTTCATAAATATAACACTTAAAGTTTCACAAATCCAACAAAAATAAAATAGTAAGATGTGAACAAATCAATAACTCAATAAATAGATATTATATAAGTAAACGAGAGAGAAACGCACTAATGAATATAATTTAAAATCTACTCGATATGCAATGCATATTTGTCAAAATCAAATCTATATTTTAAATATTATATCATATCTCATATTTTAAAGTCATTCAAACTCATAATCAAAATCTCATATAAAAATACGTATAATATAATCAAGTTATATCAAGCATCGAAATCTATACATAGAATAATCAAGTCAAACCAAATATTCAAAATGTATACTTGTGGTGATCAAACCATAATAGATCATTAGATGCGAACATCCAAAGGCTACGTCTCTCGCGACTAGGTAATCATATGTTGGCCAATACACGGACTAGCACCATACCTCCGTTGCTAGCAAAAATATTACGTATCAATGAGCTCATAAACTATGTCCCACGTAGCTACGCACTCCAAGATAGTCAAACAAATTAAAAGCCAAATAAACTTACATATATTCTAAAAATACAAAATCAACATACCCAAACACAAATACATGTTTAAAATCAAAATTGGTAATGCAATTCAATATAAAAACTCATAATCAAAGTCTATGCTTAAATATAAACTCATATTCAAAATTATAAATCAAATATTTACTTAAATTATATGAATAAAATCGTAATAAAAAATCTTAATTAAATCAGTAATTAAATCCATCAAATCAAATCAACCTTAAGTGAAATACTAATTAAAAAAGCATAATCAAACTTCGGGTAAAACTCTTATTCAAAAAACATAATCAAATCCCTTTTTATAATCATATAAAACCATTTTCAATATTAAATTTCAAATACACAAGGAGTTCGTTCTTGTCCAAGTTCTAATGAAAGTGATTATGCCATAATTAAATTAATGATGCATGATGGATATGTTAAAGGAACTTAAAAATATGACATGCTATATAATATCTACTCACAATACAATTCAAAAGATTATGAAAAGTTAAGGTTGTTGAAATGGAGTCGCATGCTCGAAGAATCTAACGATGTAAAATGATTGAATAATCATTAATATCATACATCAAGTAATAATTTAGAAGCCAATGAATTATTCTATAAATTGAAATACAAGATAATTTACAAAAAAATAATTTACCAAAAAGATTTAAATTGAGGATTTTTAATTAAATTCTTGCTCTCTCAATCAATACTAAACAATTACCCAACAATTATATCCCAAGTTCATTCCGTAATTTTTCTCTAACAATTTAATTTTATACTTTGCTACAACTAATTATCCATCATTAAATTTCTATTTAATGTTTCGCACAACTTGTCTCTATAATTCATCATCAACTTTCAATTCAAATTTTCACATAACTTCTCTCTACAATTCATCATTGATTTTCAATTCACGTTTTCCCAAAACTTACCTTTACAATTCATCATCTCAACCAACTTGAGAATTTCTCAAACTCATAGCTTAATAATTAATTTCATAAAGCTATTATCTCATTTCAAGCATCAATCGAGCATAAGTAATTCCTAAATCATCGGATTCCCAAATTCAATTCAACTCTTAACCCTAACTTAATGATAAAAATCTTACTTTTCACAAATGGATCTTCAAACTCCAATTTCAAACCTAGAATTACTCTAAACCTCTAAAGCTTTAACCTAACTAAACTTCACTTTAATCATCTTGCTTTCATGGATTTGAAAGGTATTCTCTCTTCTCTTTTCTTTATATCAAATCGAGGAATTAACCTCAATCTTATAACTATTTTCCTTAATTCTATAAATATGTAAGTTACTAACTTAACCTTATTTTTAAGACAGAGTTATTACACAAACTCGGTCTAATTTAGCTTAAGATAAAAACACAATAATACCGATAAGTTGCGGATCGGCATCTATCCAAATAGACATTTTTTAGCTATTCTTTTTCTACGCAGTTCATAGTTAGTAACTAAAAACCCGAAATGCCCAACAACTATTACAGATCATTAAAAACCAAAACCATCTAACTCATGATGCTTTCTCTCTCTCTCTCTCTCTCTAGTTCTTAAAATGAGATGCAATGTCAATATACTTGCGGGGTTTTACAAAATGATCTTATATTAACCAAAAATTAAGAAAGTGAGAGGAGATACTTGAAAAAACATGTTTCGCTTATACCAAGGAAGTGAAAGAAGCTTTATATGTGTGATATTGTCTCATAACATGTAGACTTATAAACTCCCACAAACTACCACATGATACCAAAAAAAAAAAAAAGAAAACTGCTCGATCAATTTATCAAACATTAAACCATGAATTAATCACTTTAATAAATTAAATAACATCAAGCTAATTCTCACCGTATTTATGCATGATAAAAGAACAAATGTAAGATTTGTGATACCTAAAAAAGCAAAATAAAGATCAATCAAAAAGGGAAAAAAAAGAAAAAGAAAAGCGATGTTAATTAATTTAACCAATACATGCTTTTATATTGATAACAATTTAGTCTTGCGAAACATCTAAAAAGAGTTTAATGGTGTAGTATTTATCTCTATAGCTACCTTACAAATCCAAACACCGACATATTTATTTGAAAGTTTTTGAATAGTTGTAATAGTTATTAGCATAAATCACTTCAATTTTAAATTACCGATTCTTAGGTGCCATTTGGTTACCACGAATCAAAAGTCTATAAAGAGAATGTAGGAATTAGAGTAAAAATTAAAAAATTAAATGATATTTGTATTATCGTATCGTGATTGGAATAGTAATAAAAAATTAGATTGAAATTAGGTTTTTTTTTTGATATTTAGTTTCTAATACGGATAAAAATATCGATTAAAAATAATATTTTTATTAACTATGAAGGTAGTAAAAATGATAAAGGTTATTGTGATGGTAGTGGTGGCGGCGAGTAGGAGGAGGATAGAGGAGGAAATGCTAGTAATAATAGTATAGTGCTAGCAAAATATGTTTTTAAAAAATTGATATTATCAACATAGAAGGTGGCAATGGAAAAAGAGTGATGGTTGTAGTATAATAAAAAGTGATAGAGATGATGGAGGAAGAGCGATGACGAAAAATAATAACAACAATGATTTCTTATCACCATCGTCAAATGGTGACAATAGTGATCAACGAGGAGTTATGGAATAATAATAATAATTATTATAGCTTTTATTTTTATTTTTTTCTAGTACCAATGTCAATAGAGGTGGAAGCGTTGGTCGTGGTGGTGGTGATAGAAGTAGTTGATACATAACAAATAAAAATAATATATCATTATTTTGAAAAAAAAACATTTACATTTCTTGTTTTTATTCCTACCTTTTATATGGAAATAAAACTATGTTTAATTTTTATTTTTATCATCACTTCATTCATTTCAATGAAATAGCTAAAAAGTAAAAATAAAACTTTTATTCTAATTTTTAAAAATCATTTATAGTAATCAAACAACATCTTAATTCTAATGTCATGGTTAATCCAATATTAAAGTGTGTGTATATATATTCTTAGGTTAGTTTTCACATCAATCGAGATTAAGTCTATAACTTCCGACTAGATCTCTTTTAGACCAAATCAACTTAAATTTGATACAACTAAAAAATAATTTTGACTAATTTTTCTTGAATAATAGAAATTAAATATTGATGTAAGTTAAATCAAGATAGCCTTCTTATAGTTAAATCACATTTCTTACCAAAAAGTTTGTGTTGTATATGGCAAAAAAAGAAACAAAAAAGGTTGAGAATTGGTGTTGACCGTAGCAAAAAGTAACAAATAAAGGTAATGAAAGTATTTATGAAATTGTCCTTTTGTTTCGGTAAAACTATCCTTTTTTATTTTTTATTTTTAGAGTGTAGCAAAAAGAAATAAAAATATTATTTTAGTAAAGCTTGTTGTAGAGAGTGACACGTGTCATATCAGAGTAATTGTGAAAAAAGCTAATGGAAAGTCACATGTCATTTCAAGAAAAAAAAATCCTCCATTTTCATTGATGCGTCTATTTCAACTAATTGTGACTGTTATTTTTTAAACTTTACATTTTTAAAAGATTCCTTAGGGACGTGGCACTCAATTATACCTACACGCATAAAAGTGACAGAATACAAAAGAATAAAGTGTAAGTATGGTATTCAAGAAAGTCAATTTCAATATAAAGAATTCCAATCATTTAAGTAAATCATTTATATATATATATATATATATATTTTTTTTGAATAACCATTTTTATTTTATATATTTAATATAATTACAAGTGATTAGTTGGATTTCGAATTTGAGGATACGCTACAAGGAAAAAAGAAAAAGTAGATTCCAGTTTTGGTCCACGTACCCGCTTAGACACGGATGTTAGACGCCTTGAATTTCTCATTGGTCCAAACGTCCCTTCATTTATCAACGGTAAAACTCTAGATGTTGCTGTTACTTGCTTGAGATGATTAGTAACTATCACCATCTTTTGACACGTTTCACTAATATACCCCATCCACACTATCAACGACTTCCAGCACACCCCAGCATTGCTAACTCCACGAGGGCACTCTAGGAAACCGCGTTCCACGCTAACATTACATCCACATCATCACTCCTTTTTGTCATTCATGCGGCTGCGTTACACCCGATTGCGACACCCCTCTTACCTCTTCAATCTATAAATAGCAGAGAGGCGCAACATAGCCACGCGAACGAAATATATTTCAACTCCAAAAAGGAAAATTAAAAAAGGAAACGCTAAAGAAAGTCGGCGACCAAAAAAATAAAAAGAAAAATCTCTCTAGGGTTCTTGAAGAATCAGCAAATGGTAAATCATCATGTTATTCTTTTTTTTTTTTCATTTTTAATTTGTTAGTCGGTATTGTAGATCCATTTCGGTCTTTTTTGGAGTTTTCAATTTGATGTCGAACACATACACAAAATTTTTGTTTGATTTTCAGTATAATTTATCACATTTCTTGTTCATATCGAAGAGAATTAGTATGAATATTTCAGTAATTTAACACGGGATCCATCCATAAGGAGATTGTTCTTGATTCTATAGTTTTGCGTGATGATGTTATGCCAGCCTGTCTTGCTAAAATATTTTGTAATTGTTGTTTTGTAGGATACTAAGAGAACGCTGCAGAGTTCTGTGCTGGCGTTAACAGATGAGACTCTTATATCAATGAGTATAGTAGTAAATGCGACAAGGGAGGTTACTAATGACGGGGTTGAACAGTGCGATCCTCAAGTTATCACTCAAGCATCATCTCTAAGTACTTTCGTTAATCTTTTGTTGTTTTTTTCTGTTTCTTGTTTGATTTGTTTGATTTCATTGTTGCGTTTGCAAGTAATGCTTTTCCAGTGCGCATCTTTTCCATTTGGGGGAGTGAACTGTGGTGTTTTATTGAACATGTTCTTCATAAAATTTCCCGAGGACAAAGGAGATTATTTAAGTGAGGCAATTTTGATTGGAGATATTTTAGAGTTTGGAGAAAAAAGAGAGGATACTCTATAGTTAGGACATAGCACTTTGGCATAAGCAAATATTTTGGAAACAAAGATGGGTTGTAGAGTTCAAAATCAACGGCTTAGTTTCAGTATCATAAACAAGCATGACATTAAACTCCGTATACTTGTCAACTTGCTCCTAGTTTATCGAATAAGGTTTCTAGATTCTAAGTTGCATCCTGATTTAACATCTGTCTGACTTATGACAGGTAAGCTGCCTGTGGAGCCTTCCTCCATGGATATTGTTGTTTCCATTTGCAGATCAATTGAATTTCCTGGTGAACTGTTGGTAAAGGAAATTTTTAGAGTGTTGAAGCCTGGTGGCACTATTTTGATTTGCAGTTCTCAGCAATCCGGGATAGGGGAAACTGACAAGGTGAATATCGATGCTTTTTTTTTTTTCCTTTTTTCTCTTGATAAAGTTAAGTTTGCCATCAAGCTTCTTACCATTGTGTTGCTGTAGGCAATTTCGGGTCTCCAGCGCAAGTTGCTTTTGGCTGGATTCTTAGAAGCGGAAGCTCTGAAACCGAAATCTGATGGACTCTCCAACGTGGTTCATTCTTTTGGGGTGAGTTAGTTTTCACTCGTGACTATTGGCATTATTATGATTTTGTTTTTAGTCTCTTCTCCTTTACTGAAATGAGAAATTATAGAACCCTGACAAGTTGATGCTTAATGTGAAAGGGCAAGGATATGTATTCTTCTTTCCAAGTTTCAATTGTATCATTCTTTTCATTGTGTCCTAAGATTATTTGTTTTCCAGCATTCATATTGTAATTTACTTGGTTGAAGTTATAATCCTTTGTTATTCTTAGGTCAAGGCCAAGAAGCCTTCTTGGAATATTGGATCGTCCTTTGTGCTAAAGAAATCCATAAAATCATCGGTCAAGGTTCAGGTTGATGATGATTCGGATTTGATTGATGAGGATAGCCTTTTGACTGAAGAGGATCTGAAGAAACCTCAGCTACCACCTGGTAAGATAGAAGACATAAACATTGGCTGTATGTTTTTATGTTTTTTTTTTTTTTTTTTTTCTGGGCCGTTCATAACCAAATTTGTATGTGAAGTTGGTGATTGTGAAGTAGGAAGCACAAGGAAGGCTTGCAAGAACTGCACTTGTGGTAGAGCTGAGGAAGAGGAGAAAGTGAAGTTGGGACTCACTATGGATCAGCTGAACAATCCTCAATCAGCATGTGGCAGTGTATGTTTTATGTTTCTGCATATGCATGTGTATATGTAATTGTATGTGTATGCCCTAAACAGTTTGTCTCAACATGATTTGGTCCCTGGTCCTTGTATGAATCTGATTTAATGACAAATGATAGGGAATGACACTGCTATGCATTTTGGTTTGTGCTTATTTTGGGTTTCACATCAACAACGTTTCGGGAAAAGAAGTTGTATCCTCATCTTAAAGTTGTCATGTGTAGGTGCTATTATGCTAATTAACTTGAAGGCATCTCAGGGCATTAATGGTTCATGAATAGACTATAAAGCAGACCCTAAACTTACCGTGCTTTTTAATGTCGTCCACTTTGTGGGTCGTTGAATTAGCTAATTATTTCTTCCTCTGGCCTGATTTTTTTTTGATATATTTATTTTGTCACACAGTGTGGACTAGGGGATGCTTTTCGTTGCGGTACATGCCCTTACAAAGGTCTCCCACCATTCAAACTTGGTGAAAAGGTGATTAACTGGATCTCTCTTTCCCTTTCCTTCTACATCTGCAATATTGTATTGTATATAGAACTAAGAATCTCTTTTCTTGCAGGTTTCGCTGTCTAAAAACTTTCTTGTGGCAGACATTTGAAGGCGGAGTTGAATTTGCTATCCTGTCGAGGTGTAGCATCTAGATTCTGCTTTTGGACATACACAGCTCATGAGAGCTTTTGTATCCAGTTGGCTATGATTCCTTCATAGCTTACCAATTCAAATGGTAGTCAAATTTAGTGTCCTGGAAATGGTCCATAAAATGTCAAAACAATGTTTGGTGATGAGAATAGCAAACGATTTTGTTTTCTTCTTTTTTGTCCTGGTACTTATTTTCTCCTTGTGTTGGTCCTTGTTTTAGAACTCATTCATCATAAACTAAACATGTCCAATTCAAACAGTTTCCAAATTCAAAATGAATTAAATTTGAATGGTACTATTACTGTCTGTGTTGTTTGTGTGGAGATATGCTCGCATAAGGTTTCCCATCTTTGCAAGGCAGCATGGGAAAATATGCGTTGATCTTTTATAGCTTTGGGAGAGCCATTGTGTGTTGATCTATTCACAATTTCAAACGCATTTTGTCATCAATAAGCCTCATCATCTGTTGGTTGAATGAATGAACAAATTGATCATCAATAATCACCACCACCTGCTTTTTAAATAAATAAACAAACTCAGCCTTAGCAGCAAGTTTACATGTATGAAGTCTCGCATTACAAAACTGAATGTATGTTTTGCCTCCTGGTGCCTCCAGGAAGCGTATCAGTTTATCTGTTGAGAAAGAAGAACTAGAAGTCCTTGAGGACCGACCAATATTTCGTTAAGGAAACTTAGTAACCCAAACCATACCACAGGAGTCACATCCAATCCTCCAAGTGGTGGAATCAACTTTCTGGTTGGAGTGAGAAGTGGTTCTGTGGGAGCATAAGCTAATACATACGGAAACTTCCCAACGGGAAGCTTCGGGTACCAGGACATTACTATTCTCAAAATAAATAGAAAAGAAAATGCTGATAGGAATGGCCCTAAGATACCTATTGCTAACTTTGCGTTGGCAGGGTCTAAATCTGCCAGCATCCATCGCTGGATTAAATATGAGGTAGCTTCTGATGTTGTTTGTATGTCTACCTTGGTATTCCTAATAGCCTCAAGAGTGCTAAATGGATCCCCAGAAATGGTTGCATGTGATGGTGAGAGGTCAACATTGAGAGAGGCTGTGATGCCTGCAAAGCAACAAGTCCTAGACCGCAAGACTTGACGGCTTTGACTGGGATGCCCTCTGGTATGGCAGTTCAACTGTTCCTGCACAACATGAAGCAGTTAAGAGCCATGCAGTGTGGAGCTTATAAGCAGTTCGGAAATCTTCTTCCCAACCTTGATGTTTTATCAAACTATCAGTACTATTAACACATTTTTCTGTACGGGGAGAAAGATTTCGGATCATCTAACAAAATTGACTCAGATTTTAGGAATGAATTGCACCAGTGTAAATCATATCCAAAAACTGAATAGTGTACATGAATCCCTGGGGATTTGATCAAAATGTCAAATGAAATTGAAATTTTTGACTCGTAACAAAACTTTTAAAAGCATTAAGCAACATCCCAAGCTGGTCCTAAGATACAAAATGATGGTAAAAAATCAGAAGGGCAGTGATACTGGATTTTGGGGTCCAAGCAGCAAACACTAGAAAAATAAAATGGAATACAACTCTAAGGACTTTCTGGTATAGAAACCAATCAGGGAGATGGAACTTCTTTTTGGAAAATTTATACTTACATTTCAACCGAAACTTAGAATAAACAGGAAAGCTTATGAATTAGAAAAATGAATCACCAAGAATGGAGCCAGAGGTCTTAAAGAAACTAGACACATGCAGACAGAGGTCAGAAAATTCATCAAATTGCAAGAGCTACTAATTTTCTAGGGCTGGTTTGGTTTCGAAAATTCCAATCACATTCACAAATTGAACTAGTTGCCAGGATAAAGCAAAAAGCTTCAGAAGCCAGCCCCAGTTACTTGCCAGAGCTCCAAGTTATGTGCCTAATCCAAAACTAAATTACTTAACAAGTTGAAATTAAGCAAGCCCCACCAGTAATCAAATGACAAAAAGCCTTGGCTTGCACAAACTGCAGCTTAGAATCGAAAACCAAATTCCCTCGCAGAAGAAAAGGATCAACTTTAACATATTTCGAGAATCATGCAACACCAAATTCCCTCAAAGGAAACCTACTGCTATAGTTTCTTTTTCTATTTTATCAAACATTTTGATTTGATAAAGTTCATTCTAAACATAAAGTGATTTAGTAAAATGCTCAATTAGTTCTGAGCAGGAAAAAATAAAGACTCCACCCCCACCACGATCACTTGAACTAATATTCCATGCCATCATCATATTTACAAAGGAAACAGGAAAAGCAAAATTGTAAAACAGAGTTTGGGTTGGGTACTCACAGAAACATTGAATTTGGCTTTCTTATGTACCAAAGGCGCCCATCTTACATGATTCTGGCCGTAGTAGAGGGAAAAACATGCTGCCATCTTCTGTGAGAGAGAGAGAGAGAGAAGGAAATGAATGGGTAGCAATGTTTTCGGTATACCTCTGGATTTTTTGGATTTTGTTTTTTTTTTTTTTTTTCATGGGTTAATTTGATTGATTGCGATTATAAGACTCCAAAGTCCAAATCGAAAATCTGGTATTGTTGGGCCAATCACCACGAAGCCCAAGTCAGGATTTCTCCAAGAAGAACACAATATTGGGCTCTTCCTCAGAGCATGAGAATTACCACGCTTAATATCTAGTGCGGATAATCTTCTTGCAATCCAAATTGGAAGCAGATTTAATCTAATCTCTACGTGTGCATATGCTTTAATGTTAAGATCTAATAAAATAAAAAGCCACGGGATGTTACCTTTTGAATTTCTTTTGGAACTTTCTAATTACGTGATATATATATATATATTTTAAAAGAAATGACATTCAATTTGTAGCGCTTTTTAATCGATGGCTTCAATTTCTTCCAGGAATTTTTTGTTAAACCAAAGATAGTATTCATTAAGAAAAGTACAGTCCTAAAACCCTAAAGCCCCGAGTATGTCCAACAAGTCAACATCCTTATCGGGCTAAGCCGGTCTACATGGGCTTTTTTTTTCTCACTTTATGGACAGTCCAATCCCATTAACAAAAAAAAAAAAAAAAAAAAAGCCTTGCTAACTGGAGTATTACCCAAAATCCCATCTGTTGCCAAATCCATCATTCGCATCAAAATTTCAACGATGTCATGGAATTAAAAGGACACTAGGGTCAAACCCTAATAAACCTCATCATACACCAAATGATATGAAATCATGTATTTTTCATCTCCAATTTGATCGAAAACTTCCCTTGCTAGTAAAAGGATTCAAGGAGAAAAATCTTAAGAAAACAAAAAAGTGCACATCTTTTTTATTGAAAAATCTAATTGGAAATTTAGTTGCATACATGATTTTTGGATTTTTATGACCATAAAAGGAAAAAAACAATGATAAGGACTAAAATATTGGCAAATCATTCTGTGAATTAAATTCAACAAACAGTATTCCTAGGCTAAACTATTAGCTATAAGAAAAATTATGACGCTTTTCTGTATCTACAGAAAACTGTTTTAAAAAATAAAATAAAATAAGAATGTCCGTAACTGTAGGAAGATCAAGGAGCATCAATCAACCCTATAAAATCTCTGGTACGAGCTTGTCTATCCTTGATCTCTTCTAATTGGTTAGCCACATTGCTTTTCAGAACTTCTAAAGAAGCCTTGTATTGCTGAAGCTCATCCACGTCCAAATCCATACCCTCAATAGGCAATGCCCGCCATGATTGCCTTTCTTTGCTAGCTATTGATCCTTTTGATGATGATGATGGCCTATGCTCGTTATCACGGGAAGATTCATTAGAACTGCTACTGCTGCTATTAGTTTCGTTACCAAGGAAGCGATCGACGACGGAATCCACAGAAGGGAGGCCAAAGGAAAAGAGCTTGCCGGCTAAAGAGAAGGTGACGACAGCAATCTGGGCATCGTGTGACGTGCAGAGCTTCCTGGCTTTTCTAAAAAGACCACTGCGTCGCTTTGAAAAGGTGACTTTTCGAGAATCTTCGTTTTCTATTTTATCGATTTTAATCTTTCTTCTTGTCATGGTTTTGGGTGATTAGCAAGGTGAAAACAGCTGTATATACTTGCGCTTTGCTTTGAATAGGGCCGATGGTGATGGACTGATTGTTTATATAATATTTAAATCCAAAATGGAAAAGGACTTGGATATTTGCATTTGTGTCGAACTCTTCTTCTGTTTTGCAAGCTGTTTCTAGAAATTTATCTTCGATCTTTTTTTTTTTTTTTTGGCTTAAAATGATAAATACAGTAGTATACGCTCGTCATCTTCTAGCGTGTGTATACTCAACAGGTTGGATTTACGTTTGGGTCACCTAAAACTTCATTCCATGCAGCAACAGGCAAGCCCACTTCATGAATTCCAATCCCACTATGTACTCCACTCATGCTGTTGTGCTTTGTTAGTGGAAGATGCAATTTTATTTTATTTTCTAATACATTGGAAGTCCATGGCTTTTTGGGCTACACAACGAAGTAGCTTTTTCTTATTATATAATCATTAAAAAAAAAAACTTCAAGAATTATTAGGATTCAAATCTTACTTAAGACAGTTAACTATATAAACAACAGCGGGCTAAGCCTGCTTGTGTTTTGTTGGTGGAAGATGCATTTTCGGCCCTTCTAAATCAATGGACACATTAATATTGGATTGGCAATTGTTTTAGCATCTCTGGAATACTGAAAGCAAGCGGCATCTGAGGAAGAACCATGCTTAGTTCACAGTTTACAAACATGAAGTAACATGAAAAGTCAAGAGGCCTCTTAAGCAATTGAAATCAGTACACAATCAGGCTTAGAATGGGTAGAGGCCTTTTTTATTTGACGAGAATGAAAGGGCAAAGATCCTCGCCGGAAATTTGGATGCATTTCCAGTTCTAAACAAGTCTACTAGAAGGTCGTGATATGAAGAGATGATAAATCCAGGAACACAGGCTTGGGATGGTGGGAAGAGACTGGTTATAATAAAGGCGCAGCTAGTGAAATTAATCGAACTAGTCGGCTGCTATACAAGTTCAGGGACAACTTAACAAGTCAGCTAGGTAGAAAAAAGTGAAAAGAAGTGCTAAATGAAAGGAAATTCAAACATTCAGCTAGAGGGTAGTAGATAATGACAGAGATACTAAAAAGTGGTGACAAAATAAAATTACGCAAATTGGCGGGGTTCTACGAGTTTAAAACTCCCAATTGATCATGAGCCCTCAACTGGCATTTGTTTATGCAGATACCTATATGTAAAAATACCTACGACATTCCTTTGAGCTGGACTAAAAAGAAGAGATGAAAAGAAGCTTTGAAAAGCCTATGTGGTTAACCGATTAGAAGAGATGAAGAATAGAGAAGCTCTTACCAGAGATTTTATAAGGTTGCTTGATGCTCCTACTGATTAGCATAGAGATTTTTTTTTAATACTTTTTAACAATTAGCTATGGATAAAAAAGATATATATATATATAAAACTACAATTTGAGCGTTAAATTTTTTATTTTTTTTATATTTGAGTACCTAATAGACAAATCTATCTATTTTAATATTAAGTTTTATCTTTTTTTTGATTTATTTGAGTGTCCATATCACCTAAAATTTAACAAATTTGTCAATTCATTCGATTAAAAAATATATTATAAAAAAATAATTAGCAAGAATTTAAAAAAATCAAAATCGATTACTGTTTACAAATTTGTCAAGTTCATCATGTTAGTAGTAAATTGAGCCAATGTGAAAATATTTTTATCATTTTTAATAGACCCAGATGTAATTTTTTTTTAATATATATTTCTCTCTCTCCTTAAAAGTAAATCCATGAAATAATTCTTCGAATATTATAAAATTTCTCCTACATTCCAATCCGACCACTCCACCCATGCCCTCCCCAAAAAAAATAAATAAATAAATAAAAAGCCCTCTCCACCCAAGCCATCGTGTTTCATTGGTGGATATCAAGCCCTTCAGCATGTAAGGATCAACGTGAACACGGGAAGCAAACCCACTTTACGAAGAAACATATTTAGTTTACAATTTATAAACGTCAATAACATGAAAAGTTGTCTGTCTAAAACGACGAGAGATGCAATACGAATACAATAAAGAATTTGTCCGACTGCAGCAATTGAATTGGTCTATCCCTACAAATTGGGGACGCTAACTTGCCACGTCATTGCAACAAAGGTTTACTTTGTAAACAACAACCTGGAAAATGAAAAACAATGGCTAAGGATGCACAAATAGACTGGATGCAAATATAGGTGTCTTAAAACAAAGTATTCAACGGTGGAAAGCAACCTTACAATCCAATACCTTTTCCTTGCTACTCCTTGAGAGTGGCCTTCAATTTCCTAATCACGAAATGGTGTGAGATCAATGTTCATCGATTTCTTCCCCTTGCTTACCTTCTGTAAGACGCCAGCAAAATAAACATCCAGGTCAAAGATGATGGAATGGAAACAATGTTATACCATGCTACATTACAACACACCAACCATTATCAATCAAATTTATTACAGGGACCCAGGGGGCTTTATCCAGAAACACTGGCTTGAGATGGTAGGAAGAGACTGGTAAGAAAGGAGGCAGCAAGTGAAATTAGTCAAACTTGCGGGCTGTTATACAAGTCCAGGGACAACCGACCCTACCCAACCAGTCAGCTTGGTTCAAAAAAGTGAACAGAACTACAGAAGTGCTAAATGAATGTCAAAGGGTTTAAAGTTCAAACAGGGAGTTAAAAAGAGATTGGTAGATAATGATAGAGACACTAAGAAGTGTGAGAAGGTAAAATTACAGAAATTGGTAGGGTTCTATGAAATTGAAACTCCCTATCACTAGCCCCAACTGACATTTGGATGTACTCTCTCTAATCTCACAATAGGGATGAAATATTATACAGTGTGTGCAGCGTTGCTACAAAGAAGAGTTTCTGGCAGTGAATAACCATTAGAAGAACTGTATGTGCTGATTGAAGATGGTTCTAATACTTACAGCTATTGCCACAAGCTCTTCCAGCAGCTCCTCTAAATGGCGTAGAGGCTAATTTCATGAAAAGCAAAAGATGTTAGATAATTATAATGCCAAAATACTATAGAACTGTCATCTGGCATTTGTTTAAACAAATATCTATATGTATAATCTACTTAAAAACACCTAGGTCATTTCTCAAGCACTGCATATGTAAACTCACCCATTGAGTTGGACCATCCACCGGTGCATTGAGAGGATCATCATGCACCTAAGCACCAAAAAGAATTTTTGAGAAGCCTATTTGTGTATATGATCAAAGATACAAACACTGACATAACAACAAGAAGTCTCTGGGCCGGCCAAGAGATCTTAACAGTGGAAAATCAGAAGCAAACAAAAGATCCACAAAATAAGAAAATTCATATTGAAAAATTAGACATTAATAGAATGGGAGAAACCAGAGCAGTTCACTTTAATTCCTCCTCCTGATAAACTTGGGAGTTCCAACAAACAGGGACGGAGCTAGGGGTGGCACCCCCAAACTTTGACACAATTTTCATTTTAGTCCTAAAATTTTATGTTTTTTATACCATTGATATAAGGCTTATTTTCATACAAAATATGCATTTTGCCCCCCCCAAAAATATCACCCAGTATTTTGTTTATTTTATTTGCAAATGTATCATGGTATATTTTTTATTGGCACCCCGGTACCTAAAATCCTAGTTCCATCCCCACCCAAAAACTCAAGAAAGGGGTACACGGGGCAAGCCAAGCAACAATAATTCCTGAGATGTTCCAGTAATAAATTGATCATTTTCAACAGAGCATCATACCTCCATGAAAATTCCATCCACCCCAACAGCCACTGCTGTTCTTGCAATGCATGGTATCAATTCACGGAGACCTCCACTAGCAACACCTCCACCATCCAACTGTAGATAGAGAATACTTTAACCATTTCATAAGGCGGCAAAAATACAAAAAGCAGAAGTACATAAGTGACACATTAAACTTTACATAAAGATGAAGACCGGGGAAATATGGCGACCAGAAGGAAGAACAGCACAAAACCATAGCATCAAAAAGATACAATATAAAACAAAAAGGCCAGAATTATTAACAAATTGGTTTCCCAACTCACTAATACTGGTTTTCCAACTATTTACTATGACTGAATCTATGCACCATTATCTAGATGTATGATGGAAAACATAAGACAATCTACACCTTTCTCCCAGCAGGCTGTTGTAGTGAATGTGTGATGTCAGCTACCTGTTTTAAAAATTGAAACATAAGAACCACATCATTAGAATAACCCGAAAGAACTATCTGAAGTAGATTAATACTGCAAAGCGCCTATAGATTATTTCTACAATCACTTTAAAAGCAACATGCTTTATGAAAGATAGAAGTTTGTGATTTCTAAACTAAAGAACAAAAGTTATGCAAGCCAATGCCATAAAATGAAAAGGAGGAATTGAAGTTTAGTCATCATTCACGATTGGAAGAATGTGAAACATTTTAAAATTTTTCTTCTTTCCATGGAGGATTAAACTCAAGCTAAAGAATCGACACCTATCCATATATGCTCTGGCCACATCTCATCCAATTCAAGATCAGGATCAAGTTCTAAGAAAGCCAAAGGACGCTGTCCTCTTGCAAAGAAAATTAGAATCCCAATCAGATATGACGAGTTCTACCTATCTCATGAACAAGAAATTCAAGGCGTGAAAAATGAAATGGTCCAAGTTTTGGGGACTTATGTGGAGGGCTCTCTAGATGAGTAAGAATCAGGAGAATATCTGCTATTAGTTGGTGATGTATATGCAAATCACCATTCACCTTCAGCTTTGATACACTGTATCCTTTATGTACTTTCTACCTTTCTTGATTGAATTATTCTTTAACAGAAAAGGACTTAGATCCGCATCAAAATGGGATGAAACAATAATATAGAAGAGCATTTGACTTACAACAGGACAATTAGCTTCTCTCATCCATTCCAAATTTCGCGGATCAACAATCAAATCATCTACAAACCACGCCCAAATGTAGGATTAAATCAAACTGGACAACAAATGTGCTATTACTGATCAAAGACTTCAAAATTCAAATATGTTTAAACCAAACTCTTTTAAATTGTGTAGTTCACGAAAATTTAGTTCATGGAACTTTTAATAAGTGATTAGTTCTGTTTTCTCCATTTCTATCTCTCTTTCTGCATGCTATTCCTAATAATAAATCCTCATAATTTCAAATTCTGTTCTGAAACCTTAATTCTCTGAACCTTACTGATTTCCTACCATTCTCTCCTTGCAAGAAAGCGTATAATTTTTAATTACCCAGGCTGTCCTGCATCATTAGTTTGCCAATTTAAAAGACTTCTTAAATTATTTCAGATATAAAGTAGCAGAACTTCAAGAATTCCCCAGTCGATCCCCCTTTACACTGTTGAATGATAATAAGAAACAAACAACACCTTCCAAAGGCATATGGCATGCATCATTTGAGACAAAACCTGGGAAAACTTACTATAGCCAAACATGGTTCCCCTCTCGCAAACCATGACATTTGGATTTCCCGCCAATCTTACCTTCTCGGCAGAATTTGACATGACCTGCATGTTTTTAATTGTATGATCATTAATTAGAGAAACAATGCTAGACAAAGGCATACCTGTATTTCAAAAGCTTGTAATCCAAATATATCAATAAGAATACTTTTTCATGGAAAAGAGAGAACTCACGGAAGGAGCACAGAATTGGCCTTTCTTAATATTGATAATTTTTCCAGTCTTGGCAGCTGCAACTAGAAGATCTGTCTGTTATAAAATCTAAAAATGAGAATTGAAATTAAAAAAAAAAAAGGCACATATTTCAAACTCAAAATCAAGTCATCATGGAAGCATAAGGCTCGAAGATATAAGGTAGCAACTTAACCTGACGACATAAAAATGCTGGAATCTGAATAATATCTGCAACTTGGCCGACTGGTTCACACTGGCCAAATAGAAAAGGTTACAAATTGTTTGTGACACTTTGGAATCCAAGGGCAATCTTACTACTTTGTACTGTTAGCAAGATGCCAATAAAAAAAAAGTTAAACATTTGAACAGAAACAAACAACTATAAGTAGAGAAGACATAAAATATGATGTTGAATTCAAGTAATCAGGCTCAAGAAAATGCATTAACACATATTCCAAGGGAAAGAAAGTAATTGAAAGAAACTCCATGAGGTTTGTCAAAGCAGTTATTCATCCTCTCTCTTTTTTTTTCAAAATTCTACCATTTTGGTCACTGATTAAAAAGACTTGGAAGTTATAACAGACTAATTACAATGATACATAAACATTATCCTCTCATGCCACAATAATACATCAACTTTTATTTCTAACTCTACTTAATTAAAGTTGACTCAATCTTTGGTCAGATATAGCTGATCATAACTCCCAAGGCAAGATAATGAGACCAGTCACGTCTTGTATAGTGTAGATCCAAATGATATAGCAAAACAGAAGAAATGGATACACATAACAAGTTGCGACTAGCATAGAACTAAAACATAATGAAAATTCTTTAACAAATAATCAACCATAAAACAAAAAAAACAAGAAGATCACAATTGAGGAGAACTTGAGAATTTTCAGAATAGGACGGTTGCCTACCTGAATTGCTTCATGCACATCAGTAACGATGGGGATGTCATATGCTATTTTAACCTTCTCAAGGATCTACACTACATAAGAGAGATAATATTAATGAATTACCAACTTGTGTAGTGAAATTTCCTAAAATTATTAACCATCTGGAAAAATTTACTCATAGCATGACACTAACAAGTAAATCTAGTAGATTTGACAACAAACTTGTTAAGAAAATTTTGTGATAATGAATATAAATCGATAAAGGTAACAATGTATCAGGAAGTAATCACTGAATAACCACAGAATGTGTGCACAAGCATGCATTGCTTGATGCCAACACATATTCCTCCTACGTCTAATTTGAGTTGGCACGTCCAATCATAATGGAAAAGACCGTAATACCAAGATCATTATGCAAATCACCATGATCTATATAGGGAATATGGCTAACATTATTCTATTAACTGAGTGTCTACAATTTATGGACATTTAACTTAGTCCCTACCAGTGAATGTGCGAGCTTATTTACTTGTATTTCATAAATGCTGTTTGTCTTGTTTTCACAGTTATGAATTAGCATAAAAAGTATGAACTTTACGCCTGTGTCTTACTCTAATATTTCACATTCCGTTCTTCTCATTTTCTTAAAGTATTCTGTGAAGTATGCTACTTTATGAATGTTAGCGTCCATAGAGAGAGACAACTGATACCTTCAAACCTTCGCTCATTCCTGGACCCCGAAATGATTTCGAGGAAGTTCTGTTAGCTTTATCGAAGCTTGATTTAAAAACAAGTGGCAACCCAACCCTAAAAGATTAAAAAACAAAAAAACAAGAACACAAACACATTCTCTTCAGCCTGATTTCTTCCTTCCAATAATAATAAAAGCAATCCATTTCTTCAATCACCTTACCACAAAGACATCATTTTTGAAAAAAAATTACGGGCATTGACAGAAACATAAGAAACGTACTTGGTTGAGATAGTCTTCAGATGGTCGGCCATTCTAAGAATGTGTTCCTCAGATTCAATCACATTGGGTCCCGCTAACAAGAAAAATGGTTCTGTCGCCTATTGTCCAAATCCAATCGCCAAATTATACACAAAAGACGACCCAAACCAATGCAGATCCCAAGCAAAATGATAACTGATTCAAGCAATAACGCCCTTACCTTGAGCTGGTTAAACAGAGCAGTTGAGGAATCCATCTTCTCTACTTAACCGAAGAAAGCTTTCGAACTGTAAAATTTTATGTAGTGCAGCTGCGTATTCAGAATTTAACAGATAAAACAAATTAATAAGAACACAAATGTTATAGCAGAGAGATCTCACCTTATCTAGATCTACGGTAGAGCTGAAAGAAATCCACACTCAGAATTACAGCACAGGGTGTACTACTGGCCCACTGTGTCTCGCTTTTGAGAGAGAGGGAGTCACGGGGTGCGCGGGGTCCAGACGTGCGTTTCGGGCCTAATAGTAAGCCAGTAAGTCTGAGCAAAATGTTCAGGGTGGCCCGGCCCAAATGAAAACTAGTCCAAAGAGCTGAACGAGGCTGGTTAGGAGAGGATGGAGGTGCCTTTGGTTCAGATCGTGTCCTATCCTTGTTAGTTTTTTCATGCTGTGTTTTAGAGGAACCATAGACCTATTAATGACCAAAATATTCAAGCTCAAACACAAAACTTTCTTCTTACATAAATAGATAGCGAGAACAATTGATCCCTCCTTCGAAAACCAGTAACTATTTAGCATAGTTGTGTCGTGTAGTGCCCACAAGTTGTTAATGATCTTTGCTGTCCCACATCATTCTTTATAATTATATTGAAAAGCAAGGGTAGCAAATGGTTTTCCCCTGCAGTGGCCTTTTTTTTTTTTTAATGATAATCGATTAGATTATAAAAAGAGTCATCCATTAGATGAGATTAGATTATAAAAATAGGCATTTAGTCGATGATGAAAAGAGATTACAAAATAAAAACAAATAAGATTATACTTACCGTGACTTTTTTTTTTAATGATAATCGATTAGATTATAAAAAAAATCATCTGGCCGATCATAAAAATAAAATTACAAAATGAAACAAAAAAATTATAACTAAATAAAATAAACTATGTGTCTATCCATTCATTACTTAGCTAAATTATCATCAACTATATTATCGTCTTTATTAATTCTTCTAAGCAAATTATCAGCCGTTATACTACCGTCTCTATTAATTCTTTTAAAACTAATTGATTTTAGATTACGGATAGAAGAATCCATAGACAACCAACAGCAACTCCATCAGTCTTAAATTTTTGAAGTTGTTTTAATTTTGTATGTGTCTATGGCTGTGTGCCACAGAGAGTGCGAGCGAGTTGTCAATTGCCCAAAATCATAAACCATATTGAAATTATACTAAAAATTAAAGTAAAACCATTGTTTTTACTATTTATTCATTATTTGAAATACTATTTATACACTCACAAATCATTATTATTTTCACTATTCATGATATTTTTATAACACTTTGGTCCTCAAATTTTCTATACCTTTTTTTTCAATTTCAAAATTTAATTATATTATGATTTGGTCTCATTTTGTTTTAGTGTTTTTTGTTAATCATTTTTATTATTTAAGATTTACTACTTTCATTTTTTATTTTTAAAAAAAATTCTTTTTTTTAATTTTAAACTTTAATTATATTGTGATTTGGTCCCATTTTGTTTTAGCGCTTTTTGTTAATTATTTTTATTATTTAAAACTTACTACTTTAATTTATCATTTTTTTTAAAATTCTCATCTAATTAATTTAAATTTATATGCTCTTCAATTTTTCTATAATTTTTTTTTCAATTTTAAATTTTAATTGTATTATGATTTGATCATATTTTGTTTTAGTATTTTTTTGTTAATAATTTTTATTATTTAAAATTTACTACTTTAATTTATCATTTTTTTTTAAATTCTCATCCAATTAATTTAAAATTATATATACTAATAGTTGTGATTTATTTTTCTATATATATGAATTTTGAAATAAAGTTTTAGAACATGATAGTTAAATACAATTTTTTTTATTAAAAAATTATAAATATATATATTTTTTTACTTTTGATTTCATATATTTTTATAGATTCATATAATAAAACAGACTATCAAACTGAAATGATTTTTTTAAACAATTTTATATATTTTATCCTACGCTGCGGGTAAAAAAACTAGTGTTAACTATATAACTATTACAAGAAAAAAGAAAATATTTTTGACATTTGAATCAAACTTACAAATTATAGAAGGGATAATTGAATAAAAGCAAACTACATATTATACTGTTTTCAAGTTCTTCCAAACAAATTATTCCTAGCCATATGTAATTAATACAACAGCCAATGAACCAATTATTACTAGCAAAAAGGGGGAAAAAAAAAAGAACTACAACCATCTGTTCCCCTATTCTCAGGTGTGAAATTGCCAGCATTCTGTAATGATCAAATTATCTTCTGCTTCAGCTCATAAAATCCTACTAGAGCTGTTTTTTTGTGTGAGAGCTCAGAGGCATGCCAGCAGTTTGCTGAACAAATCGGTGGGAGGTGAAACTAAGAACAGGCGAGAGCAACCAAATGAAGTCTGTCAGGTCCGCTTCATTAGTTTGATCAGAGAGTCGAGAAGGAAAATGACAAGACCAAGAACACAACCTGCCACAGCAGAATTTCATGAATATAAAAACGTGTGCAGGATATAATGTAATGGTTTACTAAAAAAGTAGTTTCATATTAAACCTATAATGTATATGAAAATTCTAGCAGGTACTTAAGCTGTAAGGAATATGACAAGCTGTTTAGATTAGAAAGCTTACCTTTTATCATAGACAGGCGTCATTCTCTTTGGTAGGTCCTGATTTGCTGAAACAAAAGGAAGAATCTAACCATCCTGCACTCTTAGCTCTCTCAACGTAATGCGTGAATTGTTTCTCAGCATCAGGTACATCCAGGGCCAAGTCATCCAGAGATTCTGCTAACCGCCCAAAACCCTTCATCATCTGATTTGTGGTTATGAGGCCAGAGCTAAAGCATTGATCAAGTAAGCCCCACAATCTTTCATTCTTTTTCTCAATTATCGCCACTAATGCTTTCTTGACAACCTCATGGTGAAAAAATGGCATGCTTAATTCCTTTATGCAGCGACAAGCCTCCCTAAGATCTCCTCCAGATTCAAACTCCTCCAGTAGCCTTCCAACTTTGTCCTTGACATCTTCAATGGCCCACCCAGGACTGCCGGTTCCCCCGCCACCCCAACACCTTGAGATCCGCTCCCCGGAAAGTCTTGCCTTTAACGATGACTTTGCCATTTGAAGCACTTTGCTCCCAATTGACTCTGGCCCCAAAAACTGGGTTCCAATTTCCTCCAAGTGTTGTGGCGCCAACACTTCATCCACTACTGCTCTAGCCAGAAACATTGCAAGATCCTCAACAACCACTGGATTGTCCAGAGCAGTGTCGTCTGCAGATTCTATCAACATAATAAAACCATTCACGACATCATCTGCTGGGAAACACAAAGATGAAAGCAAGACCGAAGCCATTTCCTTCTCTCTATGTTTTCGATCCATTGCAAGAGTTATCAGTCTTTTAATGAAGATGGCATTTAGTTCAGCTGAACAAGCATTGTTCTCTGCTTCGAGACAACTACCGACCTCTGAAATATCGGCAGATAAGAAATATTCTTGAATAATAGATTGGGCTTTCAACTTGAAAATTTTGGTTGAATCATCCTGCGAAGATCGTTTCACTGGTGTTTGTACGAGTGACTTCAAAGATGAAGCACACAGCCAGCCCTCTGACGCTGCTTTAGATATCAAGGACTGTAATATCCCTCGTGCATTTGGGATGTCAAGTGACAGGTCATCCACAGCATCAATCGTCCTGCCAAATCCTTTTGATATTTGGCTTGAATTAATCAAGCCTTCTTCAGAGGCTTCCTTCAACAAATCTAGTAGCATGCCCTCAGCTTGCTTCCTCTCCATTGCCATTACAATAGCCCGTTTAACTATTTCATGGTGAAAGAATGGAACTTTCAAATCCTTGATGCATCTGCGAGCCTCTTTCTTGTCGCCACTCACAACATACTCCAGCAGTAGATTGTCAATATCAGCCTTCACATCCGCAGCTGTTTTTCTCATGCTACCTCCCCATCGTCGCTCTATAATTTCTGCGTGATGAGGGGCTGCTAGATAGCCCTTTTCAGCTCTTTTTAGCACATCAACCCCCTTAGACTTTGCAGGTAGAGAAGCCATCTGTTTTTTCAAAAATGCAGGTGGGAGCATGTCATCAACCACAGCTCTGGCTATGAACAGCGCAAGAACATCAACGGTATCGGGTATATCTACAATCAAGTCATCTGCGGATTCCACCAATTTACAAAAGCCTCTGTAAACTTGTGGGGGGTCGATGACCTCAGCATAAAGAGCAGACAAAAGAATAGCAGCCATTTCCTTCTCTTTATCATCCCTGTCCATGGCCATGGAGACAAGTTTCTTCACAAAATAATAGTGGTAGCCAGACATCCCAAGTTCTCTCAGTTCATTGGCAGTTGAGACAATATCATCAGTTGCAAAGTATTCCTCCACTATAATTGTAGCATTCTTTTTGAACTCCAGAAAATCCGTCGTTGATTTTCTCACAGTTGTATGATCATATTCCTGCAACAGTAGACATAGTCTACAATTTTTGTTACTTGCAGCAAAAGAATACCCTTCCAATGCTTTGCATCTTTTTGGATGCTGCAAAGCTAATTCTAGAAGTAAAATCCAAGGATGGAACACAGAAAGGTGAGATTTATTAATTAAACACCTCACTGCTATCAAAGTTTGGGTCATTTGCATCAAGAGAATAACTATCATCCACATCAAGCAGCCCTCCCCATGTACCTTTACCCCCTGAACCACCTGCAAGAAGGAAATATACTTATCAAAGGAATCAGTTTAAAGCTACTCTTTTTTTATACAACAAATCATTCATCAAAACCAAATAAAAATACAAAAAATTAACAGATTAGAGTTTCGATAACTGGAAGAGAATGTATGTCATGATAAAGCATGCAAACCAATGAAGAATAAAAATGTTGATGCACTTCTTCTCTCTGTCTATATATCAGCATTTTTTTTAATCAAATTGTCTCAATCAACCATATGGGCAATTCCATGAAGTTAAGGCAAAAGACAACCTTCTATTCACTAATTTCCTAGCACCATAACTGCAAGGCAATCAGCTACTTCACATATATTAAATCAAACTATGAAATCATCAAATATCAGAAGATCAAAATTCAACATGTTTTACTAACAAGGCCTTGAAAGCGCATAGCCTTACCTTTTTTAGGACGCCCGTCTTTTGGAGAATGTGAATGTCTTTCATGTTTGAGTGGGCTCCCCTTCCCAGGACTCCCTTGGCTAGGACTTCCCTTCCCAGGACTCCCTTTGCTAGGACTTCCCCTGCTTGAGCCAGTTCGGTTTGGTGACCTTGGAGAATTTGGAGACTTTGCAGACTTTGGATGAACCGAGATTTGCAATGGAGAAACAGACAATGGATCTGCACTCTCTGAAGCTGATCGTGCAAGCTCCCTATGCTCTTTCGATACGAAACCATCACTATATTCCATCCTACTAAAATTCCCAACTCCACAATCCAATCACTGATTCCAACAGACAAATTCACAAACCATCACTTTAAATAAACTAACCGCAACCGATCTGGATGCTGAATTCACAATTCGGCAATACCAGTTACTCCAATTTCCTTTTTTCACAATAAATTATACTTCTTCCCTCGTAATGAACACTTGAGAAATTTCAAGCTTCAATCAATCCAGTCCTGCAAGAATTATACAGCCTTCATAAAAGAAAAACAGTAAAGAAAACTAAGAATTTCGGCATCAACTATTATTAACGAAACCATAAAATCATGACACAGAATCAATAACAACAATTATTAACAAAATATGCATTTTAATACCGAAAGCTGTCAAGAGGGAACTATACCTGACCAGATCAGTCTGGAAAGTAAATGCATTAAAAATTTTAGGCTTTTTTTATTAAGACAAGTGATGAAAGGCAGCAAGCAGCAGTTTGTTTGCTAAAAATAGAATTCCGTTTCCGTTATGATCCATTCAACACGGATCTATTCTCAAGGGAAGCTCCTCTCCATCTAACTGCCTTTTGAAATGGGAAAAACCCGGGAAACTCGACCTTACTAACCGCCGTTGACGCTGTTTCGGTTCCCTGTAGATATCAAGCTGGGCCTGCCTGAACTTCAATACAAAAGTTCCTAGGCCCAACAAAGTTTGAATCGAAAATTCATTATACTCGGGCCCAATTTAGGCCAGCATAGCGTCGCTTTTTGTAGTTCCAAAAGGTTTTTGTTTTTTTTTTTGGTTTCGCCTCAGAACGCCATCGTTTAATTAAGCAAGGGAAAACCTCGACAAGCGTCGCAGTCTCTTCTTCAATTTCACGTGTAGTGGAAACTGGAGCGAGAACAGAGTAAACAAGCTGAACCATGTCTGAAGAAGCAGAAGAAGTAGTTTTCAATTTAAAATCACAATTAACTTCTCTTCAAAACAGAATCAAGGTATTATTATTATTCTCTACTTCTTCTTTTTTCTTTCTTTTTTTAATCATCGCTTCGCTTGTTTAAGTCAGTCTCAACTCACGTATATCTTATGTTTTTCAACTTGGTTTTTTTTTTATTTACCAGGAATTGGAGGAAAAGAATGCCAATTTATCCTCTCGACTCTCAAATTGTCGCTGTGACGAGGTTTTTTTTTTTTTTTTTTTCATTTGCCAAACCATTTTCCACAGTTACTGTTTTTTACTTGTATTGATTTTGACAAAATGATGCAGATGCAAGAGAGAAACCCCAAAGAAAAAGGTAAAAATTTGGGAGAGGAGAGGGGAGAAACGAATCCTGGAAGCAAGAGGAGTGGAAAAAAGAAAGCCATACAAAAAATGCCAGGTCCTTTTTTGTTAACTTCTCTAATGTATTTTTATTAGTGTTTATAACATGAGTATTACTTAGCAGATTTCGTATTATGCCGTTATTTGTATTTTATTTTGGTCTGTTTTTGCTGTTTTTGTCTTTGGAGAAGTATTGCTAACTCAATCACACTGAAAATTTTGTTATCGAAATTTATGCATAGGTTATGATAAAAGGATCATGAATCACCATCCGAGGAGATATATTGCTCTTAAAGTCATGTATTTTGGTCAAAGGTACATAATATAGGCTTTGTTGTATGTTACTGTTTGTGTAATGTATAACCAGGAGCATAAAGGAGTGGGATGTGAAAACTTGAATATTGACCTTGATTTCCTTTTGTTAACGACAAGCAGCTTGTTTTTCTTTCTTTGGTTCCTTTTTTTCCTTTTCATTGGCATTATACACTGTTTACAGTGATGGTGGAACCTTTTTAACCTTGTACCTGATATTTCAGGTTTTATGGTTTTGCTTCAGAGGCACAAATGGAACCGACTGTTGAGGTTTGGTGTTACATTTTCCTAATTTAGGTCATTGGACTGGATTGTATGGTTTAGTATGGAAACAGAAGATCAGTTTCCTTAGAGAAAACTTATTCATTTTTTTATGTTTGGCTCGAGGCTGAGAGTTGGCCTGTTGCACACTTATTTAAAACTAGCACTATTTTAAAGAGCAGGATATTACTTCATTGTTAAATCAACAAAAATAAAATGTCAAGTAATTTTGTTGAGGGATCATTTGTTATGACAAATAATTTTCTTCTTTAATTCAAGTTCTCTTGCAGTCTGAGATTTTCAAGGCTCTTGAAAAAACAAGACTTTCAATTGGTGATAAGAAGGAAATACAGTACTCAAGATGTGGTAGAACAGACAAGGGAGTTTCTGCTGTTGGGCAGGTAGGTTGCTTACCCAAAGAAAGTTCTATTTTCCTTAAATTACCTGCTAGTTAGTTCTGCTTTGATAGACTTTTTGTTCTCATCTAGATGTTCGTGTTGGAATAGGATTTCCCTCTTGATACTCGTTGTCACCAATTCATTGTGAGCTACTTACATTCAAGAACTTGTGTGGTCTCTATAACTCAAAGAGATGCAATTCATGTACTGATGTGCAGAAAGCCATGGAGTTAACTGAAATCATTTTCTTTAGCATTTGAACTTACTCTTAGTTGATTTACATGGTATCCACATGAACTGTATACATTTTGGAAACTTCAAAATGAATAATAATTGTAATAATTTTGGTTATCATCTCTCAACCTCATACTTCTATGTGTTGACTTCATTGTTAAGGTTGCTTAATTAGTATCATGAATGTATGTATCCAGTATCATAAAAGTTGAAATTAAATGGAATTGTCTTACCCACAATAATGGTGGACAAAAAGGTATGAGTTGAATCCTGAATCACTTTAAGCAACACAAAGACTTTTAAACTGTTACAAGAAAGCTGGCTTCAGCTTACTGGAATGATGTTTTCTTTTCATCACAAGTTGGCCATCAGCTTGATGGGCCAATTGTTTGTGCCCAGCCTTGAGAATCAGTCGGTTTTAAAGGACACTTGTTCATATATCCTCCCTCTGATCTAGATAAGCACCTACTTAGTATATGAGAATAGTCATCCAAAATGAACGCAGTCATGTGAAGAATCCTCATGTATCTGCTTTTTTTATAATCATTCATCTTAAAACTTTTCGTTTTCCATAGTTCCTCATCTTAGGATAGATATTTTTCATCCGACAATTTCAACTTCCCCTTTCCCTCCCCTGACACAAAGAAGGATAAAAGTAATAGAAATTCAAATGGATCAATAAAAAGAAATCAACTGCGAAGAGGCACCTCTCATTATTTCCATGGTTGATGTTCACATAGTAGCATATATGTGGCATTTTTTGAAGCATCTTCTTCCTTTACATTTGAAAATTGGGAACATGGAAAATGTTTGATGCAGGTGATTGCTCTGTATTTACGATCCAAACTCAAGGACGATGATATGCACAACAAACATTCAGGGGAGACTGTTCCAGAAGAACAAGATGGTCAGCCAGGTTTTGTATTTCTGGATGGATTACTGAACTTTTTACTTGTAATGTCCCTCCTTGTAGGTGAAACTTGGAACTTCTATTTTTAATTGTTTTGTTATTGGTACAATCCTTCCTCTAATTACTAAGTATATTTATACCCTCATATCCTATAATAGCAAGTTTTGAGGTTTTGGGAAGAATGTCCTCTTAGTTGTAGGATTTTATCTTAGATAGAATACATGGCATCACGTCATTGATTACAAGTTACATCTATCAAGCTGGGTGAGAGAATTTTCCAGGAAAAATTTTTAAGAGTGAAATTAATTCATATTCTTCATTTTATCTTACACGACTGTTATTCTTTTTTATTTTTCTTAGAAGGGGAAATTGATTATGTGAGAGTGTTGAATGGAGTCCTTCCAAAAGACATTCGAATTGTGGGCTGGTGTCCTGTTCCAAATGAATTCAGTGCAAGGTACTTCTAAGTTCTTCATAAAGTGTTACTTTGAACTTATTAACTATAATGTGTTTGCATCATCAATCATCTTATTGTGAAGAGCAGGTTCAGCTGTTTGAGCAGGGAATATAAATATTTCTTTTGGAGTGACAATTTGAATCTCTTGGTATCCAGTTCTTTTATTGTTAGTCGTCTCTTTTTTTTTTTTTGGTAATTTAACACATCTGCTTTTATGCTGTTTGCTATGCAGCAACAGGGCTCAACAATAACTATCATTTTTCATGTTTCCCCAGGTCATGGAGAGTGCAGGTAAGAAATTTATTGGGGAACACGACTTCAGAAACTTCTGCAAGATGGATGCAGTAAATGTGCACAATCATAGGCGACATGTGACATCATTTGAGATCTCTCCTTGTGATATGAGGTCTGAATTTGTAAATCATGTTGTCTAATTTCAATATCAAAATTAGTTTATCCTCGTATGCCATATGTTTTATCTCTTTGTTTCCATTGGCTGCAGCCAGCAAGGTAAAAGCCCTTAAAAATAAATTAGCCTTCCTTTCCTAAAATGTTGTCATATCACTGAAGTTTGGTAGTTGCATTAGTTGAGCAGTTATGATGCATTTGTGGTTGAGTGTGCAAGAGAAACAGACATCAATCTCTAGGTTTTAACTTAAGTGGCAAAATGGTGGGATGGTTTTGGATGAGTCTTTCAATTCAATTCTTCCCTACAGAAAATTGTGAATAATAAAAGAAAGGATGCAACAAGCAATAAGCAAAAAGTATAAATGGATAGGGAGATATAAAGATTACATACCCGACATACAGTATGCTACCTGATGGAACCTTTCCCTTTCTCAGTCAGGTTGAAATAGTTGGTGCTGTGCAGCGACACTAGTGGCATGGGGAGTATTGGATGGATGATTAGGAAGCTAAGCATAAGAACTAAGTGAATAAACATGCTGATTTTGTTTAAATTCCAACTTATGACAAGAAACAGAGATCCCTTTATTTATTTATTTATTTTTATCATTTCACAGACATGCCTTTATGAAACTGCTTTGCTCTCAGTTATTCAAATTGAGACCCAACTGTTTCTTTTGCAGATTTAAAGGTCATCAACTTTGTGCTATAAAAATTAAAGGTAGTGCTTTCCTGTGGCACCAAGTTCGTTGCATGGTTGCTGTGCTATTTATGATTGGCCAAGGTCTTGAATCCCCTGAGGTGAGTATCAGATGTCATTGTCATTGCATGATTTCCTCTTCTTTATTTGATGCCTTTAAGCCAAAAATGATTTTCTGCACTGACAAGTTTAGCATCTTGCGCTAGTTTACATTTGCTTTTGCTGAATGTCCACTAATGACCAGAATATAAAATCTGAACAAGATGAGCACACACAGGATGGCTCTGAACAATCTACTGATGGTTTATGCCAATAAATGCATATATATGCATGTGCACTCTTGTGCTTTATTCCTTGTGTCTCCCTACAAATAACATCCCCACCATGCATCACAATTCTATCAGAGATGATGGCTTTGTCCTATAATTTTCAGGTGGGGACCATTTTGAAGCAACATTTGGTAGATATTGGTATACAGTAGTGAGCATGAGGAATCCTCTACGTGAGCTAGGATGTCCTTGCTAATTGACATTCCAGATGATAATATTTGCTCCTTGCTTTCCTGTTTACAGCTTTGACAGAATTCTCAAAGTTCATTCTTTCACCTAGGATATTTTGAAAGCCAGTTAAGGTGGGCTATCAAGTCCACTGGATGCTTCATTGGAATAGTTTCCAACAATTGTTGTATTGCATATTTTTCCATGTTTTCATGAATAATTAAATCAGTATGAAAGTAACTTGTGTTAAATATTCACTTCATAGGTAATAGATGCATTACTGGACACTCAAAGGACACCAAGGAAGCCCCAGTATCTCATGGCTCCAGAAATTCCATTGGTTCTTCTTTCCTGTGAGTTTGAAGGTCTCAAGTTTGCATGCTCTTCAGGTACTTGAAATTCGAAAAGACCATTACTAATACTGTTTTCAAAAGATGTTTAGTGATTGAGATTAAGCAAACTCCGCCTGGTTACCTCCAACCTCTAAGGAGCTCAATACTTGAAGTTAATATTTCATAGCTGTAGTTTAGAGAAGTCTATGTACTTTGGAGTTCACATCTCTTTTCCCTTAATGCTTGCTGAATTGGTAGCCAATTTTAACTGCAATGTTCGAAATTATTTTTATTAAATGTTACTGAATTTGTGCATAGATGCTGGACAAGCTCTGCATGTTCACTTGGAGAATGAATGTCGACTTTACCAACTCCAGGCTGCTATATATCATGAGGCTCTGTTGAGTCGTTTGCCTTTGCCAAATGGTGCAGAAAGCAATTCCTTCATCTTTTCTAAATGAAGCATTTTACCTATTACTTTTATTGGTCTACATTGCTGATGCCATTTCTGACTTTTCAGATAAAGACTGGTCGAGTAATGGAGTGATAAGAAAAAAGGCTTCTCATGTTCCTCTCATTTCAAGGATAACTGAGCGTGAGTCCTGCCACACTTCAAATGTCATCATAGATTTACTTGAACGATGGAATGTGTGTGCATGGTCGTGAAATATTATCGAACTCTTTATAAAAAGTTTGGATATGATAAAAATCAGTCATAGAAGTCGACCAGTAACCTTTCTATTCTCTGTGCAAACTTCCTCCAAAATAAATGTTCATCATTCCATACCAAGGTTTTCACCTTACTTTTTATTGCTTGAACTTGTTACAGCATCATATGAAGAGCGGCGTGCTAAGCTGGAAAGCGTAAAGTTAAGAGCTTGATAACTTGTCAGCCAGCATTGCGAGAGTTTAATGCAACCCTATTCTGCAGTGTATTTTAATTGATACATGTTTCATTTCTGGCCGGCTTCTGGAGGAAAATAAAATAATGGGATTGGTAGACTAATTTAACGGTGTATTCAAATCTGAGATCTATGGCTATGGGAGACCGCATCTTGCTGGAAAAAGAAGGAAACAAGTGTTTCTTTTTCTCATAGACAATCATGGAGGCAATGCCTTGCGAATCTAAACCAATACGTAACCATCATTACAAATAAGACTTAAGCCCTCAAATTCCGTTGGATCCTTATTTACTGCTCAGACTGTAGAAGGATGCCTCCAGATTTTTAAAATTAGAGGTCAAAGAAGTAAAAAAGAAATAGGCCCAATGGTTAAATCATTTGATCAGCTCTTTTGGGCTGCAAGTGGGGCCAATCATCGGACGCAAACACAAGCAATGGCTGTCTCCCAACTCTTTGCTTTGGATACGTATGCTGTTGTGGCTTCAAATCAACTCCTCATTGTCTATATCACAGATGGGGTAAGGTGGAACTAGAAAGGTCCCCCAGATAACATGCATCACAGCACATGACCACGCAACTCCTATTCGTGTTATCTCTTATGCAAGTGATTAAGGTGAGTTGATGACCCACCAAACAAAAGTGGAAAGAGTTTGTTTTTTTTTTTTTTTGGACAAAATCAATTCACAATGATCCCAATATGTCACACCGTCGAGAACTTGCTATGACTTGCTTATGAAGAAAATTTTAATTCAGCAAATAATGATTGTGTTTTTTTTTTCCGGTACCAAAATTACAGATGAGCGAAATGTTAAGGATAGTTATTTGGTACTTACTGTGGATCCATGGCCACTGGATTATGTCGATAAAGTGTGATTATTTGTTTCTTTTAGACCATTTTTTGCACAATATATAGATCATGCAAATAATGGGATCCATGAAAGAAATAATAGAAACTACAATAATTATCGAAATCAGAATTCTCGAAAAATTGACTAATATTGGAAATACATTTCTCTTTTTTTATTATTTTTTTATTAACCAATGTTGCAGTTACTAATTTGTTATTAGGTGGTGTGTAATTCTTTCAGCAATAGACATTTTTTTATAGATATAACTAAGAAATTATATCCAAAATCTTCAAGCATGGAGTACATAAACCTCGGATGATAATATAGCCAACTCAATGATTGTTTGAATCAAGATCCAGTTGGCGTCCACAAGTTAGAGAAGGTAAGCTCTCTGGGGAAAGAGAGAAACATGAACCAATTGTAACATTTCATAAGAGACTGGAAGCACCTATTGATCTTTATTGTAAAATTTATTTGATAAAATTAAATTTGGAAGAGTACTAAAAAAGGTTTGCTTCCAATCACTTTTAGCAATCCATTTCGGTTAACAATTTCGTATATCCCTCTATTTTTTTCTTCCTAGTGAAAGATATTTTTATTATTTTTTATGTATTATATATTGATGTCGTATCATATTCTTACAACGTGAAATTCTCACTGATATAGACTTCTGATCCCTAAGCTTTTTAAAAAAATTATTTTGCTCAATGTAAATTATTTTTAATTACAAAAGGTCCTTAGTTAAGAGTTTTTGGTCGTTGTATTTTTCAGAAAATATAATATAGTCCTTGAATTATTTTTTTTTATTACGTTCTTGCATGTCAAATTGTAAACTTGATCAAAGTCAAATAATTTAAACGAGTAGATGGGCAAGGCAACAATTAAGTGAATTTAAACATGTATATCTGTTTAAAAAATAAAACTTTTATTTCATGTTGGATAGTATATCTATTATTGGAATTTTCCTTTTATTTTTAAATTTTTTCTTGATTTTAACCTTAAAAAAATTGGAAAAAAAAATAAAAAAGAAAAGAAGGTAAAAAAATTCATAATAGACACATGATATTACAGGAGTGAATTCTATCTTAAGGTATCAGTTTAGTCCTTGAACTTCTTGAAAATTTTTGTTTGATTTTACTAGTTGATCATGGATGCTATTATTTTTTATGATTGTGATTGATATTGTTGTGGTTTTGTTTTTATTTTTATTTTTTTCCTATAATATCATATATCTATTTTAAAACTTTTGACAAAATTTATGATTTGACACATAAGAACTTAATTGAAAAAATTAAGTTAGGGATTAAAATTTATTTATTGTAAAACACAATGACCAAAAGATTCAATTATGAACTTTTTTTGTAGAAAAAATAAAATACAAGAACCAAAATAATTTTAAAAAAAATAAAAATAAAAGTATACGTTAATGAAAGTTTCATGCTGTAGGAACAAAACACATGTCAATTTTTTATTAGAGTTAGTGGCAACCGCTCATAGAAGAATGTGATAGTGATGAAAGCATAATACATAATGATGATCTTAAGATAAAAAAAACAGTATAGCGATATTTTAAAAAAATAAAATAAAATAGAGAGATATGGAAAATTATTAACCCAATCTATTTTTTTAAAGTACTATTTTACAAGAAAAATAATAAGATAACAAGAATAAATCACAAGAAAGTTATAACAATGGAATGAATAAATAACTTCCATAACAATTACAGGATTGGTTGGTTCTAGTTTTTCTTAATTTATTCTTATTATTTTTCTTGTAAAATAGCATTATCCTCGTTGAAAACTATCACATCCTTATAAATTGTCACGTTAAAATGAAAAAGGTTAGAAATATTTGTTAGGTGGATAATATTTTTCATATCCAAAAGAAAAATGAAAATTAGGGCCAGCAACGGGGAAAGTGAAATTGCCCCTTCTCTCTTACCTCGCTTGGCCCCTGGGCTCCGTATCATTACAAAAACGAGAAGGGGCACAAATAAAGAAAGAAGGAAACGGGTGAGCTGTTCTTGGGCTTCATTAATACAAGAGAATTGGTTCCCGCGAGGGAAACTCGGATCAAACAAGAAGAACGCGCCTCTTTTTCCCTTTTTTTTCCTTTTTGAAAAAAATAAAAATAACAGAAATAGAAATTCTACACTTTTCTTCCTCTTCCTCCTCCTCTTCTTGTGTTTATTGATTGATTGACTGACGTGAAGACGAAGGAAAGGAAAGGAAAGGAAAGGAAAAGAAAAGATGGAGGCAGCGATGGGGTTGATGAGAAGAATACATCCAAAACAATCAGAGACTGCTCTCTCCGCTCTCCTCTCCCTACTGCCTCACCATTCCTCCGATCTCCTCTCTCAAGTCGACCAGCCTCTCCAGGTCTTTCAATTATATCATTTTCTCCTGTTCTGTTTTTAGGGTTTTTCGTCTTGCATTTGCTTTCTTTCTCGATTTCAAAATGGACGCAAATGAGAGGCGTTAGGGTTTGTCTCGCTTCAGTCGTTGGCGACATTGACGAAATTGCTTGGTCTAGATGCGTGGAAGAGAAGCTTGAAGATTTAATTGCCTAATTTATTGTTATTTTTTTCATTCTTTGAAAGATATTGATCTGAATTTAAAATTCGTTTATTTCCTTTCTCTTACAGGTTTTGTGCGACCTGGAGAGTGGAAAGGAGTACATACTGTGCGAGTACAACAGAGATGCTGACTCTTATAGGTTTGCTCTTTCACTGTCTGGTTATTATTGTTGTAGCTCTTCGGATTAGTCGTTTCGTAAATAATAATGGCAGATTTGCTTGTTTACAGACTATTACCCATTTGAGAGTTCTTCTGCTGGGAGTTCATAGTTTTCGCACTTATTAGGCACTACTTAAGAAAGTCACTGTTCTGATTTTTAAGGAGGAAAATAAGTGTTTTTGTAGGTTCTACAGCCAAGCGCTTGACACCGCAATTACTTTTTTTTTTTTTTTTTTAAACTCATATGACTGTAATTAACATTTGTTTGATTTACCAATAAATTATATTTATATATGTATTTGAGTATATCTTCTAGGGTCATGAGCGTGCCAGGTCCTGCTTTCCTATTGTCATGCTTGTTCATTACTGTATGGGGCTCCAATTTCAGTTTATGTCATCATAGGCGTGTCAGCACACTGACTCTTGTAGAAATTGGTAACAATTCATTATTAGTTTACGTTTTCACTTTAAATGTGCCTTGTAGATCACCTTGGTCAAATAAGTATTATCCACTACTGGAAGATGCGCTGTATCCATCTTCAGAGTTGAGGAAACTTGAAGTTGAAGCGAATGAAGTCTTTGCCATTTATCGTGACCAGTGAGGTTCTTTACTTACCTCGTCCTTGAGTTGCCGTTTTCTAAGTGACTGGTTTCTATTTTCCTGATGATTTTTTATAGAGGAAGATATTCTCTGTAGCCCCTCCTGGAGACTGTTCTCATTTTTCATCTTGGGGTTTTGATAATGGAAGGAATTCTGTTTTCAATCAACTGTTTCTCTGTTTCATTTATGCTGTCCAAAGATTTGGCTATTTGATCAACCAATTAAATTGGTAGGTACTATGAAGGTGGCATCTCGTCTGTTTATATGTGGGAAGATGACAATGAAGGTTTTGTAGCCTGCTTTTTGATAAAAAAAGGTGAGCATTTCTACCTAAATCAGCGGTCAAAAAAGTGAAAGTTTCATTGTTCTGACTGGATTGCTGCTGCCTTGGAGGATTTAGATGGGTCAAAGACTGGGCAGGGAAGAAGAGGTCATCTGCAAGAGGGAGCATGGGATGCCATTCATGTAATTGAGGTAAGCTTTTGCCATGGTCTGCTAGTAATGGGGATATAATCCTCACTGCCCTTCCTTTGTCTCCTTTCTCCGGCTTTGTTTCTATGCAAGTTTGTTGGTCATTATCCCAATATTGCTGCAACTTTAATTTTTATAGGTGGGGCCAGAAGAGGAAAGCATAGCCCATTATTGTTTAACCAGTACTATTATGCTGTCTTTGACTACAAACGATGAGTCTTCTGGCACATTTAGCCTCTCTGGATCTATTAGACGCCAGGTAAGTGTATTTTCTTTTTATTTATCACATCCTTTGAAGAGGAGATAATTTTAGCATCAGCATTGGCAGAATTGTTTATACATTAAAACTACATGGTGAAACTCTTTTTGAGGTTTTAGCAATGCCCTCTTTCTCATCAAGGCAAATCCATGGTGTCCTTTTGGATTAGCATCTGGATATACCCTGCAAAAGATATTGGGATGGAAGTGAGGTGGTCATATCTTTACGAGGGTTAAACAATAGTTTTGCTACAAGTTTATTTTCTGTTAATGACTCAGGTTATAACCTGTTTCTAATTTTCTGCGAAAGCTGAAATCCTTCATTGATTATAATACTTCATGTTACCATATACTAATTGTTTGATATGATGATCATTTAGCAATTCATGACTACTGTGAATTTTGGTTTGTAGAATTAAGAATTATCATGAAAGGTGTGGCTTTGTCATTCAAGTAAATTGTGTTTTGTTCTTTTGTTCTTTTCTGAGAAAGAGATAAGATTGTACACTGTCAACTAACTATTTACTTTTTTATTTCTTGTGTTTGGACTTGTTCGAAGAAACTTATACCGTCTCTTCAACAATTAGGATTTTGCTTTTAAAAGAATTTTCTTCTCTTACAACATGTCAAACTATTTATACAATACCTAGCAACTGTTCTCCAAATTTTGTTTTTAAAAGAATTTTCTTCTTTTCGTACAACATGTCAAACTATTTGTACAATACCTAGCAACGGTTCCCAAAATTTTACATTTAATTCTTGGAATGCACTATTGGAAGAAAAAAGAAAATGCTTAAAGATATTTAAAACATGCTCTAGAAAGCTACAGTTACGTAGATTTCTTCCTTCTTGTGCCAGCATTATGATGTTTATAATGTTTGCTGGTGAGTTAGATAGGCAGCACTCCAACCGTATTCAATGCATCTCTGTTTTGAAGTGAATGATTAGAAGGCAGGAATATTACTGTCCAATTCTATGGAGGCGTATGTGTATATGTTTATTGACTTTTGATTCTGAGTCACTAGCTGATTTTCATACCATCTTTTCTAGATGAATATGGACCTCTCAGTTGCAGATGGCCATCTTTGTAACATGGGGAGGATGATAGAAGAGATGGAGGGTAAGCTCAGGAATTCGCTGGATCAGGTATATGTTTCCTAGTTTTAGTGTTACTTTTAGATCTTCTTGTTAACTTATGGCAATTTATTACACTTGCAATTATGGTAATTGATTTAAGGCCATACAACTGATGAAATATGTCATGATACCCATATGCTTTCTTTGTTGACACTGTGCTCCCATTACAGGTTTATTTTGGGAAGACAAAAGAGATGGTGTGCACTTTACGACCCCCATCCGAAGTCGTGTTGAGACTGCCATCAGCTGATTTGGCATGAAAACAGTATACAGAAAAAAAAAAAAAAAAGAAAGATACGGATCGTTTGTCTGGAGTTGTACTAGCTGTAGATCTCTTCCTTTCCGTTTCTTTTTTCTTTTATTTGAGATCATATGAAAAACTTTTGCGAGGCTTGTCTGCACAGCTAGGAGAGTGAACATCTTGTGTTGTCTCATTGTAGTTTTCAGTTATTTTTGCAGTTCTTGTTTAAGTCCCGAGTCATCATTTTCTATCAACTTCAAAGCAGCTGCTGATTTTTATTTTATTTTTCAAATTTGTAACTTCTTTTGGATGGACCTTGTGGTATAGTGCTTTAAGACATCTGAGTTCTTAATTATATGGAACCTAGTGAATGTTAATCTGTCCAAATTAACGCATGGAAAGCTTTTGTTCATGTAGAAGAATTTGCTGATCTACAATTTGTTCTTTTCTTAATCTGTCAGAATCGACTAATTGAGAATTCAAACCTGTCTAATCTAACTACGCAGAATGGAAAGCTCATTACTTCAATCCGCTTGCCAATGCGAATGCCTGCAAAGCACTAACTGAACGTTGCTTTTATATTCTGGATTTATTTTGATCTGCTGGCTATTTTGTTGGATTTACTCGATTTTTTTTTTTTTTCCAGAGATGTTTATGTAGGCACTTCACACTTTAATTTCCAGGATATGGTTTGAGATCGTCAGAAAGGGTAAAACAAGGAAGGATCCCGACTGATTGCGACTCCTCTGCTAACCAGCAGGCCAAAGGCTATACATTAGCCACCTGATCGGAAATCTTAAAAAGTGAACTGATGTTTTTGTTCCTACCAAATCATTTTTTTCATGCGTTACCGCCCAATCCGTAAATTCCCAAATAATAGTACCGGTACCCAATCAACAGTAAAGTAGTAAGTAATTCTCATCGAAACCAACGAGAGTTTTTTTTTGGCTTCTTAGAGAGGAGACAAATGAGAAGAGGGAGAAGGGAAGAGGAAAAACGAGGAACATCAACGTACCACCCATTTTGTTTGGTTACGAAGTATAACATTATCGAGAATAAATTGGCGCCAGTACGAGGTCCTCTATGAAACGATGCACTACATTAAACAGCTATGTCATTTTTGACCGATTAGAATCGTAAGGATTGTAAATTACAAATCATCAAACCGCATTAGAGCAACTCGATTCACGCCGTTCTTCATATCAACCATCAACCATGAAATTTTCTGGGAGTAATCTTAATTATCCAAACAAACACATATATTACCAACATGCTATCCCTCCCTTTTACTTGCGCAACATTTTGATAATGAAGATTCAACTTATAGCTCTAAATTTCTTCAATTTCGGACACCTAAACATGCTGTAACAAGAATTGTACGGCACAGTAAAACCACATGGTCAAAACTAGAGCTGGAAAATTTGTCTGAGCAGACAGCACTATGCAATTCAGAACTGATCAGCCAGCTTCCATATTTCATCTCAAAACTCTCAACATATGATAGGATGGAACTCATATAGGCATGTATAGATCATTCATCATCATGTACCATTGTATATAAGAAAAAGACGGATGCATGCCACTAGAAAGTTAAATGGTAAGACCACATTATAACCAATAGTTGACCTCTATCACAAACTATTGTGATGTGGAGCTAAAACACCTGTGATACTTTTTAAGTTAAACATCCAACAGATATAGGTAAAACGGCAACTTCATAACTTCAAAACACACTCGATGGAAAGCTTCAAGTTTTCTTAGGGTCTGCTTCGCCACTAGTAGATGGTGGTACTGCTTCCTTCTCTGCCAATGGTGCTTCTTCTGCATTCTCATCTTCGGTGTCATTTTCATCATCTACAAGGATGTGACCATTCATTTTTGGATAATCAGATTAAACAGGAATGGATGCATTGTAGTCTCAAGTGAGAAATTGAAATAGGGAAAATCACATTGCTTATATATGTTAAAAGAGACTTACCATCGTCCATGTCAGGAACAGCCCCATCAAAGCCTCCACCTCCAAGATTCAGATCCTGAAATAGAAAGGTTACAATCATACAGCATTAGCAAAAAATAATTAGAGAAGTGCATCCTGTCTATTTATGCAATAAGAACATTGCTACTTACAGGAAAATCAAAACCCATATCCCCCATATCAGCTGGTCCTCCTAGTCACAAAAAAAGGGAAAAAAAGAAGCAAAATAAGTCAAATTGAACCATGGAGATATTATTTAGAAATATAGTGACATGGAATAAGAAATGAAGCATAGAGACAGAGGCTAACCCTTGCTTGAGTTCTCCTCGTCTTCATCAACCCATTTATCCCAGTCAACAGTCAAGAACACTGGAGGCTTTCCAGTCTGTTTTATCAATCTGCTCCACCATTTGTTCTCAGCCTTCTTCACAATGTACTGGATATTTCTTGAGCCAATAGCGGCTTTGCTCTCCTGCAAGTATTATAACAAGAAGCTGAATATTTGGCAAACTATTTATTTAAAAGAGAGATGCATGGCTGAACCAGAAAGGACACTTACCTCTACATTGACCTTGTCTAATAGGTCAAGTTCAACTTCATAGGGGATGTTATCTGCCCCACTGGTAGCAGAGAAGAAAAATTTCCCTTCAGGCTCTAGTTTAAGCTTTACATTCTGTGCATCAGGCAGCTGCACAGTGATGAACAACTTGTCTGACCTCTGGGCCCATTTCACTGAAGGATGTCGGCTGCAAAGTGGAATGTTCAATGCCAAAGTAAGAAACCATGGTGGTGGTGGTGAAGAAGTGAAATGAAAGTGGTGGTTTGTTAATCATGATGATAGTCATCGTCATGGTAATGATAGTTGGCAAAATTGGTGGTCATTGTGGTGATAATGTTGCTAACATGATATACTACAAATAAATAAAAAAACTGAAAACCAAAATTGTTCACAACAACAAAACATGTTATAAAAAAAAAAGAAAACCACAAGGATACCATACATCACCTTACAATTTTCACACCAAGATGTTCTAAAATTTGACTATTTTATAATTTTCTGATAGCTAGGACATAAACTTCCATTTCTTTATCACAGCCATCAATTAAGCACTCAAGTTGTTTACCACTTCACCATCCTCCAACAAAATAATATTTTGCCTCGAACCATAGCATCAACTACAATAACAAAGCGAACAAGAACTATTGCACATTTTACTGAGTAGATAAAGCATGCCAAACCCACTTTTGAACTAAAAACTTAAGGAAAAACCAAGAACCACAGTTTTGTCCAAGCATGGCAGTGGACAGTAATACATTAGAAGCCAAGAAACAAAAAGATCACAAGACCAACAGCAATACATAAATTATATATTTTTTTTAAAGTTAACTGAGTTTTTACACACACACATGTCAAGTAAAGGAGTCTCCCCTACTTATAGTCAAAAGCCAAAAAGTCTGTTAATTAAGAGATTCTATTTAATCTCTACTACACTTTTGGAATTTTCTCAATTTAGTACTTCTGTTATGTTTCCATTCATGAATTATTTTAATAACAAATTTCCAATCTCTGTTTCTTCACAAACGGCCATTCTTGCTCCAATTTTCAGCCATCTTTTGGTTCCCAAGTCACATACATTGTATTCTAAGTATTATTTGACCCTCGAAATTTACTTAAAACCAGAAAAACAAAAGAAATTCAAGAATTAAAATAAAATCCAGCTCCTATTAAAAGTTTGATGTTTCACATGTCAAGCGAATACTATTATAAGTGAGAATAGTGATTTAAGGGACCAAAAAGTGAAAAATATAGTTGGCAGGAATCATCTATTGAGTTTGGAATGAAAAAGCTAACAAAAGGCCTACTTAGGAAAACTCTAAATGCTCAAAAGCAAATAATTAAATCTTTTGGTTTCAGAAACTAATTTGGCAATAAACTATTGGAGCATGGCACATTTTATCTTCTTTTTTTCCTTCTCCTCAAATTTCTCATCAACCAAACACGACAAATTTCAGACGACAAAATCAATTTCTTTATTTATTTAACGCGAAAATGATTCCATTAAAAAAAAAAAAGCTAAAACGGGCAAAAAGACCACCATCTCCGTCAAGAACTGTGGCCACCACAGTTCCCTAAGAGACACCCAAATCACAAGCTTCACCTACTTAAGAAACCATCGTCTAAATCCTCCCTTTAGAGAGACAGAGAAAAAAAACCTAGTCCAACAGAGCAGATCCACCCATGAAGGACAAGAAATACAAAAAGAAATAGGTCTCCTCCAAACTTGTGGATGAGATACTGGCCTATAGCAGCGCACCGTATAGTGAATGAAAACCCTAGGTTTCCTTAGAGAAATGGCTGCCGTTGGCCGTCACAAAAATTTAGGGTGTCTAGCTAGTTGAAATTTTGAGGAGAATCTATGGAATTAAAACAAAGAAAAAGTAAATATGAGAGAGCGAATAAAAATAGTACCTCATTATTGGGAGTAGGAAATAGTACAGTGGCGAGCGAGGAAGCAAGAGAGACGAAGGGAATGGAGTTAACGGCGAGAGTTCTTCGTTGCGTGGGTTTTTAAATCAGATAGATATCCCTGACTTTATTGTGACGGTATGTATCTTATTATAGAGCGGTCGAATGATGTGTAAAACCCTAGCTCAGCTACCTCGTCTAGATGCTTCCTTTTTTGTTTCTGGGACCTCCGGGGGTATTTTTGGAATTAAGCTAATTTATTGTCACCTGTCTGTCCAGTTGAGTCTCCGGATTCTTCTATGAGGGCGTCTTTATCATCGTTGTTGTGGGGGTGGTTTTGTTTGGCCTTTTTTCTCTCTCTCTCTCTCTCGTTGGGTGCTCAAAATATTCAATTTAAAAGGTTATTCCACGGCATATTTTAGGACCAAATTGGATTTTGAAACCAAATGTGTATATATACTTCCCTTTCATACGAAGTAAGTTGCTAGATTGGAAAATTTTGGCATCCGATGATATAAGTTGGATTGCAGTATATTGAAAACTGTCCTTTTTTTTTCTTTTTTTTCAAATTGAAAACTGTTTTGCCATTCCTGTTAAAGGTGAGTTGTTATTAATAATTTATTTTGTAATAAGTTTATTTTTATGCATAACTCTTTTTTATTAAAAATTGTATCGATCCAATTGATATAATTTCTTTTATGAAAAAGTTCCGCCTATATAGAAAAGTTATGCATAAAAACCTTTCAATCGCAATTATCACCTTTTCTATTACACGAAATGCCATGTATTAATTTCATAGCTTTTATTTATTATTTCTTTTATTCTGCATTAAGGATTAAGCATTAATGAATATAATCAGATTAGTTTCACAAGGACGTACACTCACTCTCGATATTTATATATTATGAAGGAATTTAGTGAATTTCGTTAAATATTATCATTTTAGTTTCAAAGTTTAGATTTGGATATTTTCTCATATTCCAAATCCAATTATTAATTTTAAATTCAAGAAAGGGAACCAACTTTCTTTGAGTTGAGGTTAATTTGACAGCTGTTACAAAATGTAAAAGAAGAAAACGTAAGTGATCATAAAAAAGCTCAACCATGGGCAGTTCGGTATCGAAAGAGAGTTAAAGTCTTCCTGTCAGTTGTTGTCATGATAGAATGGCCTGCTTGCTAGACTCCTTGTTGTCAAAAGGCGGCACTCTCTCGCTCTCCCTCTCACAAACAAAACAACTCCAAGCTTACATCATAACTACAGGCCAATTCCAACTTCCCATCTCCCCTCCTCGCTCCAAACTCCTCGAACTCTATGCTCTCTCTCTCGGAAACCTCTCCTTGGCCATTTTCACCTTCTCTCAAGTCTGCACTCCTTCCACCAACGATTGGAACGCAATCATCCGTGGCTTCATTCAAAGCCCAAACCCAGTCAATTCCTTCGCATGGTACAAAACTATGATCTCTAAAACCCGCAGAGTAGACGCATTAACTTGCTCTTTTGTTTTAAAAGCCTGTGCTCGTGTTTTAGCTCGTTTAGAGTCGATTCAAATTCATACCCATATTGTGCGTAAAGGGCTTTTAGCTGATGCTTTGTTGGGTACGACTTTGGTTGATGTTTATGCGAAAGTGGGTGATATTGATAGTGCAGAGAAGGTGTTTGATGAAATGGTTAAGAGAGATGTTGCGTCATGGAATGCATTGATTTATGGGTTTGCTCAAGGGAGTAAGCCTACCGAGGCTTTGAATTTGTTCAAGAGAATGGAGATTGATGGGTTTAAGCCTAACGGAGTCTCGGTTGTTGGCGCACTCTCTGCATGTGCACAATTGGGTGCTTTGAAAGAAGGTGAAAAGATTCATGGGTATATTAAAGATGAACGGTTAGATATGAGTGCACAGGTTTGTAATGTGGTTATGGACATGTATGCTAAATGTGGTTTTGTTGACAAGGCTTTTTTGGTTTTTGAGAGAATGAGTTGTAAGAAGGATATTATTACTTGGAATACAATGATCATGGCATTTGCAATGCATGGTGATGGGCATAAAGCTATTGAGCTATTTGAGAAAATGGGCCAATCTGGAGTGAGGCCAGATGATGTGACGTATCTTGCTGTGCTAAGTGCATGTAACCATGGGGGATTAGTAGAAGAAGGATTTAGGTTGTTTAATTCAATGAAGAGATGTGGAGTGAAACCAAATGTTAAGCATTATGGGAGTGTAGTTGATTTGTTAGGCCGAGCCGGGCGGCTTCATGAGGCTTGTGATATTGTCAATTCTATGCCGATGGCGCCTGATGCAGTGCTTTGGCAAACTTTGCTTGGTGCTTCCAAGACTCACAGGAATGTGGAAATAGCTGAAACTGTTTCGCGAAAGCTTGTGGAGATGGGATCTAATCACTGTGGGGATTTTGTTTTGTTATCTAATGTTTATGCAGCACGTGAGAGGTGGGCTGATGTGGGGAGGGTAAGGGAGGCAATGAAGAACAGGGATGTGAAGAAGGTGCCTGGGATTAGCTACATTGAAGGAAATGGCGTAATACACAAGTTCTACAATGCTGATAAAAGTCACGAAAGTTGGAGGGAGATTTATGCGAAGTTGGATGAGATTAGGTTCAAGATCAAGGAATATGGGTATGTGGCTGAAACAAGCTTTGTGCTGCATGATATAGTGGAGGAGGACAAGGAAAATGTTTTGTGTCATCATAGTGAGAAGTTGGCTGTGACTTTTGGTTTGATTAGTACAAGTGAGGGAACACCAATACGAGTGATTAAGAACCTTAGGATATGTGGGGATTGTCATTTTGTGATTAAGCTTATATCGAAGATATATGATCGAGAAATCATTGTGAGGGATAGAGTGCGGTTTCACCGATTTAAAGAAGGTTTTTGTTCTTGCAGAGATTATTGGTAGCAGCACTTAAGTTCAATTTCTGTGCAATCGTTGCTCAAAACGCAATAATAGAAAGTAAACGTACAACTCATCTGAGTTTCCTTCCGTTTTTAGCTTCGATTCTCTATTCCAGCATGCTCATTACGTTGGCTATATACCTTTTACTAACTCGCAACTTGGTTTTAGCGTACCACCCGACCATTATGAAGCTGCAAAGATCATCAAAGGCAACTGTTAAAATTATTAATTTTTCTCTAGGTTCAGCCTTGGTTCCAGTTTGATTGACGCAAACAGAAGCACTGCTCGTTGGGATATCTACTATTAGCAGAACGCATATCAGAAGAACCGCAGTTGCAAGGTGGTAGTAACCAGTTCTGAGAGGTGCCTCCTATTGGCGAAGAGCATTGGATTCCTTTCAGTCTTGGAGACAAACTTGTTTGCTTTCAACCAAATAGAAAGTAATTTATTGCGAGATGTACTCTTTTTCTTGGGTGAAAATACAACTTTTTAGAGAGAACATTAATCAGCATCCACACAATAACAATACTAAACAGACCAACGATGAAATTCAATTTCACAGACGAAGCAAATGAACCCATTTTTTGAATGGCAAGGAAGAAGATGAAGATTGTAAGTTGTATCAGATTGCATGCATGGGAGTCCAAGTACAAGCACAAACAACTAAAAATTGAAACGAGGTGTTCAAGTCTGTAAACTACTTTCAGTCCTCTTGAGCATCATAAAAGTGCAAGAGTACAACAATCCCAACAAATTGGAATAGTAAATAGCAAACAACATTTAAAAAAAAAAAAAAAAGTTACATACTGAGGTAACCCAGAATATAAAAACTACAGTTCTTTTGGTAGGTTGGTACACAGTAGCATTACCAGCTGGACAAATATACTGTCACAGAACTAGAAAAAGAAGGAACCCCCAATGGACTTGCTTCAAGCTTTAAACGTCAAACAAAACTTCTATTCATTTTTTCAGGAGTGGCACAACCCAAGCCAAAAAAATGTTCCACACTTAATTGGAAGCTTGAAATAAACAGGCGGTGTCAAATTGCAACTAGTCCGTATCCTTCTTAACCGGTCTTGCCTCAAAACCGCCTTCATGTCGCTTCACAACAGCGTAAGGCATATGTGTCCCTAGAAGTTTATCCCATACGGAGAAGAATGGCTGAGAATAATTGTACTTTGTGCCTGCGAGTTGATGGTGGATGTCATGATAAGCAGTGTTATTCTGGAAAAAGATATGGAAGATATTGCCAGGCAACCAGAGTCCACAATGATCATCAACTGTTTTAACTACAGCAAAGCAGAAGAAAATGACTGATGTTCGTGCAGTCATTCCTGAGATGAGGAATGCAATGGCACCACCCACCGTGTCGAGCAAGAGACCCTCAAGCGGATGATTATAAAGGGCCCCAATGGCGTAAGGTATGACTAGCTTGTGATGCTGGGAGTGGACATGGCGGTATAAGAATTTGTTCTGATGCATGTAGCGGTGTGCAAAGTACTGCCAAGTGTCAATGACAAACATTCCAATTATAACTTGCACGATTTGGATAGAAATAGAGGGCTGGATTGTGATCCCAGATTTATCCGCTGTTGAAGTCAACTGTGGCAACAAAACAGGAGAAAGAAAGTTTATTAGTTGGTAAAAATTAAATAACATTTAGGCCCAAGTCCTAATTCTAAAGATCTTACAAGGCAAACAACACCATCAGGCAATTAACATCACCATTATCTACTTCTTATAGCCACTGATCTCTCAATCAGTCAGCATGCTCCTACCGAAGTGGAGAATCCTACCCTTCAGTATTTATGAATGAAGAAGCTACTCTCCAGAGTTGAACCTGAAACCTTGTGGCTGCATGTTCAAGACTGTTATTGTTGCCCCCAAATCAAGATACGCAAAATGTCATGTAGGTCAGCAGCTATATTAAGACATATCAAAAACTGACAGCAATGGAAGAATTCCTACATTCTCCCAACTTGTTTTAATGTCCAAAATACTCCTTGTCATTCCACAACAGCAACTTGAATCTTCAGGTGAGTAGAGGAATCTTTCATAATTGGAAAAACAAGATAGCAGTTCCGAATTTTCATGAAAGGACTTCCAAACAGAAACATGGCGGTGGAGAAGACCAAAATGAAATTTGAATGTTTATAAATGAACTTTTTCTGGAGCACCTTAATGGGATCAACATATTTTTAGAGTATCAAAATTCACAATAGACTCAGAAAATGCTAGAACTAAACTACAAGGGTCTTGTAGGGTCTAGTGCTTCATGATATTTAGGGGCAAGCAGTTAAGATACACACCCACATGACCATACCTGAATAAGAGTGCTAAGGAGGATGGTTAGGTCAAGAAGAGTTGAGCAGCAGATATAATAGTATCAGAACACAAACATGTGTCAGAACAGAATATGTTCTTGAAAGATCAAAAAAACAAATGTTTAGGATCGTCAACAATGTCACCAAGCAGAAAAGGTTCAGACACGAGAGCTGGATACAGAAATTTTAAGGACATGAAAACCACTTCCTGCAACTCAGCAAACATAGACTAGAATGAATCCCCATATTGCTTTTAAATGTGAGAGAGACTAGAAAAAAGAAAACAGAACACATACGTGAAAAGAATAAAGGTCAGTTCAACTTCAATCAAAGAACACTTAAATCTTGCATGTTGAATCAACATATAGGAACCAAAAGGATTTTCATCTTTTTCCCCACCTATTGGCTTAATAACCCATTCACACACAAAAGAATGTTAGTTCTTCCAAGGCATCAGAATCATGCGTTGGAGGCCACAATTCTCAAGAAGGAAGCAAGAATTCCCAAGCACACAGAACCAAATTAATATGTGACCTACTGTGCAAGTCTCGCATTGCACATGACAGATTACTAGGCAAGAACATGACGTGTGTTTATCAAAAGAACTGACAGAAGGAAATAATCACCAAAACTTATAAAAGCTGCATAAATAATGAACTTATGCCCCCTCCATAAGAAGAAAAACTGAGACGCTGGAAAAGCAAAGGCTTAAAAATTTTAAATGGACTGAGGATTGAGCTTTCTAATTCAAAAGATTCACCTAATTTTCGTTGCCCAGCATATCCTGTAGCTGATGATACTTCCCCAATCTTATTTATGTTCAAACCGAAAGTAAATAAATTAGAAAGGGTATTCACCAGCTATGAGAATTGACAGGCACAACATCAGATCCACAGCCTCTGATGAGATGATAAATATGAAGCAGTGACAGCTTAAGACAGAGCCAAGTAGAAGCATTTCCTGTGAAGGACTGCCTTATAAAAACCAGAAACCACTAAGAACAAAACCAATAAAAAGAACAAGCTTGTCTATGCCCCAACCACTCTATCATGACTAATCCATGTTCCACAGAAGACACACAATCCATCTCCAAGAAGCAAATTGAACCAAAAATCCATGGTGTTCTTTTCGTACATGAAAAATACTCTTATCCAACTCCCCTTGTTAGGTCAGTTAACTTATCTCCTATTGTTTCTACCTGTATTTTTTTAGCTTCTTCAGAATTCAGATAACTCATTTGCCACTGAAAAAAAATAATAATCTACTACTAGAAAGAAAAGGGGAGAGAGAGAGAGAGAGACGTGTGATAGACAAAGCATCTCTTCAACTTGTCACAGACAGGGTATGCTACTTGACAAGTCATATAAAATACATGATTAGCAGTAGAAACTGCTTAGAGGTAAACGAAGGGCCATAGGCCATAGCTGCCCTAGCCAAAGAAATTTTGAGAAGCACCCACCATGAACTATTCCTACCTTTCCTATTTAAGCCCTCCTCACTTTCAGAGGCTTGAGAAAAATACACCTAGCAACAGCACTCCTAGAAAATACTACAGACACCAATAACCCACGAGTCCATGAAATCTATCCTCAAGGTACATTGTCAAGTAACACATAGTCAATGACTACAAGAATACCCAAAACTTCTTCAGAATATGTGAGAATCTTTGTATGGTATAGATGGAAATTAACTCAAATGAATCACTTTCCTTCCTAATTAGTAATAACCATCCCAATGCTAATGATCCCTTCATCATCTATATTTGCATCATCTTTTACATAACCTGTATTTTCTCATATAGGAAAAAACCTATATTGACGAACAACCAATTGGTCACACCAAAAAGGACCACAATTTAACAACAAAGTAACATAGAAGACCAGCAGGAACTACTTGAACAGGTTCAGTAACTAACCAAAAAGAGTACATGAGCAACAGCAGCCTGAACTAGTTGTTGAAACAAGACACCCTTAACCACCTTTGACAGTGGCACCAAATTCTTCTCTTCCTCCTCTTTCTTAGGGTGCAACCGATATTTATCTAAAGGCGGCATTAGCTGGTAAAACCCTGCGTACAACCAATAAATGACAATTGGAGCAAAAATGCCCATTACTTCGTCACTCACATAACCTTCCCAAAACACCATAGTCAATCCAATTTACAAAGGCAACAACAAGTATCAACTCTTTAAGATTCGAAGCTGCATTTAAAGTTAAAGATCTGCAGCTTTAGTGTTCACTCTACCTAACCTGAAAATCACAGGAACAAAAAATCAGAGATTTGAAGCAGCATATTAAAAAATAAATAAATAAAATCTTCAGATATGGGAGATGTCATTATGTTCTGATTAAGCTGATATCAAATACAAATAAGCGAGAAATCATTTTGAGTGATACAGTGCGGTTTTACAGGTGTAAAGAAGGTTTTTGTTCTTTCAGAGATTATTCTTAGCATTACTTAATTTCAATTTCTGTACAATCATTTCTGAAAAACAATACATCCAATCTGATTCTGTCTCTTTTTTTTTTTTTTTAATCTTTTTTTGCTTCGGTTCTCTGTTTCAGCATGCTCATTGCATTGGATATACCTTCTACTAATTCACGTCATTCTGTTTAGCATACCCCCTACCATCGAGAGTTGCAAAGATCATCGAAGATAACAGTTAGAATTTTTAATCGACAGGCAGGTTCAAGCTTGGTGGCAGATTGATAGAAACAAACAGAAGATTTTTTTCTGGGTTACCAAACTTAATATTACCAAAAGACATACCTGAAGGAACCACATTTGCAAGGTATTGCCCAACTCCAAGAAGAGCCTCCCATGGGCACGAAATTTTGGATTTCTACGCGTTCTCCTCAAAATAGGATGTTGAGCCTGTTTAAAGTTGTTTTACCACAACTGCTTTTACCCGGTTTGGTTCTATAAATAGTGTTCCGTTAAGGCATCCTTAACTTCGGGAAGATGGGATCTAGTCTTTCCTTGGCTAAAAATACAAATTTAAAATCACACCAACCGGTTATCAAAAATCCGATTTTACCATTTATTGCTCTCAACTCACAACCCAACACAGCACCATAACGATAATGTTTCGACAATCACATTACTTTTTAACAAGAAGATTGTGCTGACAGATTACAAGCATCAGAGTAGGATTGAAAATTAGTGTAGGCAACTTCCGGCATTCTCAAGGATCACAAAATTACAAGTACATCAATCTCAGCATATTGTAACACGTACAATGGAAAACCATAGAAGACAGATATGATACATAATGGGATAACCCAAATACAAATCTTTGGGTAGCTTGGTATAAATACCATTACCAGCTGGACAAATATATCATCACAGGACTATAAAAAAAGGAACACCCAATGGACTTGCTTCTAGCTTATAACATCAAACATCTAATCCATGTTTCCTCGAAGGGCACAACCCAGCAAAAGAATATTCCTTTGGTAAGTGAAAGCTTCAAATAATGCAGGAGAAGTGTCAAACTGTAACTAGTCCTTGACCAGTCTAGCCTCAAAGCCGCCTTCAGGTCGCTTTATAAGAGTGTAAGGCATGTGAGTCCCTAGAAGTTTATCCCATATGGAGAAGAATGGCTGAGAATAATTGAACTTTGTGCCTGGGAGTTGATGGTGGATATCATGATAAGCTGTGTTATTCTGGAAAAAGATATGGAAGATATTGCCAGGCAACCAGAGTCCACAATGATCATCAACCGTTTTAATTACAGCAAAGCAGAAGAAAAAGACCGATGTCCGTGCAGTCATTCCTGAGATGAGGAATGCAATGGCACCACCCACTGTGTCGAGCACGAGACCCTCGAGTGGGTGATTATAAAGGGCCCCAATTGCATAAGGTACAACTAGCCTGTGATGCTGAGAGTGGATGTGGCGGTATAAGAATTTGTTCTGATGCATGTAGCGGTGCATAAAGTACTGCCATGTGTCCATGACGAACATTCCAATAATAATTTGCAGTATTTGGATAGGGATAGAGGGCTGGATTGGGATTCCAAAATCATCAGCTGGTGCAGTCAACTGTAGCAACAATGCAGGAAAAAGAAGTTAATTATTAGTTGGTAAAAAGTAAAAACACATAGGTCAATGTCCTAGACCTTCCAAATCAAATGATTACCAGCAAACAATTGAACAATTACCATCTAAGTCCTAAAGTCACTGATCTCTCAATCACTCCGAACGCTCCTCCCAACATGGGGGTCTGAGATGGAGAGTTAGGAGATAATCATACCGTTCAGTACTTATGAATGAAGAGGCTACTCTCAAGACTTGAACCCGCAACCTTGAGGCTGCAAGTCCAAGACTCTTTAACTTTGCACGAAGCAAGGGCCAAGACAAATATATATTATGTCGGTAACAGCAGCTATATTATGAAATATCAAAGACCAATACAATGCAAGAAATTCAAAATTTTAATCTCCAAAATACTCATTTTGATTCCACAGCAGCAACTTGAATCTGAAGGTGAGTAGAGGAATCTTTCATAATTGGAAAAACAAGATAGCATTTCTGAGTTTTCACAAAAGGGCATCCAAACAGAAATATGGTAGTAGAAAAGACCAAAACCAGATTTGAATTTTTCCCAGTACCTTTACTGAATCAACATACAGCATCACCACAGACTCAGAAAATGATATAAGACAACTAAAAGGGACTTCTGGTTCATGATATTTAGCACCATGCAATTAAGATACATGCCCACATGGACCTACCCGAATAAGTATTAAGGATTATGGATGGTAGGAAAAGAGAAGCTATGAAACAGAACATCATAATAGTAGCAGAACAAACATGTGTCAGAACAGAATATGTTCTTTAAGGAAACAGGAAAACAAATGTTTAATATCAGCAACAATGTCACAAAGAATAAAAGGTTTCTGACACGGAGCTGGATCTAATAACTTAAAAGGACATGAAAGTCAGTTCCTGATTACTCTGCTAACATATAGTACCAATGATTCCCCAGACTGTAGTTAAAGAGAACAGAATGAAAAAGAAAAAAGAAAAAAAGAACACATTGGCAGAATGAATAAAGCCCAGTTCAACTTCAATCGTTTAAGAAACTTAAAATCTTGAATATCAAACCAGTATATGTGAGCCAAAGTATGTTCATCTTTTTCTACACCTATTGACTTAACATCCCATTCACATAGACAAAAACAATGTTAATTGCTACTCTTCTTTATTCCAAACCATCAGACTCATGCATTGAAAGCCACTATCACAGAACACCAGTGGAAAAAATTCTCAAGGAAGAAAGAATTCCCAAGCAGCCTAAGTAAAATTATCATGTAATCTGCTGTGTAAGGCTCACATTGCTCATAACACATCACAAGAACTTTACTCATCGTTTATCTAAAGAACTGCACAAATGTAATAAAAGGAAATACTCATCAGAACTCATAAAAGCTAAACATATGATGAACCTATACTCCCTCCGTATCACAGTAACCAAACAAACACCCCCCCCCCCCAACAACCAAAAGTGAATGAAAAAAAAAATGATGGAAAGCATGAAGAAGCTTCCTAATCCAAAAGATCCACTTCATTTTCGTTCCCCAACATATCTAATAGCTGATGATACTTCCCAATCTTATTATGTTCAAACCTAAAGCAAATAAATTATTAGGAGCATTCTCCAGCTATGAGAATCGACAGGCACAACATCAGATCCACAGCATCCATATGAGATGATGACTATGTAGCAGTGACTACAAAAGACAGGGCCATGAAGAAGCATTTCCTACGTAGAGCTGCCTTATACAAACCAGAAACCACTAAGAGCACTACTAATAAGGAACAAGCTTGTCTAGGCCTCTATCACTGTGAAATTATCAGTCCACATAAGACAAAAACTCACTCCAGGAAATCCATCTCCAAAAAGCAAATTGAAACAAAGCATTAATAATATATAGGAAGAAACCCATATTGAGAAACATCGAATTGTTCACACCAAAAAGGATCACAATTTCACCACAAAATAACATAAAAGGCAAACATGAACTACTTGAACAGGTTCAGTGACTAACCAAAAAGAGTACATGAGCAATAGCAGCTTGAACTAGTTGTTGAAGCAAAACACCCTTAACAACATTCGATAGCGGCACCAAATTCTTCTCTTCCTCCTCTTTTCTAGTGTGCAATCGGTATTCATCCAATGGTGGCAATAGCTGGTAAAACCCCGCGTACAACCAATAAATGACAATTGGGGCAAAAATTCCCATTACTTCATCACTCACATAACTTTCCCAAAACACCATGGTTAATCCAATTTACAAAGACAACAAGAAGTATCAACTCTTCAATAACCTAAACTGCAACTCAAAATCTGCAGATTCGAAGCTGTATATAAAGTTCAAGATCTACAATTTTAATCTTCACTCTACATAACCTGAAAATCACAACAAAAAAAAAAAAAAACAAAATAATAAATTTCAACTAAAATACATATGAAAAAAAAAGCCCTAAAGCAACTCTTTCAAGAATTTATGCAAGAGAAACTAAAAAGAAAACTTGATTCCCATAATTCCTGTTCCCTGTATTGAGTAAAAACATGCGGAAAAAAAAAAAAAAAAAAAAAAAAAAACAAGAAGAAGAAATTACAAAAAAAAAAAAAAATAAAAGATTAAATTTCCAAACTTTTATATCAAAGTTTCTAAGAAAAAAGGGGAAAAATATTTCAATTCAAGCTAGCAAGGTTCAAATTAACCTCACTTTGCTTTTCATTTGTTACTATAAAAGAACAAACGAAATAAGAAAAAATAAAACATCATACCATCTGCAACTAATTAGTAAAAAACAAATTAAGTTTAAATTAAACTTGCTTCAGTTCATTTTTTTTTCTTTTTTAATAAAAATTGAGGACCCAAATTTTCAATTAAAAAAAAAAGATTGACACGAATTAAGATTTAAGGTATTCTTTACTTACAGGTTACAGAGAGATCGTAGAAAGATGATGCTATCATAGTTGTTGCGCCAAAATCGTGAAAAACGCAAGGACGACTGACGATAATCGAATGTCAAAATTTATTAGATCTAAACAAAGCAAAGCGCCTGTTGTTTTACTTTGTTTTGCTTTGGTTTTTGATCGACGTTATTGACTTATTAGCGACAGGTGTGGGATTCTATGCTCTCTGATTTTTTAAGTTGTGATGACATGATATTTTTGTCTCACCCTTTCATTTTTTTTCCTTTTTTTTAAAAAAAAATTATTGCAGGCGAAGTCCTTGGATATCGCTGGGTTCGTTTTATACTGCCTGCACGAGTACGATCAATAATAATAATAATAATGTCTGCTGAGATTCTAAAAACAAAAAGATAAGTCCGCTGAGAAAAATCAGCAAAAATAATAATTTTATAAACAGAATTTTTATTTTGGGTCATAGATTGAAACTGCAATCTAAAATTTGGAAAGCGGCGAGGCAGAAAATTACTAAAAACTTGGTATTACTTCAATTTGTTGTTGTTAACAAATTATCATTATGGATAGTCTTTGATGCGGTGATATATATATATATATTAAATCGTATATCAATCATTTCTGTATTTGTTTTGGTACAAATACAATACAATATATATAACCTTTTTCTTACCTAGTATTTGTCTAGAAATCATTCTCTGAAAAAATCATATACAAAATGAGTCGATCACAGTATTGATTTTTATAAATCCAAGTATTTTTTTTCCGAATTTACTTACAGATTTATGAAATGAGTGGATTTCATAAATAAATCTAATAAATTTAGGTGTTGTTTGTTTATTAAGAATGAAATGTTCAAAATAAAAATTAAAAAATCGAAATGATATTTACATTATCATATTATATTTAGAATACTAATAAAAAAATTAAAATAAATTTTAATTTTAATTTTTAATTAAAAATAATGACAAAATTTTTTTTATCAATTATAATCATCGTAAAATTAATAGAAGTAGTGGTTATGGTGTGATAGCTTGTGATTATGGTTGTAGAAGTAATTAATACACGTTAAATAAAAATAATATATTATTATTTTGAAAAAAAAATTTACATTCTTTGTTTTTATTCCAACATTCTATATATGAATGAAATTATATATAGTTTTTATTTTCATTTTTATTGTCACTTCACTAATTTGAATCAAAATGTTATAAAGTGATAATAAAATTTTTATCCTTATTTCTATTACTTAATTCTTGGTAAACAAATAGCACTTTAAATGTTTAAGTTTTCATGAAAATAAATTTTAAAAAAGAATGTTCGGTGATTAAATTATCCTGTATAATTAGTCTCATAAAAAATACGAAATTGGTTAGTACATATATTTACAAAGTGTTTTATATATTAAAAGAACAAAATTATCTTCTAAAGCCATTTGTTTTATGTTCAAGCAAGTTGTGAGACTGTTATTCAATGGAGTGATTTAAGTTATAGTTTTCTTAGATTTTTTAAGAGTAAATTATAAATTGGTATATCCAGTTTTACAAAATGAATTAAACAATCTTCTTTGTTTCAAAAACTAATTAATTAGTTTCCTAGTCACTATTGTTCATGATTAATTTAATATTATTTTATTTAAAAAAAAATTAATCTTTCTATATATTTTTTTATCACTTGAAACAAAAAAAAAAAAAAGGAAAATGATTAGGTTATTAATAGATTTAAAATTATAAGAATTAATTAATTAATTTTAAAAATAAAGGATACTATTTGATTTGTCTGCAAAACTAAAGGGATTAATTTATAATTTACTGGAATTTTTAATAACTACTTTTAAGATTTCGGGGATGTTGCTTGCCAATTCCAACGCTTTTAAAATCGTGAGTTAAAAAGTTAATGATCCATATGGTTCCTACGCTATAAACAAATTTGATTAATCGTATTTTTTTATTAATTTAAGTTCTAATTTGTCCTCGTGTTAAATCAATTTGCTTGATAAAAGTCATGTTAGTGATGTCGATGATGTTATTAAGTAGACTGAACGATCAAGCTAGATGTTTCTTTCGACAAAGTTGGCCGAAGTAGTTATTTTTTTATTACAACAAAAAATTATTGAAATTAGAAAAAAAAATATAATTTCAAAAACTTGGGATGAATCTTTATTTATTTTTTTGAATTTTTTCTAATTCAACAAATGCTTTATGTAATAAAAAAATATAAAAAAAACCAACAGGATCGGCAATGTTAAAGGATATGCATGTTTAATTATGTAATTTACCTAAGGTTGTTAATGATATCACTAACAAAGAGCCCACTTTAAATAAATCGATTCACCACAAAAATTCAGTTAACATTTACATTGATAAAAAAAGGATTAATCAATTACTTGTAGTAAAGAACATGTATATTGTAAATAAGTGACCTTTCACATTTCACGTCAATGAAGTTAATTCGAAGAAAAGAGAGAGAGGTTGGATTTAGTTAACAAAGGATCATCGAAGCTCTGGCTAGTAAGTTGAGGAGATTTACCTAGTGAGAGGATGTTTCTTTTTCCCTAGCATAATTAAAATCTCCAGTCAAATTATGAAGAGTAAATTTTACCGTGTGAATTTCTGAAACTTATTAGAACAATGCTATAATATAGACAAATATATAAATATATAATTTTGTATACTCTTGCTGTCCCAAATTTTAGTCGCCTTTGCTAAAAACACAAAGTTTAGAAAAACATCAATTAATTCACAAATTAATGTCGACAATAATGGGTTGTTCCTTTTTTATCCCTAACTAGATCGTCTAAACTATTTCCTTTTAAGATGGAGGAGTCAATGTTCATTGAATGCTAAAGGATACAATGGGGAATTTAATTCTTCTAAAACATGGACTGTCAAAGGGACGAAAAAATTGGGACGACTAAAATAAAAGGGCCAATATTTATTGGAGGGTGGGGGTACCAGCTAACATGACAAAAACTCTTTTTATTCTTAATATTTAATATATGTGAAATTCATGATTCACGACTTATAATTTATAGTGTTTGTTTTTGTGAAATTTTACAGTGGTTTGTTTGTATATATAGCATTTCCATATTGCCATGATAGATTGTTTTTGTTGTGTTATACTATATTGGTTGTAAAAAAAAATAAGTGTTTGGTTATAAATGTGCGAAAAAAATATCATTTTTTGAGCAAATTTCTAGAATAAACAAGGCCTAACAACATTCAACATTGATAGTAGAGTGAAACAATTCTTTAATAATACCATCATTAAATAAGTTGATAAGAAATAATCAATTCAGATTTGATGTAAGAAGGAAAAAATTGTTATATTATCTCACATCGATTGTGAAAGAGATCGTGTGTTTGATTATAAATACGAGAAAAAAATGTATTTCTTGAAGTAGCTTTAATCTCATTCTTTAAACTAGATTTTACGATTGAGAAGACCAAATAGTATCTAACAATTTTCAACCTGGTAAATAAAATGATTTAATCATGGTGTGTAAAAACTAATTCAATGATACCAAATGGTTGTGAAAAGAAAAAAAAAAAAAAAAAAACTAGTTAGTAAACATTAACCATACTTCCCGAATAGAGATAGGGAAAAAAAAATACTCCGTAAATGTAAACATAAGATGCGCACTACAATGCAAATTATGCATTTAGTATTTTTCATAATTTTAAAATGGCCATAGGATCATTGAAAATTAAAACATGGAGTGACAATATGCTAAATAATAATAATAATAATTGTAGTTTGATTGGTCTTAATATTTAATACATGTCTTCTTCAAAAAAGATGTTGAAATCGAATCATCATCTGCAATAAAAAAATTAACAAATACTTTTCAGCATATCCCTAAGCAAATGTCATTCCACACGCGAAAATATGGAGTTTGAATCTTTAAAAAAAAATCACTCCAACAACTGATCAAATCCTACATGGTTGAATGCCTAAATTAACCGACCAATCTACTAACTACTTTTTGAATACCCCTTAGAAGTAATAACCGGCCAATATAAAATCAATTTCTGCCAACGTAACTTGGTAATTGGAACTTGGAACGCCACCTGCAAACCTAACCCATTTAAAATCCGAAAAAACAAAGGAAGCAAAGGTGAATCCAAAAAAAAAAAAAATTGTAAAAACAAAAGCAACAAGGGATCTGTTTAAATCTCTTTATGCTTTTTTCAACATGACACATTTCTAGCTCGGGTAATGTTGGGGGTACTTAAATTTTCACAAAGGAAAATAATATACAAACAAACTCTTTTCATACTAAATTTTCATATAAATTAACGAGTCATTCATAAAATGGTAAAATGCAGGTCTCGTGAATTT